TGATATAATATACAGTAAAACACGTTCTCTAAAGTGGAATGAGCTGCCTTGCCCCATGGTGAGCTCCCTGTTATTGGGGGTGTTCAAGCAAATAGCGGACAACCTACTGAGAATGTAGAAGATGACTTTCCCATCCTGGGCTGGAATTTGGAACAGAAACCTCGGGGTGAATCCCATGGAGGAGATTCAGAATTGCATCCTGACTCCTCTGTCCAGGTTCTCTCCCTCTCTGCTTCTACTCTCTCCTTCTGCTCACCCTCAGGACGGAGCACATGTGCACACACACACCCAGGTGCACACGTGAGGGAGGTAAAGCAATTCTAAAGTCAGGAGAAGGGCGAAGTGTGAGGAACTGAATGGGGATATGACAAGGGGAGGGGGGTAGGAGAGACAGGCAGGGATGAAGAAGAGATGGAAAGAAACACTGAGAAGGCGTCAGGGAAAGTTGACAGAAGGAGGGAGAGAAGGAGGCGAGAGGGAGAGATTGGAGAAAGAGGAGAGAAGAAAGAAGCAACAAGGAAAAATGAAGAAGGAAAGAAACAAAGAGGAGATAGATGATATTAACAGTAAGAGGAAAGGAGGAGAGAAGGTAAAGAAGCGTGGGAGAGAGGAAGGATGGGGGCGTGGGAGGAGGAGAGAGAGAGAGAAGGTGAGGGAGGCAGAGAAAGGAGGGAAAGAAGAGAAGAGGCAGGGAAGGGAGAAGGCGGGAGGGGAGGCGGGACGTGGGTGTGAGTCTTCAGAGACAGGGAGTTTACGGTGGCCCCGTCACAGGTCCCCAGAGCAGCAGATGGGTAATCTTGAGTCACAGCTCATTTAAGGCTTCCTGTTTTCAGCCTGTCTCTGTGAACACTTGGAGGGGTTTCCAGCGAGTAAATAAAGCGGAGTGCCAAGACTCCCTCCCCAGGCCAGCAGCCGTTTCACCATCCCCATGGCTGCCCGTCCTCAATACCCTCACCCCACCCACACTTTATGCCTGAGGACCAGCCCAGAGTCCTCTCCAGCACCCACCCACCCCTGGGCTCCAAGCCACCTGCCCTCTTCTCCTGGGTTCCTGACTTCATGTTCTCAAGGGCTCACGATGGAAGCCACAAACCTCTGAGAGTGCAGACTCCGGTCCGAGCATTTACAGAAAAATTCACCTTATAAGTGATGTTTCCCTGAGACACATTTTCTTTGCCTTTTTCTAAGCTTCCATATTTTCCCTTCCACCCCCCTGGCCCCTCTCAAGTTGGGAGTGGACCTTTATCCAGCCTTCTCGAATTCAGTCCAGCAGACACATTTGGAGCCTCTGCAACGTGCCAGGCACCAGTGTCACGGCTGGGAACGAGACACATTTCTGTCCTCAAGGAGCTCACAGTCTAACGAGGACAGAGACGTGGGTGGATCCAAAGCTGGAGCGGGGTTTTATAGGGCCCGGACGTTACAAACTTGGGAGGCTCTCTGTAAGGAAAATAACAGAAAATTTGCCAGGAACATTGGGCCGAGGCCTCTCCTGGGGCTTGGAAGAGCCCACGTACAAGGAACCTAGGTTACGTCCTCACTCCTGGGGAGGGCAGGATGAGCGCCCCCACCCCAAACCACCCAGACTACAGCAGGAGAGAGGGGTTGACAAAGGGAGGTTGGGCTGACTACGAATTAATTAACTAAGTAATTAATTAAACCACCATGTCTATACTGTCTTTCTTTGCTCTCTTTTGTGTATCCTGTGAACAAACGAATGCATGCATGATGCATGTAACAAATATTTACTTAGGGCTCCTGTAATAATTAGGACAAAGTTCAGCTGCTATAACAAAGACCTAAGGGGGCTTAAACAAGCCAGGACTTTCTCACTTAATGGTCTGGACAAAGCAGCCCGAGGCTGGTGTGGATCCTCCTTGAGTTTAAAGACCCAGACTCCTTCCATCCTGTTGATCAGCCATTCCTGGGGTATCACCCTTCAGATACAAGGTCAATGATAGTACACACTTCAGCCAACAAGAAGTTCAGACCCCACTTCTGCTCACATCCCATTGGCCAAAACATGATCACATGACCACATGACCACACACAAGTGCCAGGGAGATGCAGAAGTGTACTACTTATTGTGGGTGGTCATGCACCCTCAGATTGGGGTGTTTCACGACTACAGAAGAAGAGAATGGATGTTGTGGACACCTGGAAGTCTCTGAGACAGCCTGCAGGGTATGCTGTGCTGTATGGGAAAACAACGTGCAGAAGAAGTTCTGGTCCTTTCCAGAGCCACCCAGTGACAGAAGTCCTGTAGGCTCTCACACCTGTTCTTCCATTTGGGGAGCTCTAACTCTCTCTACTGGGTCCCAAATGTTGGCTGAGGATGAAACACTATCACCACCCAAGGGACATTTGGAGGAAGAAGAGGCAATATCGACTGTGAAGAGGTTGCTAGAAAAAAAGGAAGAGAATAGTGGTTTGGAAACCAAGTTTCAAAAAGTGCACCGATTTCAGATGCCATGGAGTGCTAAAACAGGATGAGGATCAAAGGAGGTCTGCTGGATTCTCCAATGAGGAGGTCAGCGATGACCTTTGCCAAATACGTTTCAGTGGAGCGAGGGGGAGTGAAATCGGAAGAGGGCGGGTTTAGGAGGGAGTGGGAAACAAGGATGTAGAGACAGAGAGAGCAGTGAGCAACTGAGGTATGGAAAAGCAGGAACAATTTGAGAGTAGTGGATCCATGATCACGTTGATCCAAGGATAGAGAATCAACGAAGAGCAAGAAACTAAAAATACGCAGCAGAATACAGCTGGGCTGCTTTAACGAAGACCGAAATAATAGTGAATTTCAAAGGATTGAAATTTACTTCTCTCTCACGTAAGAGTCTGAGCCTACACAGTCAAGGGCTGAGGGAGGACTCCATGGTGTCGGGGATCCGGGTTCCTTCCACCTTATTAACCAACCACCCTCAACATGGGGCTTCCATCTTTTGGTCCAAGATGGCTGCTCCAGCTCCCACCATCATGTCCACATCCCAGCCAGGCAGAAGAAGGAAAAGGGAAAAGGAGGATTCCCTTTGTCTTAAAGGCACCACTCAGAAGTTGCTCACATTATGTCTACTCACATTTTCACTGGCCAGCCTTGGAGACACAGCCACATCTACCTGTAAGGGAGACTGGAACAAAGCAATCTTTAGCTGACAGACTAATGCCTAGATAAAACTTAGGGGTCCTATTACTGAAGGAGGAGGGGACAGCGAGCAGTCAGAGTCTTGGAGGACTTAGAACAGAGGGTAGGTTCCACCACAAGCTGGAAGAGGCATGCTGCCACTGCCACTGGGAGGAAGAAGGGGGAAAGCTGATGAACTTGGAAAAGGATGGCAAAAAGGGAACTCTTGCCTGGGCACCTTTCTTTTCTCTGCAAAGTGGGGCTCAGAGTCATCGCTGCGAGGCTGGGGCTCCCGGAGACTGGAGAAGAGAGAAAAGCTGGCTGCCAAGCCTCTGTCTCCTCCTTGGTCATGATCTGTTCAGGGGGAACAGCAGGCTTGCGCTTGTACATATCCTGAGATGGCTCAAAGAACAGCCCTGCTTTCAGAGTCCTGAGCGTTGTTCCCAGCTCTGTGCTTAGCTGCTACAGGGCCTTGGACTAGAAAGGAATCCCAGTTCTCGTATCTGTTAATTGGCCATAATAATGCCCACCATGCCTGCTTCACAGTCCTGTTTTGGGCCCCACGGGAGAGCTATGAGGATGCTTTGTAAGTTGTGAAGTTGGGGCAGATGTGGGTGGGTGACATCATGGAGGGATGGAGTTGTCAGGCCACTGTTGAGACTTGAAGGGAGGGAAGAAAGGGCTAGAAGGACAGGCTGCAAGGACAGGACAGCCTCCCAGACAGGCTACCCAGCCCCCACCTGGCCCCTCCAAGGGATCTGGCCTCTGCCCACCTCTGGCCCAGTGTCAGAACTCCTCTGCTGTCTGGTGAGGGTGACAGGGGAGGGGGGATCCGCCCAGCTGTCCACAGCTGCTGGGAGTCAGCCTCTGTTCTGAGTTGAGATCGCTATCATGGAGCCTTGGCCTCGTCCCCTGCACTTGGCCCTGGAAGCTCTCCTGGGACATCTCCCGGACCCCAGGGCACCACCCCGTGTTCTTGACCTCAGCCCAGTAAACAGTGTGAGCTTTTTCCCCAGGCCTTTGGCCAAGCAGAGCTAGCCTTGCCCAGTGCGTGCGCACACACGTGCACACACACACGCACACGCACTGATTGCACACACAAGCACCACATACGATACACCACACATACAACACACAATGCACATCACACACATGCAAACACACCACATACTATACCACAAACTACACATACACCACACACCACACACACACCCCACACACCGCACACACACACCTCCCACAAATTCCAAACACACAACCCACATGCACACACCCTACACACACATACACATATACACACTCCCTTCTTTCTAACTGGTCGCTCTCTATCCCATATCACATCCCTCCATTCAACCTTCTATACAACTGCTCCAACGATTTTTCTAAAACACAAATTAGGCTACTTTCTTATTTAAACTCCTCCCCTTCTTTCAGTGGCTTTCCAGAGCCTTCAGGCTAAAAGTCTAGCCCCTTTGCAAAGCTATTGAGGCCATCCATGATCTGTCCCCTGATGACCCCCTTCAGCCATCCCCCACCCTCCTGCCCCACTGGCCAGTCTGAACCACTTGCCTGTCCCCGCCCACCATGAGGCTGCTCCAGCTCCTGCTCTGCCCATCCTCCATCCTCTCCGGAGAATGCCCCTGCTCCGTAGTCCCTTCCAAACCCTGTTCTGAGCTCGCTCTTCTATACAGGTTCCCTTGACTAACCAAATGGAATGCTCCCTTCCTCTTCCACAGGGATGTAGTGGAATGCCCTGTTTCCTATGTCTGTCTCCCCTGCCAGGCAGGCAACCTTCGCAAGGTCACTGTATAAGGAGCACTGGGGAGGTGCTCCGTGAACGCTGGGTGGGTGACACTCACTTCCTCATCCTCCCACACAGATCAAAGTAGAAAACCAGCATGACTACCAGGACGTCACCAGCATGGTGGCCATGGCCAAGACCTACGCCACTACGGAGGCCTTCATCGACTCCAAGTACGACATCCGCATCCAGAAAATCGGGTCCAACTACAAGGCTTACATGTGAGTTCGCAGTTTGGGCTGGGGAGCTGGGAGGAAGGATGGGAGGGGGTGCATGTCCAGCCCTGTCTCCTCCGCCCAGGGAGGATGGCCAGAGACTCCACTGGCACACCCATGACTCTCCCGTCTGTCTCCTCTACTGCCCTTCTTCTCTGGTCAGGACAGCTGAAGCCTAATGTTCTTTACAGCTCATCCCAGGGTAGAAATCTGTCTACCCCCGGAGGAAGAAAGACGCTTAGCATGTTTGGGGGAACTTCAAGTATATTCGGGGTGTATGTCATAGGAGACAAGACTGAAATAGGAACTTGGGGACCAATCAAGGAGGGCCTTAAATGCCTTGCTGAGTGTTTCGGATTTTCTTCTGTTCTCTTTTGAGCAGAGAAGTGGCATCCTCTGATCTGTACTTATAAAAAGACGGCTCTGGGGTCACCAGCTGCAAAGAGAGTTCTCTGGAACCAATAAGACCAGTTAGGAGATTATATCAGATTTGTCTAGCTGCAAGCAACAGAAACCACATCTCACTATTTTGGTGGAGCTTTTTAAAGGACTTTATTAGAAAACGATGGGTGATTAGAAACTTTAAAAAACAAACCACTGACCTGCCTGGATCCATATTAGGATCCAGGGCAGCCCCAGGAATCTGAGTAGCCAGAAGTAATAGACAATCTTCAGGGCATCCCCCATTGGGAAGTGAATCTGCTCTAATCACTTTCAGGATTTAACTCGAGATTATGGTTCCATGGAAACAGTGCCGATTGGTCCAACTTTGATCACAAAGTTATTGATTAGAGAAAGGCAGAAAACCAGTATGGAGAGTCCCACCAGGATGGCACGCAATATGGGCAGGGTCATTCCCCAGTGGAAATAGAGGGGCTGTGACTAAGGGAAAAGGATCAAATGCCAGAAAATCCAACACACATTCAGCCCCGGGGCAGTTCGGGCCAAGGGTGACTCAGGCTGGAGCTGTGGTTATGAGGATGAGTGGGAGTTCCTGAATAGGTGGGAGGTCTCCATCTTTGGAGAGGTCTTATCTGCTCCAAGGCCCACTTCTCACTCTGGAATGTTATTGTTGGTTCCTCCTGAAAGCCTACCAGTGCCTGTTGCCAAGCATTTATGGAGCACTAACTGTGTGCACAGCTCCATATCTGAGGACTGCAACGGCTGGCTCTGGACACTTGGAAATCCCGCTATGGGCTTCTGTGTGGTGGAGTCATGCTCTAGGTCAGGGTCAGCAAACCACAGCCCACAGGCCAAATCCCGCTGTTGCATGTTTGTGTAAATAAAGTTTTATTGATCACAGCCACACACATCCACTTGTGTATTATCTAAGGCTGCTTTTGACTACCTGGATTGCTTAGACCAGGGGTCAGCAAACTTTTTCTGTATAAGGGCTAGGTGGCAATTTTAGGTCTTGCAGATTGTATAGTCTCTGTTGCAACTACTCCACTCTGCCATTGCCTGCAAAATTGGAGAAGATGCGGGTGGTGGACCTGTAAGGAAATTCCCAGAAAAGGGATGGAGCCAGCTCTCAAGGAATACTTCTGCCCTGTCCTGCCAATCACTCTCTTGCACCCATGAGCCAGGCCAGACCTGTCACTACGCTCAGATGCCCTCAGGGTGATAAGATCGCCTCCTCTCCATCCCTTCCAAGTTAGGGAACATTCCCGGGTGGCAGTCCAGTGCATTCCTGTGGCCGCCACTGTCCATCATGATATCATTTCCCTCCTCTCCTCATTGTTAGAGTTTCCACTTGACATTGAGGACACCTTGTCCCAGTTTCTCTTCTCGAGGATTACCTCATTGCCGCATTCTTTATGCTGGGCCTTTCTGCCCTGACAGCTCCAATTTGTCATTAGTTATGGCGTTTCCTGGACCCTGGGTTGGCCCACATCCCAGGGAGGGGGTTCGTGTCAGACCTCAGTATACAATGCCCTCTCTACCCCTGACCATTCAACCTCCTTTTTGACCCACTTCCTGCCCTGCACTCGGGCCTTTGTGCTCGTTGCTACTGGGCTGTCGTCATTTCTAGGTCCTCTCAGCAGACAGAGCTAGGAAGTATATGTGTGTAACTCAACCCGTGTAGACATGCATATCTGTAATTATTTCTATATATATCCATCTATAGCTAAAGCTAAATAGAGTTCATGTGATGCCTCAGACTTTCATCTAGTAGCACACGATTCATTTTAACCTTCCCGGATTGCTTATCTATAACTTCCCACTCCAGCAGGGAAAGGCCTGGCTCCCACCTTCCGCCATCAATTTTCTTATCTGTCCAATCCCAGTGTACGGGTACAGTTACAGAGCTGTTAACCTGTAGCCCCATAAGAAACAGCTTTACCAACTACAGTACAGGGCTGATGTACAGTTCCTTCTAGATTTAGCCATACAGCCACCACTCATTCCCAAGGTTACTTAAGTCAGCACTTTCCCACCCACCGCCACACTCTTCAACGAGGGAGTCAACACCATACCCTTGTGATGTAGGCAGATTCTTTTGTCACAGTCTACATTCCAGTGGCTGCATCACATGTGGGACAACTGACTGTTATCCCCAAGCCTGTGACAGGCTCTGCTGTGGAGAGTCATGGATAAGAGTATGAAGTTGCTCAGATATGGTTTGGTGGCTTCTGCCACTAAGTGGGAATGATGATAATAATAATGTTCATCTCATTAGGTTTTGTGAGGATGAAATAAGCCAGTGCTTATAAGGTCCTTAGACTCAGGCCCCAGATACAGGAAGCACTCATTAAACATCAGCTGTCACTATCATTATCTTCTTGGAAGGAGAGCAAGCTGGCTTGTGTTCCTGCTGCTTCTGGCATTGGGATGTCTTCTTTTCTTGCCTCCACTTACTGAGAAATAATAGTAGCACCCACTGGACTAAGAGATTTATGGGAATATTTCCATTAATCCACATTTCCTTTAATCCACCCTACAAAGATGGTACTGTAATTATTCCCATTTTGCCAATGAGAAAATAAAGACTCAGAGATGTTGTCCATGGTTATACAGCTAGAAAATGCTAGAATCAAGATTCAAACTGACATCTGTCTGACTCAAGTCAGTTCTTACCTTCTCTCACCACCATACAGATCCCACTATACCAAATCCTACTCATCCTTCAAGGTATCTCGCAGCGGCTACCTTCTGGGGTCACATTAAGTGACTGGTTTCTCCCTTGCTTCCCGGAAGCTCTTCACTCATGTATATTGCTAACCCTACCATGCCTATACTCTGCTTTTAGGCTAGTCCACCTTTCTAGGTAGTGAGCAGCCTGAGAAAGAGGTCATCTCTGCCCACTCAGACTAATCCAATTCCCAGGACATACAGTGGCTCAGTGAGTGTTTCCCAAATTGAATTGAATTGAGTTGAGCCGAACTGAAGTAAACAGACCTGACATAAAGCTTACCAACATCACTGCACCCTTGGTAACTATGGCTCCTATTGGCCACCATTTATTCTCAGCATCTGCTGCCCTCAGATACACCTTGTTTTCTCTTTTAGAAAGATGTATTTTTGCAGTAATTCCTCTCCCTGGTTCACCCTTTAATCTCAGCCACATGCCTTCTCTTGGCCACAAAACAAATCGCTTCACCTCTGCCATCTCACTCAAATTCTTTCAGTCTTTGCTGAATCCAGATATGCCATTAGAGATAGTTTGTCTGGATTTCTTCCCCAGTATACACAGTCCCTTTCCTAGTAGGTAGTTACCACATGCCAGCTCTCGCTAGAGAGTAGGGGTACAGGGGCTGAGTCAAACATGATGTCCCCTGCCCTCAGGAAGGACAGGACACCAAAGCAGTCATTGCAAGTGAAACGAGCATTACTAAACATTACTAGAGGGTATAGTGTAAGGGGCGCTACTCTTGTTGGGGAAATGTGGACTCTCAGAAAGGTACATTTCAGATGAAACTTGAAGGATGAGCAGGACTTAGGGAGGCAAAGATGGAGACAACGGCTGGATCAGGCAAAGGGAGGGAGGTGTGTGGAGGCCTTGACATAGGAAAGAGCCATGGGCATTGGAAGAAAGGTCAATTGTCGCTGAAGCAGAGAAGGCAAGAGAACAGAGAGGGTGACGAGGGCAGAAGGTCTCCCTGCTCCTTACCGTAGAAAAGTAATCACTTCTCTCCATGGATCATTTTCCTACATTTTAGGGCTCTCAAAAAATTCCAGAATCACCAGGGGCTATACTGCCTTAGTTCTCCTTCTCAGAAACAGGAGGCCAAGGTTTAAAGGATTTCATCGGATGGTGTAGCCATTTTTTAACTTAACTTTTAGATTTCAAAGGTGGCTTAGAAAAAGATACATAAGATCCAATAAATAAGGCAATCAACATACAGGGAAATAAAAACAGAAAAATAAAGCTGTGTGGCTAAGAATACATGACATAATGTGAGCCAGATATTTGAATCAGAGCCTCCTAACAGCCAAAGCAAAGAAGGAAAGCAAATCAGTGCCAAGCATCCCTAATGCCCTCACTCTATTATTTGTTCTGGTACAGGAGAACCTCCATCTCTGGAAACTGGAAGGCCAACACAGGTTCTGCCATGCTGGAGCAGGTGGCCATGACAGAGAGGTAAGAGAGAAAGGAGGTGTATAGAGAGAGATGCCAGCCACAGTGGGAGATGGGTGAGGGATACAACAAGGAGCCTGTAAAGAATGCTACCTCACCCTCTGGCCAGTATCTCAACACCAACAGAGCACTTTCCTAAGCATGGTCCCCGTTACTGCCCATAACTACCTGGAGAGCAGGTGTAATACTAACCCCATTTTACAGATGGGAGAAGAAAGTTCAGAGAGGAAAAGTTACTTGTGCAGGGTCACAGAGCTGATCAAAGACAGAGCTGAGAGTAGAAACCTGATGTGTAGACTCCAGTCCCAGGGGTCTTTCCGACCCTGCCCAGCTGCTGCAGGGAGAGCACGGCGTCCTCCCCAGTCCCTCCCTGCTCTCTCAGCTGCATGGAAGCATGCTCGTAGGGCACCACCAGGGCTACTGGAACGTCCACTCTTCTCTCAGACTTGCTTCCATCCCAGCGTGAGGAGGGAGAGGTGGATTTTATGAATCATGAATGTCACGGGGGTGCTCTGGCTGAAACTCCCTCCGGTCTTCCGCCCTTTAACGTTGCTGTGAGCCATCCCCACCTGCAGAAGGGCCAGTCACCAGCCCTCAGGGCCAGCAGCACACACGCATTCTTTCCTGCATGCTCAGTGACCTCTGCATGCAAGTGTGCGACTGTTGGGACAGAGTGTGGACTTTGGCGTCAGAAAGGCCTGTTCAGTGACCACTTATTGAGTGCCTACTGCATGCCACGTTGTGCTGAGCCCTGAAGAGGCCAAGATGAAAGGATGTAATCCTCCCCTTTAAGAACTCTCTATCAGCGGCAAGTGTCAGAACACAGAGCAGATTGGTTTGAGCCCAGAGGGGGATTTGTTGGCTTGTGGCAATGACAACTCCAGAAGCTCAGCTCCAGATAAGGCTGGAGAACTCATTCTACCCACTTCACTTCAGCTGTCTTCTATGGTGGCTTCATTCCAGCTAGCTGGCTCATCTGGTGGCCCACAGTGGTTCCAGGGTTACACCCTGACAGCGAGGAGTCCAGCAGAAAGAAAACTCCTTGCCCAACCATTTCAATCAAAGCCTGAATTGAGCCTTATTCACTGATTGGCCTTGCTTAGGTCACATGATCATGCCTGAACCAATCACTATGGCCCAGGGAGCTGGAAGGCTGTGATTGGATAGGCCTATGTCCTGTCTCCGCCCCAGAGATGCGAGCAGGACCACCCTGCTCTGGCAATGATGACTGAATGAGACTTAGGAAGGGATTTAAGGCCAAGGAATACCAAGAAGACTTTAGTAGGAGGGAAAATGAACGCTGTGCCGGCTAAAGCAACAGGTCCGCTCCCGGCTCCCCAGCTAACAGAAGAGACCAAGAGTGTGGAGTGTGATGTTAGGGTCAAAGTGAGCTTTGGGTGCTAGCCGTGGGAGCACAGAGAAGGGGCACCCAACGCAGGCTAGGGAGGCGTGAGGTCAGAGAAGACTTCCTGAAGGAGGTGGTGCCAGAATCACGTCGTAAAGAATGAAGAGGAGCTGGCAGGCATTCCTTTATTTCTTTGCTGGTTATTTGTCGAGCACCAGCTGGGAGCCAGTAATTGAGGCAGGTGGGGAAATGGTGGCAGATGAGACTGCCATGGTCTCTGCCCTCATGGAACTTCCAGTTCAGGGGCTCTGAGTTGAGGAAGCAGCATGAATGAAAGGGAGTGGTCCTGCCGCTTCCAAGCTGTGTTACTTAGGGTAAGTTAACTACTCTTTCTGAACTTCTTCAACTGTGAATTGGAGGTAATAATACTCAAGTCGGAGGGCTGAATGAGAGAGGGAGGCTCGGTACCTGACCCAGTACTGGCCCATGGCAGGGAGGGGCCAGGAAACATGGCTTCCTTCCCTTCCTGGCAACCCCAGGTGGGAGCTGTTCCCTTCACCCTGGGAACCCACCTGTGCTAACTCCTCTTGAAGGGCTTGTGCTCCTTACCTGGCACAACTGAGACGCTTGGTCTGGGGCAGTCACATCCTTCCTCCAGTGGGCATTCATGGGACAGCCGTGGCCCTTTTCTCCATGGCCTTTCCAGAATGTGAGCCCGGTGTTCTCCGCTGCCTCATGACCTGTTCATGGATGTCTCCAGCAGGCCGCACCTCCCTGGCTCTGCTCTGTCCCAGGCCACAGGGGCCCTCCCTGCAGGGGCGTCCCATGGGAGTGGTCTGCTCAGGCCTGGCACTCATTTCCCTTCTGCACAGTCATGGGCAGCACCCTAAGGTCTGGGGCCCAGCTCCCCAGTTCCATCCCCACAGGGGAAAATTCCCTGGGGCCCATAAATCCCGTGATTCTGGCCCTCCTTCCACCTGGCTCACCTGCTCGCCAAGTAGCCTGCCTCCTGGGAAAACCAATGATGTTGCTTGCTCGGTGCTGGTTCCACCTGGCTGGAGGGGAGCACCCACCCCATGTTCTCCATCCCTCCCACACAGCTCCACCCTGAAGTCCCTTCCTTGGCCCTGGTGGGGGATGAGGGGGCCTTTGCCCCATGGGGTGCAGCCAGTAACTCACCTGGAAGTTCATCATTCGCAAACAGCCCCTAGAAACCAGTTGCCTCTGGGCCTAGTCCAGACTCCCATCTTCCCTTGAGAAGAAACCTGATTTGTGAGGGTGTCTCAGGGCACAGGTCTCCCTAAGCTGGAAGTGCCCCACCACTCAGCCATTGGTGACAAATACGGGGACTCTGATCAGAGATCCCAGGGGGCTCTCAGAGCTCCAAGGACCAAAGGTCGTCCCCAACGTGGCTGCATGTCAGAATCACATGGGAAGCTTTAAAAAGTCACAGAGATTATTCTCACGTGGAGCGGAGCCCCCCATATCTAGCTGTTTGTGTATTTGCTTAATTCTCCTGGTGATTCTGATGCACAACCGGAATCAGGCCTCCCCATTTTACAGAAAAGGAAGAGAGGTGCAAGAGAGAGAGGTCACACCAAATTACTGAGGAAATTAACACAAGAATCCGGGGCCCCGGTCTCCCACGCTGAGGGAGAACAGGCTGGGATGCGCTCCAGCTGAGAGGAAGAGTGGCCTGCGTGGACTGTGGGGTCAGACAGGATCTGGGTGTGGAAGCAGGCACAGGCACTTAGTAACCTCTGAGCCTCAGCCTCCTATCAGTAAAATGGGTTAAACCTTCCTGATAGATTGTTGTGGGGCTTAGAGAGAATGAGGAGTCCACCCCCCACAGAATGCCTGGTGCATAATAGGACTTCAAAAGGCGTGAGTTTTCATCCTTCCTTTTACTTCCGTGATCTCCTGTGCTCCTTGCTACAGTGGAAAGAAAGAACTGGACTGAGTCGGGAGATCCCAGTAATCCTGGCTCTATTACTGCCTTGCTGTGTGACGGCCAAGCCACTCTCCCTCTCTGGACTTCAATAGGCACTGGCAGATAAGATGAGAGAGTTGATTCTAAGAGCACTTCAGCCATGATCTCTCCTCATTCCAGGCCTTATAGCTCAGAGACACAAATAGATCTCAGAGCAGGCATGCCCCGTGTGACCCTGGAGAGTGGGGATGGAAGCCAGAACGTCGACACAAAGTCCCCTGTGACTCCCAAATCCAGCCACCAGAAGGGAAGCCAAGTGCAAGCCCGGAAGAACTCTCCGGATACAACCATCCCCTTGTTGCAGGGTCAAAGTCCAGCGTTGAGATCTTTCCCCTGCAAAGCAAACTGGCCTTGCAGCCATCAAGTGGCTGGAAAGGGAACAAAGTTCCAGAGGGCCAGGCCCCCAGCCCTGCAGCCCGCCAGGCAGCCCTGCTGCCCGCCCCCAGGCCCAGAGGAGAATGCGCCCTTTGTCCCTCCTCTGACCCGGGCACTGGGGCTGGGAGGCGGCCTGGGAGGTATTTCTGGAAGCCTTGAGCAGCTTTCTCAAGGGAAAAGGACTGCAGGGGTGGCTGGGTGTCCGGGATGGCTCCCAAGGGGGTCAAGGCAAGCCCCCTACTACTGTGGAAGGTTCTGGGTGGTGGGGCTGGGGGCCATGTCTCTGAGACCTCTCCAACTCTCATTCCTTCTCCCCCTCATCCTGGCTTCCTGGTTCCCTTTCTCTCCTCTGTCCCTCTCTCTGTCTCTGTCTCACCGCCCATCTATGTCTCTGCCTCCCTTTTTACCCCTTCTGTCTCTCTCTCTGCCTTCCTCCCTCTCCCTCTGCTCCTCCCTCTGTGTGTCCCTGTCTCTCCCTCTGCCTCCCTGTCTCTCTCTGTGTCTCTCTCTCTTTTGCTGCATCTCTGTCTCTCATTATCTCTTACCTTCTTGCTCCATCTCTGACGGGTGCCTCTGTGTCTCCGTGTGTCTCTCTCTGCCTCTCTCTCCCTCTGCCCCCTCTTCCCTGCTCCCTCTCCCTTAACGCTCATGGTCTGTCTGTCCATCCTTGCAGGTACAGGCTGTGGGTAGACAGCTGCTCAGAAATGTTTGGCGGCCTGGACATCTGCGCCGTCAAGGCCGTCCACAGCAAGGATGGCAGAGATTACATCATCGAGGTGAGGGATGAAGCAGGAGGCTGGACTGCCACAGCTCCTGGGAGGCCTGCCAGAGGGAAGGCCCCCGAGTGTGGTCTCTGTGGTCTGGCTTGTGACGGGGCGCACGCAGCACAGGCCTCAGTGTGCAGTTCCCCCTAGAGACTTCTCATCTGCTGCCCCCACTACCTCCCCATCCCCGGCCAGCTGTATCTAAAGCCTTCGTGCCCGGGGCTTCTGAGCTCCAGAACCCAGGCGCCTCGAGAGGCCCGGGCATGAGGTTGGACAACTTTCCCCAATCTGTGGGCCTAAGGGTAGGGGAGGAGCATCAGGCCAGGAGTGGGCAAGACTCTGTCCCACTAGGCCTCTTAAATCTTCTCCCTGTCCAAGTGTATAAAGAGGGCACACTTCCCTGGTCACCATGCTGGGAGTCCATCGTCTGTTCATTCAACAAACACGTACTCTGGGGCCACAGTGGGCTAGGCACGGGCGTGGCTCTGGAGACTCAGCCATGAACAAGACAGACGTGGGGTGTGCAGGCCGGCAGGGAAGGATGACAAACAAGTAATGGCAGGGCACTGAGGGTTAGGAAAGGGGACAGCCCTGCAGGGGTGTGGATGGAGGGAAGGATGGTTGTGAGAGAAGCTCGACAGGGGCTGTGGGTCCTAGACCCTCTCTCCCAACCCTCTTGCAGCCCTACCACCCCCTGCCATCCTCCAGGACTGCCACCGACACGTCTCTGTGGTCCTACACCAGCCCCACCCCCAACTTCCTCTCCATGCTTCTCCCAGTCCCACAATCCCCCTCTCTCCTCCGTGACTCCTCCCGTTTCTCTCCTGATCCAACAGTCCTCCTCTACTCCCCATAAATCCCCCTTTGTGTTTCTCCCAATCCCACAATCCCCGTCTCTCCTCCATGAACCCTCTGTGTCTCCTGGTCCCACGATCCGCCTCTCCCCTAACTTCCTCTCCATGCCTCCCTCTATCCCACAATGCCCCTCTCCTCCATGACCCCTCTGTGTCTCCAGGTCCCACAATTCTCCGCTCCCCTCCTCAGTTCCCTGCCGCCCCCGCCCCCCCCCCCCAGCTCAGGGCTCTCCACGGTTTTCCGCAGAGTTCTTCCTTCTCCCCCAGCTTCAGTCTCGGCACTCACAGCCCTCCCAGCCCTCCCCTCCCATGGCCTTCTCCTCAAGCCACAGCAGAGGGGCAGCACTGACACAAGGCCAAGACCAGTGAGGGAGGGCTCTGCACCCCCCCGGGTGTGGGCTGCTAATGGGAAGCACATGGCCGGGGTGACCACAGGAGCCAGTGCATCCTCCAGGCCCGCATGCCCGCGCCCCTCCCCGGGCCCCACAGCATGGCGGCAGCAGCCGACTCGTCGGGTGGGAGCCCTGCTGCTGTCCTGCAGCCCTGCCAGGACGGCATTAACACCTGTGCCCGGAGAGTGGCCACCCCTGGAGGGGCAGGAGAGGGCGCCCAGGGCACACACGGTCCCTCCCCCTCCTGGCAAAGGCGGGGAGCTCCCACAAGGAGTACATCTGTATTTGCGGGTTCAGTCCTGCTCTGGAAACAGCTCTCCCCGAGTCCAGGCACCGCTGTCCCTCTGGCCTCCACTGGGCACTGTACCCGAAATTCCTACAGGGGCCTCATCTCAGAGGAGACATCGAAGGGGCCGGCATCTGGCCTGCACACTTGCCTCCGAGCCAGAGCCAGGCTGCCCCTTGGGGGACCAGTCTGCACCTTCTTGAGGAGGCCCTGGGAGCTTCAGATGGAGGGTGGGCCCCGGCCTCCTGCCCGGGGCACTGCCTCTCTCCAGACCCTCCTGCCTCCTGCCTCTGCACCCCCTCACAGGACCACCAACATGAACTCAGCTTTGGCACACACACAAGCATTCATTTGTTCCTTCACTATGGAATCCCCACCCCGGGCACAGGCCCCGAGCCAGGGAGCAGGGACCCTGCCTCCCGGAGTTCCATCCAGAGAGGTGACCCTCGAGCAGCAGATGCAGGACCCTGGCCTCTTCAGCCCTGGCCCATGGCTCCGCCCCTTCTCCTGGCTCCGCCCCTTCTCCTGGCATTGGCGTTATCTCCTCCCCCAAGGGCTCCGCCTCTTAGGAAGCAAAACTCTGAACCCGTGGGCCCAGACTGCCTGCCTCCAGACGCTCGGAGGGCCAGGGATGAAAGCCCTTTCACGTAAAAACAAAAGGCAAAATTAGTGGGTTTGGACTTCAAAAAACGAGAAAACGACTTCTCAGAAATGTTCCAGGAAAAAAAAAAAGATGGCTTTTCAGATTTTTTTTTTTTTCTCAAAAACATGACAGCATTGATTCCCTTGTTTTGGGGTTTGGAGTGGGATGGTGGGAGATGGGGAGCTTGCTACCGGGAAGAGAAAAGGTATTTTCCCCAGCTGGGAAAAAAAGGCAGAAGAGATGCAAAAATACTGGTTTCTTCATCCACCTCTGTGGTGAGAACACAAAATTTGTGTGACATGTTTTGTGAAGATCCTCACAGCGAAATACTCAGGGGAAAGACCCTTGAACTTGACCTCCATGACCTGTCCAGAGAGTGACATTGCTCACTGGAAAAATGTTTCCCTGGGGAGACCAGAGTGTCCACTTCCTTAGGCTGTGTCCACCATGGGGATTCCAAAATCCTCTGACCTCAGGTTCCTCGTGGTGGCTGTTTTCCACTGCAGGGAACGTCGGAAACAGAAACCAGAACAGAGAGGGGTGGGCAGCGTCAGGGGGAAGGACAGACCTGTGCACATTTAGACACACCCCACAGTTATAACTCAGCTCGGCCCACGTTGACCGAGAGACTGTCCGTGTGCCGGGCACTGGGATCCAGGATGCCAAGGACCCAGGCCCAGCCCATGAGGAGCTCAATGCGAGGACAGTTTTCAGGACCGTGCAAGAATCAGCATTCACATCCTTGAGTTTCCTTTCCAGCTTCCCAACCACATTGGGTCCCTAAAAGTCCCAGCCGGAAGGGCTTCCCAGCTGCCCAAACCCCTCAGCTTACGTTGAGGAAAACAGTGGGCCCACAGAGGAAAAGTACGTGCCCAAGATCACACAGCAAGCCCGTAGAAGAACCCAGGCCTGGAACCCGGCTTTCCTATTCCCGGTTCTTACCACAGGGAGCTGTTTCAGCGCTTCCTAGTGATGCGTCCCTGACCTTGCTGCTGCTTTGACCCTCAGTTTCCTCATCCTTGTGATGAAGATAATGATAGTCGCCTCCACCAAGAGTTATTCCGAGATGTGTGTGGATCATCCACACCCAGTGCTTAGAACAGGGTCTGGCTCATAGTAAGTGCTCAATAAAATACAGTACTTATTAGGATCCTGATCGTTATGAGCAGGACTTGTGACAGGACTTTCTAGTCCTCCATTCAACAGGGAGTCATTGAGGGCTTACCTGTTTAACAGGCCTCAGGGCCCATCCCTGACCTCAGGGGCCCATAGTGTGGTTGGGGAGACACGAGTAAACAGGAGATGACAGCACTGTGGGGTAAGCTCTCCAGTGGGACGACCAAAGTGAGGACAGCAGGAGTACAGACGAGAGGCGGCTCCTCAGAGCTTGCTCAGTCAGAGAGGGCTTCCCAGAGGAAGGCTCGCTGGGTGTCTCCTGATGGATGAGAGTTAGCCAGGTAAAGAGGGAGCGGAGGGAAGAGCGTGCATAAGGACCTGGATGGGAGAGAGGACGTGGTGAGTCCCCAGCTTGGGTAAAGGGGAAACAGACAGTGCGTTTGGTGGGCTGGGGGGTGAACAGGACTGGACTCGCACAGCGGAGGAGGAGAGAGGGGCTGCCAAGACCTTCTGCAGCCGCCAGTGACTGGAGAACCACCCAGATCGTTGGCCCATGTGACTTTGGAAAAGTCCCCTCCCATCTCTGGGCCTCAGTTTCCCAGCTGCAAAAAGAGCAGGATGGGTAAATGCACCCCTCAGGCTTTGCCTGCCTTGAGAAGCAGCCTGCTTGCTGGGGAAGGAGTTCTCCAGGCGAGCCCGGGAGAACAGGCCTCTCCTCTTCCCTCTTCTCTGAACCCCGGGTCAAATCCAGCCCCTGTCATTTTTGTTGTTGTCATAATCGAACCCCCACCTTCACTGCTTCCGGCTTTGTGGAAAGCCTTGACCTTGGGCCAAAGTTCAGGAGGCTGGCCCTGACCCTGGGCGAGGGGCCAAAGCGGGAAAGGAGGGGCCGGAGACTGGCTCCCCAAAGAAAAGAGCAGAAAAGGCCAGCAAAAGCTCCCTGGCCCTCGGTGGCGTTTCTGTAGTGCCGCGAATGTGGGTTGAAGTGAACCGAATCCAGGGAGTGGATTAGACTGAGCTGACGGGAACTGGAGGGCGCCGCCGGGCTCACCCAGCTGCAGGCGCCGGGCTGGTGTTTGCGTGGAGAACATCGCCATCTAGTGGTCACTTCTGTCCAGAGCTCTGAGCCCGTGCTGCTGGGACGCCCTGCCCAGCTGCCCGGCTACTCCGAGCTAGGGGTCCCTCAGGCCTCCTTTCTCTTCCGCAGGTGATGGACAGCTCGATGCCCCTGATTGGCGAGCACGTGGAAGAGGACAAACAGCTGATGGCCGACCTCGTTGTCTCCAAAATGAGCCAATTCCTGATGCCAGGCGGCACAGTGCCCTCGCCACTGAGGCCTTGGGTGAGGTCCTGGGGAGCAAGGAGACTTTGTAGCCAGGAGACATGCTGGGCTGTCTGGGAATGGGGAGCCCCAGACCCAAAGGAGATACCCCAGGAGGGGACCACTGTGGGGAGAAGGGAATGGGCTGTGGATGGAGGCTGGGCACCAGGGAGAGCCTCCACCTTCTCCTGACGGGGGAGCTGGGGGGCTGAGGGGCCCTTCCTCCCTCCACCACCCTGGGGAGAAAAACCTGTTCTCAACTGGGCTTTGGGCATCTGTGGGCAGAGACTATGAACTTGAGAAGCCATTTGTCCCTTCTGTGCCCTCCATCCTGGGCCTGAGCAGGGAGCAGTGTGTGTGTGTGATTGTGTGCATGCATGCACGCCCCCGTGTACGCACATGCCCCTCGTGTGCTCCCAGGGCACCAGTCAATAGAGACTATTGTGTCTTCCGTTTCCCCATCCCCCAACCTCAACAAGCTCCCGCAAAGCTCCCCCCACCCCACCATCCTCTTCATGGATTACCAGACCATTCTCCAAAGAATTTGCCAGCTCTCCAGCTTTCTGGAAAAGCAACTGTCAAAACCTGCTCCTCTTTTTCTCCACAAAAACAAATCCAAGATAATAGACGTCAGAATAATGGTTATACTTGAGGGGGTTGCTGGCTGGGAGGGGACACAGGGCTGCCTTCTCCACTGGAAATGTCCTGTCCTGATCTGAGTGGTGGTCGCATGGATGTTTATACATGTAAAAATTCATTGTGCTGTACACTTAAGAATTGTGCACTTTATCTAAGTTTCACCTCAATAATGAAAAGATGTTTATTAATCCTGCCCTGCCGCCCAGGAAGTAAATGGCTGTGGTGATCACAACAGGCTTCTTTTCTCCTCGCCTGCTCTAGGGTCCACAGACTAAACCAGCAAAATCCCCCGGGCCAGCCCAGCTGGGGCCTCCGCTTGGACAGCCCCAGGCACGCCCACCCACCCAAGGTAGGACCCATGACAAGCCACCGAGAGACACCATCCAGGGAAGATGTTGCAATGCACTGAGGGATCCATGTGGGATTTCCAGAAGGCACTCTGGAAAAAGCCGTCTTAATACTTTATCCACAGAATATGTGCACTCGCTCCATATGCAGAATGAATGAGACTGTGAGGTTTGTCACCCCCTAAAAGTCAGGAGAGGAGGAAGGGAAGACAGAAAGTACCTAATATGTGGCAGGCACTGTGCTAGGGACTTCCCCCATCGATTTTCTCGTTTTCAGCCTCCCAACCCCTCTACCGTGAAAACTCAGTGTTTCCTTTTTGCAGTGGCGGATGTCCAAGGAAGCACAAGAAAGTGGTAGGTGGACAAGTCTGGCCTCTCAGATCTTCTAGAAAGTGTCTGTTTCTTAGCCACTAGTGGTGCCTGATGATAGACTTATGAGCCAAGCAGCTAGAGTGAGAAGGAAAGACAGAGGGAGGGCGTGAGGAAGGAAGCAAGGACCTTTCTATCTAACCTCTTAGACTGAAATTGTTCCTCAAAGGGTACTCCAGCATTGCTATGTAAATGCCACCGTTTGTTAGAAAATGGATAAACTATTGATGACAAGAGGAAAAGAACGCGCAGCAATAACGAACTTTCTCGCGGAATGTCAGCTGCTTGGTGCTCTTGCCTGCCAGCCTGGGAAGAAAGTCCGCCTGCACCTTTTTTGCGCGGAGCTTCAGGGCAGCTTTGCATCAAGAAGCCAGGCCAGGCAGTTTCCCGGAAATCTTTTAAGGATCTGCTCTAAAACCCATCAGAAAGAAAGCATCACTATCATGTGGTGGTCCTCCCAGCTGCTTTTATTAAAGTAACGGATTCGTTGCTTCACGGGAAAATCGGCCTTGGGCACTAAATGGCTTCTCTTCCACAGGTCTTAGATAAAATGCCCCATTCATCTTTTTTTTTTTTTTTTTTTTGTCTCAGCTTCTCTTCTTGGGAAAGCAGAAAGCATTCAAGGAGAGGGAAATCGCATAACTTATTCCATTGTGGACAAATGAACATTGGGATTCTTCTTCAGGCAGATAAACGTGTGTTTGAATTCTCTTCCATGTCTCAGTACCTTCACAGTCTTATGCAACTGACAACACTTCTCTGAGCCTCAGTTTCCCCAATGATAAAAGAGGAAATAACAGCTGCCCTCTTTAGTTCTGGGGAGCTGTCTATGAGATATTGCACGTGAAGCAGTTAGTAAGGGGTCCAGCACAGAGCTAAAGCTTACTATGTGTTAGCTCTTACTACTGATATTTACTATTAATAACTATTTGTACAAGGCCAGCCCAGTGGCATAGTGGTTAAGTCCAGCACACTCAGTTTGGTGGCCTGGGTTCACAGGTTCAGATCCCAGGCTCGGACCTACATACCGCTTGTCAAGCCAAGCTGTGGTGGCAACCCACATACAAAACAGAGGAAGATTGGCACAGATGTTGGCTCAGGGACAATCTTCCACACAAAAAAAGAAGAAAAAACTATATAACTTTTACAATTAAAAACTTACTATTAACTTGTGTCTTCCTAGCTATTCTTAATGATTATTATCATTAACAAACCTTATAATTAATTCAGCCCCACTGCCCTCGTGCCTAACTCTAGATAATTCTAGAGTTATAAATGTGCAAAAATGGCTTATTCCTCCCCCTGCCAGCCTCTTGGCTGTGCCTCTGCCTCAGGACTGACTTTTTAAAACACATTTGAACAGAGCCCTTTTAAAACAGAGAGCTGCTGTGTTCTGGTTTCCTCTCCAGCCCAGAGTAGGGACATACTTGATAAAGAGATATTATTTTAAGAGACATGAGGCCAAACACACTTTTAGTGAGTTGAAAAACAATCCATTTAAAACTAATTAAGATAATTAAAGAAAATGCTCATTGAATTAACATGCAGATTTAAAATAACAAGGCTAATTAAAAAACAATGCTTTCATTGAGTTCTCAAAGTAACAAGATCACATTATTAACTGGTTTCTGAACTCACTGTTCATTTTCAACTCAGTAAAGTGAAGTTTTCTTTTAATGAGCCTCATCGTTTTTGAGCACCCATCCTACGCTTAGGCAAGTACGTTCTATATATGTTAAGGTTTTTTGTATGTGTCCAAATAAAAAATACTAAATTGTTTGCTTTGACAGGAAGCTGAAAGAAATAACTAGAGTGTCTCTTGATGGATCCGAGGTGTATAATAGGGACCCAACGAATAGTTAATGAGTGAACGAGTATCCAGATTTTTCAAGATTGTCGGCTCTGGGAGTAGGGGGTACTTAAGATAAAAGTAGAAAATAGATATTTTCTTTGACCTGCAGTGGGTTTAAAAAACAAAAAAGTAAGCAAACATTTAAAAATCAAGAGATTTTACATAAACATCTAGATTTCCAGCTTCTCTTGATAGAGCAGAAGCTCTAGAAACAACGGGCCTGTGTTCCTACATAGCAATTGTCCGCTGACATTTACTAGCAGCTGCTCCGCTGCGCTGGGCAAGGCCTCCACCATTTGCCTCAGGCCCTACCCCTCCCTAGTGTCACTAAGAAAATTGCTATTTTCTTTACGCTTGCACTTCTTTCGAGAAAGAGTTCTCTGAACTATGTTTTTACCTCAGGTTGGGAAAAAATTTTAACGCCCCATAGTTTTTCTGACACTCAGTTGTTTTATTTATTTATGTACCTGCCTGGCCCTATCGGTGTTTGAGTTTGAGATCAGTGGTCCTCCAGTCTCCTGGGACAGATAGTCATGAAAAGGTAAAGAATCAAAGCCACACGCCAAACTGGTGGCGCAATTCGTTCCATCGTAGGAAGTGTTGCCAGGCTCACAAAATTGTCCAGATTGGGAGGGATGTTTGATGGCTATTCCAACGACCTCACTTTACAAACAAGGGCCCAGAAGCTCAGAAAGGAGAAGTGACTTACCCACGTCACAGAGCAAGTGAATGGCAAGGCTTGAGTCAGGACCTGGGGCTCCTGCTGGAGGATGGTGTGGGGCCACCAGACATGCAGGTCGTGCCCTCCGCAAATGTGCCCGGTGAGATGACATCTGAAGGGGAAGATCGGCTGAAATCTAGTCCTCCTCACCTTGCGCCTGGCTCAGAGCTGTCTCCACCTGGAGATTTTTAATTTTCTTCATTTCTTAATTTGCACAAAGATCTTGCCCTGTGTGGTAGAGTAAAAGAAAGGAAAAAAGAGAAAACAAAACAGGGCTTTCGAGTCAAAGAGAGCTAGGTTTGAATTCTGACTCTTCTCCTAGTTAGAAGTGACACCTTGAGCAAGTCACAGTATATCTGGGACTCAGTTTCTTTGTAAAAATGGGGGTGATGATAATGCCTAACTCACAGAGCTGTTCCGAGGATGCACAGCCACAGGCCGGGGACAAAACCGGTGCTCAGTAGAGACTTGTGGAGCTCAGATGTAGAGGCCACATTATGAAAGGCCTACAGAGATGGGCTCTGGCCCCTTTTAACTCTCAGTCTCCTAACCATCTAAAGTGATGTCTACAAAGCATGGCGAGAATAACCACGGTGCATCTCCCTCTCCCTGGAGCAGGCGTGTCCTGGGGAGAAGAGACCAGCAGGCAGCCAGTCTGCTCTGGCAAGATGCACTTCACCCTCGCAATCCTGACACCCCAGATTAGACGGTGTGGAGAGTGCTGCTAATTTGCTCAGGGCTTTGGAATTCCACTCAAAGTCACTTCTGGGTGGCTAGCCGTCCCCAAGCTTACGTTGCCCCTGTTCTTGTCGGTAAAAGGTGATACGCTCTGTGCAATGACGGGGAGAAGCCAAGATCCTCTGCCAGCTGTAAGTGGCTGCTCCTTCTGGTATGAAACCTTAATGAGGCTCAGTTCTCACCTCTATGTGATGAGAAGAATGGTATCTTTCTGACCAGCCTCTCTCTAAATCAAATGATATATTGCTTTTGAAAGTTCTTAGAAAAGTTTGGAGAGCTATCCAAAAGTAAGGGATAATTCTTCTCATTGTTTCCAAAGTAATGTATCTTCAGTGTGAAAAGCATCCGTGAGCAAAAGAAAGAGAATTAAAATCCTTCAGAATCCCACCACTTTTGTTTTGTGTATGTGTGTGAGGAAGATTGGCCCTGAGCTGGCATCTGTTGCCAGTCTTCCTCTTTTTGCTTGAAGGAGATTGTCACTGAGCTAACACCTGTTCTAATCTTCCTCTATTTTGTATGTGGGACACTGCCACAGCATGGCTTGATGAGCAGTGTATAGGTCCGACCTGGGTTCCAAACCTGCACACCCCAGGCTGCCAAAGTGCTATGCCACTGTGCCGGCCCCCAACTTTTGTAATCACTGCTCAGTGCCTCATTACTTGAAGCATGGTCAGCAGAAGCATCACCTCGGAGCTTTTTAGACGTACAGGATCACAGACCCTGCCGGTATCAGTCGGCTTGGGCTGCTGTAACAGAATACCGCAGACTGAGTGGTTTCAAGAACAGACATCTATTTTCTCACAGTTCTAGCGGCTGGAAATCCAAGATCAAGGTGCTGGCAGGGTTGAAACTTCTCCTCATGCTTGCAGACAGCGCCTGCTCAGTGCGTCTTCATGTGACCATTTCTCTGTTTGTATGCACACCCCGGTGTCTCTCTGTTCTTAGAAGGACACCAGTCCTATGGGATCAGGGCCCCACCCTCATGACCTCATTTAATGGTAATTACCTCCCTTAAAGGCCTGTCTCCAAATACAGTCACACTTAGGGTTAGGACTTGAAGTTATGAATTCAGGAGGGGCCGGGGGGTGGACACAATCCAGTCCATAACACCACCCAGACCTATTGTATCAGAATCTTTATTTTGACAAGATCCCGGTGATTCCCATGCACATTAAAGTTGGAGACCCACTGATTTTACTGTGTAACCTTCCACCCTTGCTTTTTTACATAGCTTTTTTTTTTTTTTAAAGATTGGCACCTGAGCTAGCAACTGTTGCCAATCTTTTTTTTTGTTTTTTTTTTCTGCTTTATCTCCCCAACGCCCCCCATATATAGTTGTATATCTTAGTTGCAGGTCCTTCCAGTTGTGAGATGTGGGGTGCCTGCCTCAACGTGGCCCGACGAACAGTGCCATGTCGGCGCCCAGGATCCAAACCCTGGGTTGCCGCAGCGGAGCGTGCGAACTTAATCACTCAGCCACGGGGCCAGCCCCCACATGGCTTTATACATATATGCCAATGTAGGGGAGGAAGACATTTCCTCTTCCCAAATGTGGGTTCGTCTGGCCGGAGAACGAATTAAATTCACATGAGACAGAATAGCAAGAGAAAATTAAACAAAGCTTTATGAGGAACCATGGCCCGGGGCCTCTCTTCCCGAAGGAAGAAAGGGCACCGAAGAAGTGGGGTGCACGTGGTGGTTATATACCCCCAAACAGGGTGTTTCACATGTGATTGAAATGTCCCTTTTACAATAGTCACAAGGCCACTCTGTCAGCACAGAACTGGATGGAAACGACAGATAGGTCTGCTGTCCCAGTGAACGCCGTGGGGTGGCAGGTGTGTTGCCTTGGGCTGGGGGGGGGGGGGGGGGGGGGGGGGGGCGGGAGGGTCACAGATGAGCGCCGCAATCAGTTCCCAGCCTAAAGAAAGATGCTTAATCTTTAAGGAGATGCCAACGTTGGGAGGGGGAGGGAAGTCAGTTACAGGAGGTTACCAGACTAGCACAATAAAATGCCGATTTAAGTCCTTGCCTTTGGTATTGATTAAGAGTTTTTAGAGAGAAGGTCATCGCCTTTCTTCTTCCTGGTACAGAGAGGGAGGCACCTTTACAGATAGAGATTTACCTTACAAATGTAAATGTGTCCTAACGAAGGGCAAGTTCCATTCCTCAGAGCCTCCTTCCCTGTCCCAGCTTATCAAAAGAAATCAGCCTCAAATAATCCTGATGCCAAAGAGACATATCCTGGGGTGGCCAATTCCAGGTCCCCACACCAAGATGGAATCAAACCATAGGTGCTGTTTTATAAGCTGCTTTTTTTTTTTGTTTAGCAGTATATATTTATCATATATTGTCAACAATATCCCATGTCATTTAGCACTATTCAGCCACATCATACATGATGACCACAGGGTCTTTTGTTACATGGATGTATCTTAATGTCCCTAATCAGTTCCCATATGGTCAGGCATTTATACTGTTCTCAGTTTTGCACCGTTATAAAAAACACTGTGATGAACATCCTCGAAGCAATGTTGGCACACAGCCGTCTTTATCCTAGAAAAATGTGGGTGTAATAATTTTTTTGCCCTGTAGGGGGCCCTCGCCAATCTCCGTCTCCTCAGCCCGCGAGGTCTGGAAGCCCATCCCAGCAGAGGCTCTCCCCACAAGGCCAGCAGCCCCTGAGCCCCCCGTCCGGATCTCCACAGCAGCAGAGATCGCCAGGCTCTCCACAGCTGTCCCGGGCATCCAGTGGCAGCTCTCCAAACCAGGCCTCCAAGCCGGGCGCCACCCTCGCCTCACAGCCCAGGCCCCCCATTCAAGGCCGCAGCACCTCCCAACAAGATGAAGAATCCAAGAAGCCAGCACCACCCCACCCCCATCTCAAGTAAGTGCTTTGGGAATTGGGAAAGGTCTAGGGTGGAGCTGGGGTGTGGGCAGAGCTGGGCTGACTCAGGGTCAGGGACCCAGAGACAAAGACCCACTGAGGCCTCACCCAGACTTTAATAGGCAGCAACGGGCCTAGTGGATGGAAACTGGGGGGCAGGCAGGGCTCAGCAGGTGAGAGTATAGACTAGGCCCCACCATGATCCTCCGTATGCACCTGCCTCTGTAATTTCTTGCTGCATAACAAACTACCCTGAAATTTAGTGGCTTAAGAAAACCACCATTTCCTTTGTTCATAATTTTTTGGCCCAGCAATCTGTTCTGAGTTTGGCTCAGCTGGGAGGTTCTTCTGCTGGTCTCTTTCTGCAGAGTTGCTAGATAAAATACAGGATGCCCAGTTAGATTTGAATTTCAGATAAGCAATGAATAATTTTGAGTCTGAGCACATCCTCCAATACTGCATGGGATATACTTATACTAAAAACGTATTTGTTTTTCATCTGAAATTCAGGTTTAACTGAATGTCCTGTATTTTCATTTACTAAGTCTAGCAAGCCTCCTCTCCTGGGATCATTCGTACGACTGCAGTCTTCTGACAGCTTAGCTGGGGCTGGATGGTCTGAGAGGGCCTCACACACACATCTGGTTGTTGGTGTTGGCTGGCTCTGTGGGCCTCGTCCTCCAGCAGGCCGGGCCCAGCTTCCTCACATGGTAGAATTCCATCCCAAAAGGGTAAAGGAGAAGCTTCAAGGCCTCTCGAGGCCCAGCCTTAGAAGCCTCACAATGTCATTTCATTCCGTCTCATGCTTTTGGTCAAAGCAAGTTACATGGCCAAGCCCGGATCCCAGAGGTGGGGAAGTGGACTTCTGATGGGAGGACCTGCAACGTCACCTTGCAAACGGCCAGACCACAGAGCCGGGAGGAACGGTCGTCATCATTTCTGTAAACAAACCAACACGATACACATGCACATCCGCTTTCCTCCCGACCCCGTCACTTGGTTTGAGGTCAGAAAGATCCCAAATGTGTTTTCTTTGGAAAGTTTCTCCCTTCCTTCAACTCCAAACATGAATATTGATAATCATAGTTTCACCACTGGCTTCTGTTGTCTTCCTACTATGTGCCAAGCACTTTACCTAGTCGGTTTTCTTTTTTTTAATTCTCACAAGCTTAGGAGTTAATAACTATTATTATCCCCATTTTACAGATGAGTAATCAGAGAAAGAGATTAATAACTTGCCAAGTTTCCACGGTTAGTAAGTAGAAGAGCTAGAATTGAACACACGACGTCCAGTCCACAGGTCATGCTAAACATATTGTTTCAAATAGGTAATACATTCACATGGTTCAAAGTGCTAAAAGATATCAGTGATATCAGAAGTATGCACTGAAAAGCCTTACTCCCACCTCATTCCCATCCAATGCTTTCCTGCGTCCTGCTCCCCAGAGGGGGCCGCTTTTGTTACTTCCTTGTGTATTTGTTCCTCCAGTGTTTGCTTATGCAAATACAAAAATATATGTTCTGATTCTTTCCCCCCACTTTTTAACACAAATGGTGGTATTCGCTATCCACACCATTCTGCTCCTTGATTTTTACGTTTAACAATAAATCCTGGAGCTCTTCCACTGAGTTCATTATTCTCCTTTTCACAGCTGTATAGTATTCCACTGTATAGTTGTACTGTAATTTATCTAATTAATCTACCATAAATAGAAATTCAGTTTGCTCTTACAAAGAAGTTAAAGTGAATAACCTTGAGCACACGCTATTTCTTATGTGTGCAGGATCAGCTGTAGAGAAAATACCTGCAAAATGGTATTGTTGGATCAAAGGATAAATGCATTTTTATTGATAGATATTCACCAGTAGCCCTCCAGGAAAAATGGCATAGTGATTGACAGCACAGACTCTGGAGTCAGACTACCTGGGTTCAAATTCCAGTTCTGCCACTTAAAAGCTGCGTGACCTCAGAAAAATTACTCACCCTCTCTGTGCTTATACTTCCTCACTTGCAAAATGGGTACAATAGTACTTACCCTACAAGGTTATTATAAGGATTAAAATTAGTTTATGCACAGTCAGTGCTTAGAACACTGCTGGCATTATACAGGCATATCTGTGACAGCCTCTCACCATGTGAGAAGATGCAGCCCAGGTAATGCCAGGACAGGCAAGGGCTGTGGGACTTAAGCCAGGTTTGGACACTGACATTATGGTAATCTGGCTAGAAACACTTAAATCTCCTGGTTTACTGCTCTCACGTATTATTTGGTTCAAGTCAAGTCAGCAGGTGTTTATCAAACACTCGCTCCTTGCCTAGTGCTGGATAAGGACCCGTGCAGAACAAGCGAGGAGTAGAAAAAGATAGTCCCTGTTTTGAAGAGGATTTCGATTTGTTAATGGGATGACAAGACTGTGCATGGATCTCTTAAACTCGTGACACAGCTGTATCACCACCACCCCTGACGGTGAGCCTCTTGAGGGCAGGGCCTGAGTCACGTTCAACTCTGCAGCCCGGCCCCTGGCCCTAGACCAGCGCAAAGGGCGTGCTCAGCGAGTAGCTGCTGCAGGCTGGCACGCTGCGCCCCGAACAGCAGGCACCGTGGGAATCCCAGAGCAGGCTGGAATCCGCGGCAAAGGCTTTGGGGAAGCGGGGTGACTTGAAGCCCCGAGTGACAGCTGGAAGGGCCTGTGGCGGGCTACACCCACCCTCCCTTTTACCCACGAGGTAGAGGACGCCTGAGCAGTACACTGCTTGCCCACGGCGAGAGGGGTCAGATGGCAGAGCGGGCTCTGCAACACAGGCCTCTTGGTTCCCGGACTCGTGCTGGAAGCCCCGGGAGGAGCAGCCAGGACCCCACGCTGAGCCAGCACGTTACCCTCCACGAAGCGGGTTTGTGCACACAGGCAGGAGAGTGGTCAAGTTACTCTCTAGTAACCCTGCCTTCTGAGCAGCCTGGTGTAGTGGAAAATGTGAGCCTTGGCTGCTCCCCTATCTCTTGCATGAGCCCCAATTTCTGTACCTAAAAAAGGAGGGTACCCATGACCACATGGCAGGCTCAGTGATGTGTGTGATGTCAGTCACGGAAGCGTTGGGGTGTCTGGTTTCTGGTCTTAATATCCTCCTGATGACCAGGCTCACCCAGCTGGCTTCCAGGCAAGACCCCCACAATTCATTTCCTTGGGGGTCCAGGCCCTGTCGCTCCCAACCCCTCTCGCCTTTCTGTTTCAGCAAATCGCAGTCCCTGACTAACAGCCTCAGCACGTCTGATGCGTCCCAGCGCGGGCCCCCCAGTGAGGACGAGGCCAAGGCCGAGACCATCCGCAACCTGAGGAAGTCATTCGCCAGCCTCTTCTCAGACTAGCCCCGTGCAGGCTGCTCGTCACACCCTCCCGCCTCCTGCCTCGTCTTCCTTCTCAGCCTTGGTTCCCGATGGGAACAGAATGGAGGGCCTGAGAATGTACTGTCTAAATGCCTCTGACCCAGCAGCTGAGTATCTTTACGTGTCCCCACTTTCCTTTGCCGTGACGTTCCAGTGTTGTCCCGCTGAGTGGTGGGCCTTTGAGAGCTTCCAGGTTCCTCAAAATGGGCCCTAAAGACAGGTGTCATATCACGCCACTCCCCGGATGCTTGCTTCCCTGCCTCAGACCACCAAGTGCGATGTCTGCGTGTGGCTACTTTTCACACTTCTTGTTCGTGTTTTGCTTGCCTTTGGGCCAAGGTCCCCTCTAGGGCTTGTCCCCCTCTACATCAAATGCAGACTCTGTAGTCGGACCTCAGCAATTTAGGAGGCAATAATCTTTTGACAGTGTTTTGCAAACAAAAGGAGAAAAGCCCAGCCAGGGGCACCTACCACCGACCCACACTAGTTCCAGCCAGGCTCAAGAGACGGCCCCTCAGACCCGCAGGCAAGGCCCCACCAGGCCTGACCATCGGGGGGATCTTGAGGACAATGGAAAGAAACCAGATCCTGTGTGACAAGTGGGGCCTTTCAGAACACAACAGAAGCAGAGGGAAACTCTTGGAATGCTGCTCATGCCCAGACTGGACAGCCACGAGCAGACCACAGCTTCTTTAGGAGTCATTCCTGGTCCCCGCAGAGGAAAGGCCCTCCACTTCCGAGGAGGGCGTTAGGTAGGGTAGGGCTCCTCCCCCCTTCTGTGTTACACCACCAGGAATTCTCTCTGAATTCCCACCAGGATGTGGTTTCCTCCTCAAGAGCATAGGAGGAACCAGAGAGAATCAGCAGATCGATGACACAGGATCAGAGAGTGTGATGATGGTAGCTTCTAGGCCGGCATTTCACAAACAAATTACAAAATTACAAATTACAAGATTACAAAAGGGGTTCATGGTCACGCATGTTTAGGAAACACTGTTTTTATTTCTATTTTTGAGGTTGATGTTACACATTACACGTCAAAGTCTGTTGGGATTCCTGCAGTAAAGAAATTAGCTTTAACTTTGCTTAACCTGAACTTGACTAACAATTTAACTGCGGAGCTGGAGAACGTAGTCCTGACTCCCTTTCCAAAGCTCTCTGCCTATAACAGACTACCCCCCATGACCAGATGGGGTGCAGGGCTGTCCCAAACCGCCAAGCACCTGGTGCTAGAGCCATTGTAGGTGCCAGACCAGCCTCCTGGTCCCACACGGAGCCCGGAATACTGGGACAGAGCCAGGCTATCCCCTCTAGGCCCGCTTTGCCACTCAAGATGTGTCTTCCCCTCACTTCACAGGGAAGGGAGAGAGGGAGGCAGAAATGAAAGTGTCCGTGGCCTGGAGCAGCTTCTGGTCATCCCCAAGAGATATAGACTGCTTGGTAATCAGCTGAGACCTATCCAGGCTCCCAGGGGCATAAAAGCAGTCCTTTGGTCCTTCAGAGCCAGATTGGTGTGGTGAGGACAAGGCCAGAGACCTCCTCCTTCTCTGTGCATTGGGTCGCCTAGAACCCTTGACCTCAGAAGGACCTGCCTTCAAGCGGGCTTCCCAACAGACTAGTAGCTGGAGACCGGCTCAGTATCCAGAGTCTGGCTTTGTACCTGGCTGTCAGAGATCCACTTGGCCTTCAGAGTTGTCCTCTTCTGACTTGCCCTCTTTCCTCCTTCATGATCAAATCAGTACTAAGAGCAAGAAAACCTAGGCTACTTCAGAAGTCCTCTTTCTCTTGTTCAGGACCCCTGGTCTTGGATGCAGTAAAATGTAGCAGCCCCAGGGCCGGCCCAGGGGCACAGCAGTTAAGTTCATGTGTTCTGCTTTGGTGGCCCAGGGTTCGCTGGTTCAGATCCCTGGTGCAGACCTATGCACTGCTCATCAAGCCATGCTGTGGCAGGTGCCCCACATATAAAGTAGAGGAAGATGGGCACAGATGTTAGCTCAGGGCTAATCTTCCTCAAAAACAAAAAATAAAAAGTAGCAGCTCCAGCTTGAGAGAGATCAGTTAGATCCAGTTGCCAGTGACCATTGAGAGCCATAATTTGGCAGCTGGAGACCGTGGTAGCCTTGGGCCTGCCTGGTACTGACTAGGATCAACAGCAAATATAACGGCCACTGTGCCAGGTGAGTGGTGAACTGGTCCTCTCTATTCTGTCTCTGTGCTCCGTTGGTTCAGTGTCTGTGGGACAATCCTTGCTGGCATGGCTGGAGCTCCCTCTGCCCGGTGACACACCTCCCTCCTTTTTGCTCAGCCTCTGCAATGCAACAGAACCAGGCCGGCCAGGAGCTGCCAGAAATGCTTCCCAGGGGCAGCTGCAATGGCCCGTGGACAGTCAGACAGATGGAGCTGCTACTTTGCAGGCATTACTCTCAACACATTCTGCTCGACCCCCAACGTGGGTGGGGGTGGGCCTTGGGGTCAACACGACCACACCCATGCTTTGGGGAGGGCAGCTGAGGGTAGGGAGATCAGACAGTCTGTAATTCCGTAGAACTTTTCTTCTTCGTCCTTCTCCTGCTGCCTGATGTCATTCTTTCACCACTCCCCAGCGACTTCTGGAGAAAGCCAGGGGAGGCAGAAGGAAAGGAGAAATGGAGGTGAAATTCGAAATGTCAGACGTGGCTACCTTCTAAAGCTGTTCTGTTAAAAGAAATTTAACAGAAGAGTAGAAATATTGGAGAATGTGAGGTTTGGTGATTAGCCACCCCAGTCAAGGATCCTGGGAGTCCCATTTACACACACACACAAAAACATGCCTAGAGAATCACTGGGAATTGACAAATGTACATCCCATAATCCCATCACCTAATTTTCAGTTCCTAGTTCGCTTCCTAGGGGCCCTCTGAAGACACTCGGAGAAGTCACATGCTGAGGGAGCCACAGTCCCAGCCTCAGGCGTAAAGGTTCCAGGGCTCCTCCCTCCTCTCCTGACAATGCAGTTGAGGTCGCCCTAGTAGAAAGACTTTGGAGCTCTGCCCCTAGGAGCCTATTGTAAGATTCAAGCACAGAGAGTTACATGATTTGAAGTTTGGTTTCTTCTACTTAAAATATATATCTATATATTCCCCACATTACTCAGGGGCAGATCTTTCAAAGAAATAATGCTGTTCTACATTCTGAATGAAGGGGTGAGAGAAAACTTGTAGGGCAGGGTGTGACACCACGAAGCCCCGTGCTGTCGGAGGTTAGGAACACAGGGAATCCTTGAGGCAGGTGTCACTCTTCTGCCCTGGAGATTAAGAGCGGAAGAAGTCAATCTCACCTGATTCTCATTTAGTAATGAAACACAGCTCAAAGTACACAACGAAGTGGTGACAGGCTAGACAAATTTTCTCAATGTGCAGAGCTGGCCATGTGCAGAGCTGGCTATGTGCAGAGCTGGCTTCTTTCAGACCAAAGGAGACAGAATTGCTGGTCATATGGCCCAGAACATGTATCTTTGTCAGTCTCCCCAAGTGTTTTGAATGCATATTCAAGACAGACCAGCAGCCCTGAGCCGAGCTGTGTAGGAGAGCCACCGCAGGAGAAAGGGTATTGATACGGATGCTTACAGCCAGGGACCCACTCCTTTGGTGAGCAAAACTAATGGCTCCATAAGCAATGACCGCGTGGCTTAAATTTTCCCACTTTCCTAGATTCAGTTCTTTGTCCCTAAAAGCATCTCAGCATTCGAACTCATCTCCCAGATACTGACTACAGTAGCACAAACTCCTTTATCAGGCCAGGCATACTGATTCTTACAACCATGCCAGATGACCCATGACGTAACACTAGTTTATACCCAACACATTTAAACAATTTCTCCCATTGGTCTCCCATGTGTATGAATATAGAGACCAAGAATGGTCTTGTGGAGAAACAGTCCCCAAAATGGGCTGTTTTCTTACATAGGCTAGCACACGTCCCTTCCAAACATTTAACCTTTAATAATTGTGACAATTTGAAATGGGAAAAGACAAAAAGTGGGGAGAGGAGTCACTCTACAGAGATTCGGAAAGGTCGCATTAGTCATTTTTTGCTTTGTTTCACAATTTTGACCCAAAGAAGGGCTAGCATTTGCCTCCGAGCTGACTTGGTGAGGCTGGAACATGACAAAGATCCATTTGGTTTGTGCCAATGTATAGCACAAAGATGGCGGATTCAACACTGCATCCTCGTGGACACCTCCCCCAGCCAGAGGAAAGGTCTTCTTCCAGATTTTCCCACCAGCAGGATAAAATGGTACTGCAGGCGGATGAAATGCGCAGTCAGCTTTCCAGGGACACGGGGATAGACACCCTTTCTCTTCCATCAATTCTCTGCTCTCTTCATTACTCCGTTCCCTCCTAACATTCGGTCCCTGCTGATGGGGCAGTGAGTTCTACCCTTCTGAAATTTCAGGGGTGACGGGGCTTCACTTAGATGGTGACAAATACAGTAGCAGAGCCCACGAGCTGACTTCATCAACCACCTTCTGGAAGTTATTTGAATTTGCTGTGAAAGGGTCCAAGGGGAAAGCCAGCAGGTGCAGGTATCTCATGAATGAGCTATGAGAATAAGGCACAGAGCACATGGCTTGGCACACAGTAGGTGTTCCAGACATGTTTTCGGTTGGCCTTCCAAGAAAACTATGAAATTAATAAAATGTGAACAAAGTGTTAAATAAGAAAAAGCCTGCTTTCTAAGAATATCAATGAGAGGAAGTCACTTGCCCAGGAATAGAATTAAATCAATGGGGAGATTAGCAAAATCAGGTAAGAAGCTGAAGAAAATCTACGGCAGTTTTTTTAACCTCAGAAAGAGGTTTCAGACTCTAAACTGAGTCTGAGAAGGAATGGGAGCAAGCAGAACTGGGGGTCATGAACCACCTCCCGAACCCCATGGTGAGCACAGCCCACAAAGAGGTGAGTTGATTGCAGGGCTGCCACGGCGGGGAGCCAAAGGGACGAGGTGTCATTGTCAGCATGGTCAGAGGCGGCTGTGGCGAGGCCAGGACAATGCTAAAGCTTGTACAGCAGAGACCCAGGACCCAGGAGTCCCGTCCAGACCATACACCGCACAGCAGCCCACAGCAGAGCTTCCCAACCAGCTCGAGCCATCCCGCAGGCACACAGTGTCCTTTCCGAGCCCTGCCCCTCCGGACGCTGGAGAGTAGACTGAGTTCTTGTGCTTCATCCAACTTCATAAAACAGGCCGGTGACTCATTTTATGTGTTTAGAACTGGTGAAAGGATGCAGGTTGGAGTCACGGTTCAAGCTAGTTAAGGCAGCCTTGCAGAATCAAGTGGTACCTTAAATATACTGGAGAACTAACTCACGGCCCAAGAGTACTTTCACGTGGATTGCAGGTTTTTCTTTCTAGAGAGCATGCTGGCTGCTTACCGACTATACTGACGAGGGTCAAAGCTGTCCTGGACTCCCAAGCGGTCACTGATTAAATTCAGGGCTACAGTCTAATGTTTAGACTCTAATAGAAGACGGCACTTCTGGTTTGGTTGGAGACAAATTAGAAGGTTGGGCGACAAGCAAGTGAAACCAGTCCATTAACCGAACACAATGCACAGAGGCTCCCTTGTGTTTCCAGACAACATATGCAGCCGAAAGAGATGCAACCTGGACACTCAGCCCATGTACTCCAAGCTCTCTCAACCGGCAGGCCAAGAGGAAAGGCTGAAAATGGCTGGGAAAGGTTTTTTTGAAATTAGTGAGACTTTCCTCTAAGAAAGCCAATCTAAAAGTAAAGATTCCTTCTACAATGTGTGTTGATCCTTTAAAATCCTGAATACCTTCTGTTATTTTTATTCTGACTGGTCCCTTCATTTTAACTTCAATTTCCAAACTCTCATGTTTTAAGTGTCTGCTCTCTATGGTCTTTCACTGAGCAGAAACTAACATTTCCTTGCCTCTCAATTAACATTTTACCTGTTTTGCTATGGAATAGCAGAAACTTCAGTGCTATCACCTATTGGGGAATCCCAGAGAGGTATCTAAATTAGTTAAGATTAAACCTTTATTTTATGTGACCTACCTAGTACTTCCCAATAATCTTACCCACTCCACATCTTCCACATGAAGCAGAGCCTATCCAGAGGAGTCCTAACCGTGCATAGGGCACAGCAGAAAACAGGGACCTGCCCGGCTCCTCCCTGAGGCTCTGGGATTCAGCAGCGACCATCCAGGGTAGGAGAAAGGCAGGCCTTGGCGCTGGGCCTCAAGTGTAGGGAGCAAAGTGGGGAGTGTCCAGCTCCATAAGAATAAGGATTCGAGATAGTAAGCTGAGCAGTGATCTCAGGAATTGGAAAGAGCCAAGCAAGGTGACAGAGGGCAGAATTCAACTGTTTTTCCACAGGGAATCACAAAATCTTAAGTTGGAAAGAGAAGATGCCTCCCATGATTTGATTTGATTTCCAGTCATGCCAAACCATATCTTTCATTTATAAAGTGAGAAGCGGTGGGGGAGAGCAAGCTCCTATTAATAAAAATAACTAAAGGGGAAAATAAGGGGCCACAGAAAGTCGTTGAGGCTACAAGCCAATGATGTAGACCCGCGTCTTACTAAAATGCATACCACGAGGCTCTAAACTATCCTGCTTCCGTTACAGTTTATTAAGCTGATGTCAGAAAACCATGCGCAGAATGGACTGCTGCCAAACTATGATTTCGTTCTCATTATACATCAGCAATATATAAAAACTCAACAGTCTCAGTCTAATGAAAAGAATGTAGGATTTTACAGGCTTCTAACGATAAATTTAGCTATTCAAGAGGAAAAGCTTTGAGGATTGTTTTAAAAATTTAGAATGAATTACTACAAGGACTGCAAATTTAGGTGTATGGCACACGGCCAACATCCTAAACTAAGATTTGTAACGTATGCCAGTAAGTCTGAGACGAGGTCAGAAAGTGGAACCTGCATCCATGGACACCAGCACCATTCATGGACATCTCGAGGACCATTCAAAAATGACTGCATTTTGCAAACTCATTTTTATAGTGCTTGGTGCTTCTGGTCATCACTATGTCCACCCACACCCACACACCGGCACACTGCAACCTACTATTACAAGGTCACAAAGACATGTATTGAGGAACTAGGATATATTTGGACCCATCAAAGCATCAGGATGATTCTTTCAGCCCAGGCCCAATTAAAGCCCAGTGGACACTTGTTTTTTAAAAGCTGTCCTACAGCTCAGATATTAGAAAATACCACAGAAAGATACATCAACAGCCCCAATCTTTTACATATACAGTAAGCTACTAAAGGTGACATGGCCTCTGGGAAATCATATTATTGACTAAATTTTCTTCACTGTGATAGAAATAAAAACGACTATATGTGTAGCAACAAAAAAATATTTTCACATGTATGTAGGACTCAAAACATTCTTGCAGCACATAACATTCCAAGCCATTTCCTTATATGCAAAACAGATTTTTTTAAAAAGCAGGAAGACACTGGCAATATTCCTAAATATTTTCTCCAGATACTGTTTTATTCCTGTGTTGTGATTCAGAGTTTAATTTGTCACTACAGCATGTTTCTATAGTTGTTTGTGTGATAAGACACTGGTGTTTGGCCTTTTTCTTGTAGGAAAAATAAATCTTGAATTTTGTGTATCAAGTCTTAAAAGCAGCATGTTCTTCAAATAGTAAGAGGCCATCTTTGAAGAACGAGTTCCTGACGAGCACTCAAAAAGCAGTAAAACTTTGTCCTTAAAAGATGTCATCTACTTAGGTTACAAATTAGGCACCGAGGGTTCAAAACACAAGGAAAACAAATTGTAACTCCACTCCAGGAGAAGCCAGAAACGAGAGTCCCTATAACCCAGTGGTCGTCAACAGCGCCGCTCCAGCCCAGGAAGGTTCCCCACGGAACCTGGGGAAGAGCTGCAGAAAGAGGGAGGAGTGGACCGAGCTGGCGGCTGTCCACAGCACCCTCCACGTCCCGCTTAACCAAATCAGCTCTGCTTTTATTCATTTTATGTAGCAGCCTTCTGCAAACAATCTCATTTGAAGAAAGGGTGCCACTAAAAATAATCCCCCACAACAATCTGATGACACTGAATAGGTTCTCTGATCATTCTGAAATGTCCAAGTAACGTTGTGAAGCTGTTCTGAATATTTATTACATATCTTTCTCTAATAAAAATCAAGACTGCCATGTAATTTACACGTAATTATTTTTAATCTGGTACAGAACATCATCAGTGAACCACCTTTATTCTAGAGGGGAATTCAGAGGGAAGTCAGCAGCCAACTATCCCCCAGCCAGCCTCATCATGCAGTAACCTTTGGGCCGTGCCACCCCTGGAGCTTTAAGTACATCTACTGAAAAGCTTCTCTGAGTGCATTTCTCAACACCACAAGCAGAAAACACTAGGGATCAGCACCCCAACAAGATGACATCCGTAGCTTTAAAACACAAAACCAAAACAAGCTCCAGAAGTGACATCATGAATCAATTACATGAATGGTAGCCGGCTGTCAGCTGACCGACCCCTGCTGGGTCTGAAGGGAAATCTGTCACTGGGGCCACCTCGCCCTGGCAAGATGGGGCTAGGTCCTGGAAGTGGGCCAATTGGATCAAAACGTGGTCTGAGTGGAGGGAACTGGCTGGGTGTCTCCCCAGGCCCAGGGATGAGTGAATTGATTGGGTCCCCAACATAGGGAAGTGTTAGTCTTTCATCATATTCACCACCAATAATTCCTGGAGGAAGGAGAGAGCTGGGAGGAAAAGGCCTGGGGTGCAAGGGGTTGGGATAGAATGGAAGGGGGTGGGGAGACGATGGCAGGAACATCACATGCCGCCCTCTCTGAGCTTCTTTTCTTTGTTTGTGCCTCTTCTTGTATAGCTGTAGAAAAACAAGAACAAGATATGGTAAGTGATTGGATATTTCCCCGAAGTTCCAGTCTGCCTTCACTGTATAGATCTATCCACACTTTTCTTTTCTCACATGACAAAGGCAACAAACAAAGAAAGGGCCCAGAAGAGAACTCTGACCAGTTTCCATCTGCATGAATCAAGTCATAGCTCTGAATACAATGCCAAATTAACTCTGTTCTTTAATCACACCGCAACTGAGCAACGGCCAATTTGGAGTAACGATAAATCCAAAGGAGGGATAACTGTGTGACATGTACTTTTAAGACTAAAATCTAGAGCCCTCAAGTTGATAAGCAATTTTAAATCAGCCTCTTTTGAAAGTGGGAAATTTAAATATTTGTTGACAATACCATGCCACAAAATGTAAAGTTACAGTATTGAGGGGGCAGCACTTAAATTCACTTTTTCACCTAAATTATGTCCCCAATGGATCCCAATTTAAACGACAAAAATTAGATGCCTATTTTAGGGGATGGAACATATTCCTAAAGAACAATCCTGCGTATTTCGTACATATTTGAGGACTTTCATTGAATACTATTCTCTAGTCCTTCGTCCCAAGTTTTTCTCAGTCCTGTCAATGTCTTTGATAGTAAGCATCTGCAAATATAACAATGTATTTATTCTTTTCATAATGTGCTATTCTCACTAGCTGAACGGCCAGACTACTCCAGCAAAAAACTCAAAAATTTTTTGCAACAGAAGAAGAACGGAGAATGTTTTATATTAAGTAAAAGTGAAAAATAATCATTGTGTTAAGATTTTCTTCCTGTGTAATTACAGGAAAGTAAGGACTAAGTCGAAGGTAAAACTTGAAAACATTTTCATTTACTGAAAATTAGCAACAAACTTAATGAAAACAGATTTCATTATATAATAATAAAAGTGAAAATATGCTCTTAATGTATTAATTCATTAGTTATTTCTGAGCTATGAACATTAGCCTTGATATTTAAAAATACCTACTTCTTTCCAATCTGTGTCTCGAACTCTCACAGTACTATCTACAAAGGAAAAACAAGAAATACGGACTTAAAAACGCTTCATTCAGCCAGCATTCAACAGCAGGTTTGCTTTTGTCCCAGGAAACTGAAACTTACGCATTAAGCACAAGAGGAAGATGAATCATCTGTTCACCAGCACTGTATCATTTAGACTTCCCTGAACCTAACTCGAACGCCCTCTTGATGGCTGAGGGCAATCGTCAAGGTTCTGTGCTCCGTGGCAATTCAACAGTGACTCCCTCAGGGCTGCAGAGGGCCACAGGCTGCTCCCCCTGCACTAACTGTCCCACCACATCCCCCCCACCCCAAGTCTCAAGTAGGCGTGTCGGCTGCTTCTAACCTCCAGGCTCACGTTACACCAAACTGGGTGACAACTTCTGAACGTCTGGTCACTACTGGAGGTAAAGCTGACTTGAGGCTTTTCTCCATATTTGGGTTATTTTCTCTCAATCATGTTCTGAATGACTCGACTTTCAGAAGTATGACCATGACTAAGTATTTTTTAATGTACTTATTTACTTGAAATATGTGAAATGAGGAAAGAAGAACCCCTTCAACTTTAAGTCTAATGAAGAGTTCGCATAAAAGGTAGCGACGTCTTCTCTACAAGTTATTACACTGGCACAAAAGGAAGATTTATAAAGTTCCGACCGGTAAGGTTGCATCCAGAGGGAAATTCATGATAAAATCGGAACACTCGGACTACAAACGAGCTTCAGGACCAGAGTCTGGAGACGGGCAGAGGCAGGCTGTACTTTAAACTGAACGTGAATAGACGTGGAAAAGGGTATCTGTTCCTTTTATGAGTATTTTATCACAGCCTGTTTTCTTTGGGTTAGTTCTTCCATAACTGTTGGTCATTTGGTCTTTCCATTTTAAGTTTTTTCAAATTTTTTGAGATGACACTTGCTGCCTCCTAGAACAAAACAACATTTTAAACTTTGGACTCAGGGGCATGAATAAAGTGAAACTTAGGAATCAAGGAGGAAGAAAAGGGAAAACCAGGTCATTCACACTTCTTAAATTTTGAAGTTTTAAAAGAAAAAAAAGGTTTTTAACAATCCAAATGATTCTACTTGATACTCTTATTTAAGGAAAAAAAAAGGGCATCTACCCACTAGATTTTTATAGTTGATAGGGGTTATGTTATCATATATGCACCATCATTCAAACTTTTTTGATGTGAACCACAAATATTTTACATTGCAACACAGTATATACCTACATATATGTAACTGAAAGAGAAGTTTACTATTTTATGAAACCCATACTGATTTTTTTTTAAATGATCCATTAAATGGATTTCATGACCCACCCCAGGCTCAAACCACAGTTTAAAAGAACGTTGATACATAGTAAAATGGTGGTGGCAGAAAGTAAGTTCCACAATCAGGCTTCCAGCCTTGTATCGGGAAATCCTGATACACAAGGCAAAGGTCTCTCACGTTTTAGATAACTTCTCCCCATCCCCAAGTCCCACCGTCATCACCGCTGCAATGATCGCCAGGTCACTGCAGATGTGACTACACAGAAACATAGCTTCCCCAGCAGCACGCCACAGTGGAGCAGGGCTCTCTAACTTGCACACTGGTCACAACCATGGAAGGAGTTTAGAAAAGCAGCAGATTTCTAAGTCGGATACTAAGGATGATCTATAGAGAGAGAACGAACCTGTCTTACTTCCATTTTCCTATCCTGAAATAGTCTACTTGGTCTAATAGCTATTTGTGTTATGGAAAATACAAAGATGAACGGGGAGAGTTTTTAGAACATAGGCAGGATATATGAAGCTTAGAATCTCTTTACAATACAGCTATGTTACGATTATTTGCAACTCAAAAAAAAAAAAGGCCTGCAACAGAAAACTTTTGGCAAACTGAGTAATTAAGACCTCAATAACAAAGAGCCCTTTTCTTGTTAATATGTCACCAGGGAAATCACCTCGAAAATCCCGCAGATATAAACACCTCCACAGAAGTGGGTCATTCGAAGCAATGAAGAGGTCATGACAAACTGCAGACAAAGACAGGACAGAACGAACATCCAAAAGTCGGAAGATCCGTAGTTTCAGCTCCAATGGAAGGACTACCAACCCAAACACATCTGGCAGGTTCAGTGCTAAAAGGAAAAACAGAACAGGCAGCAGTGAGTAAAGAACATCTGGTAGCCCCCACAGCCAACAAAAGTCGCCACTCGTTCCTTTCTGAAGAGGTGACAGGTTAGATGACAGTCTCAATTATTCAAGCATATGTCACCTACAATGAACTTTCAACCCCAGGGTGACTACATCACTACTGCTAACTCTAAGCCCCTTATTCCCTTTACGTTTTAGTAGAAAGACAAATACTTTTTAATGCAGAATAACTAACTATGACAATTTCTACATACTAGCCAATGGCCTCTTTTTGTGTCAAGCAATATTCAAAGCAACAAAAAATTCTCCGTTCAACTTCGGAAAATGGGTAATTCATTGGCTTTTATAATTGGTTCCCAATGCTGCCACTTACTAGCTGTGTGCCCTGGGGCAAGTTATTTAAACTCTAACTCAATTTCCTCATCTTTAAAATGGGTTAATAATATTACTTACCTCAGTGAGTTGAGAATTAAATGTGTTAATACATATACAGTCATGTACCGCATAACCATGTTTCGGTCAACAATGGGCCACATATACAACAGTGGTCCCATAAGATCAGTACCATATAGCCTAGGTGTGTAGTAGGCTATACTATCTAGGTTCGTATAAATACACTCTATGATGTTCACACAATGACGAAATCACCTAACGATGTGTTTCGCAGAACAATATCCCTGTTGTTAGGTGACACATGACTGTAGAGTGCTTAGAATAATGTTTGCACATAATAAGCACTCAAGTGTTAGCAACTACTATTATTTGATGTCTAACAGGCTAAAAAAAGGAAGGTAGATAAATTCAGAAGCTGGAAATTATATGCCAGCTAAAGGACTGTGGTGGATGATGATTCTCAATCATTTTCTACCCTATAATTATACTTCTCCACCCCACGACCATCAGGCTTGGCCATTTTGACTTGTTTTGTCCAGTGGAATGTGAGTGGAAGTGGCATATCATTTCTGAGCAGAAGATTTAAGAACCAACACATGGTTGGGCCATGGACTCTCCTTTCCCTCTGTCACAAGAAGAACACATCTTGGACAAGGACTACTCCTCCACACAAAATATGTACATGAAGAAGAAATAAATGTCCACTTCGAGTCACTCAGATTTTAAAATATTTTTAACTACAACACAGATAAGAGAGAGTTGACAAATACCAGGATCTTGAGTGAATTATAAAACTCACTGAATTATAGTTTCATCACCTACAAAATCAAATTTACTTCAAATTTGTTAGCATTAAATGAGAATGCCTGTGAAATATCCAAAGTACCTAGCATAGAGCCCCAATAAATATTGTTTAAAAAAAACTTACTCAATTTATAACCTCTATATTATTTACTTATGTATTTATTGAACAGCTATTATGGGCCAGCCCCTGTGGAAGGCCATGAGAACACAAAAGTGAGTAAGACATATTCCCTGCTTTCAAGGTATTCATAACCTTTGGTGGAAACAGGTCATATCAACAATTATGATACACTGGAAAATGAACTACAATAAAGATACGTATAAAATGTTGTGGAAATATAAAGCAGAAATGAATAATATTTAAGGAATTAACATTTAAACTTATTCTTAAAAGAGCAGAATTTCACTAGAAGGAGAAAAGAGGAAAGAGTCGTATGTCATAAAGTGACGAGCACAGTACATAAACTTACTGTTTGTTCTAGCCATTCAACCTGTAACAGTTTATCACCTCTCACCTTGTCGGGTAAAAGCCAGAAGCGGGTACACCAGCTGGTCTTTGAAGAGACGTGAGAGCTTCTGAAGATCTTTGTATATCTTGGCTACATTTTCCCCTAGAATATTTTTTAAAATAAAAAATCAAAACACAGAATCAAGTGGAAAAATCTGAAATGGTGTCCTCTACTTCTGCCAAACCAAATCAAAGCAGTAAATAAATTTTCACAAATAATTCCTACATAGACAGACATGAACTAAAGACTTGGAAGCAACCTAAGTGCCCATTAAGGGATGAATGGCTAAAGAAAATGTGGTATATATACACAATGGAATACTGCTAAGCCATAAAAAAACAGATGCAATCTTGCCATTTGTGACAACATGCATGGACTTTGAGGGTATAATGCTAAGTGAAATAAGTCAGAGAGAGAAAGTCAAATACTGTATGATCTCACTCATAAGTAGAAGATAAAAACAACAAACACATAAGAGACAGAGATTGGATAGGTGGTTACCAGAGGGGAAGCAGGGAGAAAGGAGGGCGAAAGGGGTGATTAGGTACGTGTATGGGGATGGATAATAGTCTTTGGGTAGTGAAAATGATGCAATCTACAAAGAAATTGAAATACAATGCTATACATCTGCAATTTATGTAATGTTATAAAGCAATGTTACCTTGATAAAAAAAGTAAAACAAATTTTTAAAAAATTAACAAAAGAAATAAAACAAAGCAGTTTCCAACTCCAAAAACATTTAAAAAATAAAAATCCCATATCATCAAATTAATAGAGCTGTACCCAACCTATATAGCTCATAGGCTACAATTACGGTAGGAAAAACTGTGGTGTGAGATTCACACACCCAACAAAGATTTACTGAATATTTACGAATCTTTCCTGGGCAATGGGGGTACAGTGGGGAACTGCTCTTGTGGAGCTCAGATCCGAGCAGAATAATAATAGTATTTATCACATGATGACTATGTATCAGCATCTCTGTCACGCATTTTTCAAGCTTTCTTTCAAATCAGCAGTTCTCCCCAAGTAAGAGAGAAATACTATTATCCCCATTTAAAAACAGGACAAGGTAGCAAGAGCCCGTCCAAGGTCTCACAGTAAGTGGCAGGGCAGGATACAAACCTAAGTCTGGCTCCAGAGCACTTGTTTTAGCCTCTAAGCTGCTACACAGTGTGGTCCATGGATCACTACAAGCGACATCACCTGGGAACTGTTTAGAACTATTGACTCTCAGGCCCTACCAGAGACCTACTTAATCAAACCCGCATTTTAACAAGATCCTCAGGTGACTGACATGTACATTACAGCATGGGAAGCACTGTCAAACTGCACCTGAAGTTCCCACTTCAGTTTTCCTATCTATTTACCAAGTGTATAACCTTGAACCCTGTGACCCACACCTGTTTGCTCACCTGTTTAAAGGAGACACCACCAGTGCACCAGAGAAGAGTGGTTAAAATTTAAAGCTCCACGCACAGTGCCTACTATACGAGTAGATAATCAGTTCATGCTTGCTCCCTCCCCATTCCATACTTACGTATTTCACTATCCAGAATAAATAAAACACTCATTATAACTTGATTGATAATAAAAAAAGATATGCAGCTAAACTCTAAATCTCTGTTGCATGAACTACAATTTTGAGTTGAAATCAAATATCAAGATATTTTAAAAATCATTTTGGTTCATGGCCTTTTTTCAAGTGTGAAAACATTTTCTTTAAACAAATTTTTTCCTCCAGTGACCTATTATAAAAGTAATTAGGAACTTATAAATAAAAGGATAAATAACAGTACCTAGTATGTACTAGGTACTATCCTATAAGCCACAGTAAAAATTAAAATGACTTGTCAAATGAGCAGTACTATATTAAAAATACTATATTAATTTAGTCCATAAACCTATAACAGAATTAACTTTCTTCCTCCCCTTTCCCGCTTCCTTATTTAACAGAAACCAGATAAAGAACACAAATCTGAGCTACATTCCTATAAAAGTTGTTTTTAAAAAACAGGCCTAGGAGTCCAATCTATTCCAATGCTAAATTCTACCATTTATTAGCTCTGTAACCTTAAAGTAATTTAACCCCCTCTAGACCTGTTTCCTCATCTATAAAATGGGCATAACAACCTCCAGTGCTATAACATGTAGACTATTTCCACTTCCCGTAGCAAGGTGCTCCCTAGCATGGAGATGAATACTCAGCCAACAAATTTCAAGTTTTCCTGATCCTAAAGGTAAGACCCTCTTTACAGATTTATCAGTCTACTTCATGCATTCTCAACAGGGGTAATAATACCCCAGATAGGGCAAAAATTGGTTCTTGGGGGAAAAACCTCCAGCTATTACATTGATTTGTGTCGCTCCTAAGGGCCAGTGTATACAAACAAATATACAGTATGTCTATGGTGTCAAAATATCACGGAGGAGAATGATTGGGGGAAAAACATATACAAAGGCTCCTTAGGGGATTGATAATGAAAAAAAGGTGAGAAACACTGGTCTAGTATGACAGTAAATGCTCAGAGACCATCCTAAGTATGCATTCTGCCGTCTCCTTTTCCTATCAGGGTTAGTCTCTCAGGGACTGATCTCCATGGGAACTGACAAGGGGAAGTCTCCAGGCCTTCAAAGCAAAGGTCTAGATCTAGGCAGCTTCCCTTAAAAGATCTTGCTGTAAACGCCCTCTCCCCACCATGCCACACCACCCTCCTTAGTTTACTCAGAGGATGAAGTGGAGTAGCAACTGTAAAGGCACACGTCCAGCACGAAACAAGCACTTAGAAGCTGTTAGTCCCTCTCTACCCCCTCGCTTCCCCTGGAACCACCTGCCAGCCTCGGAGACTTTGGGCTTAACTGAAAAAAGAAAAAAGAAAACTTGCCTTCTTTGTATCTATTAACAATTTCACAGAATAGAAGCAAAACCATGCTTGGAATGCAAACTTTTGGTAAAGTTCCAATCTGCATCAAATAGCAACCAAGTTTATATAGGTTTAAGCAAACATTCTGAGTGCAGTTTTTCCTCCAATAATCTTCAATAATGAAGTTGGACTGTATGGTTTCCACAAAACACACATCTTCTCCATGTTGGTTAAATACAATGCTAGGAAAACCCACAAAGATTAATTCAGAAACGATAAAGCATCAATAGTGTGCAATGCATTATTTTCCATAGTGTCATTCCATAATTGCAGTAGAAACATAATTCAGCACTCCAAGACCCTAAGAAAAACAGGAAAGAAACAGAAACTCTGCAACATTGTCTTGTACTTGCTTTAATCTCATTCAGAAATCTTCAGTCTTTTGAGTATTACCTTTCAGTTGTTTTTTTTTAAGTGAACCTCTCAAAGCTTCACCCCAAAAGTTAAATCATGGTTATATTACCTAGTTCCTCTTTGCAAATAAAAGATGCTGGCAGCAGCTGCAATCTTTTCACACTTCTAATCTCACTGTTGATTTTCAGTGTAGCTGTAAATAAGCAGAAGAAAAATGATGAAAAAGTTTTGTCACTTCATCAATTGCCTTTGTTTTTAAGAATGGGTTTGCATTTCCTTGTCCCCAACATACAAAGGACACATTATACAAAACAAACTGCTCAATATCTACTGCCTTCCCTCACAGTAAGTCCAAAGTATAAACTAGCCATCGCATGAAGTAAAATTACTCTGAAACACCACCTTAAAAACTACAGTGATGGGGCCAGCCCGGTGGCACAGCGGTTAAGTGCGCACGTTCTGCTTCAGCAGCCCAGGGTTCACTGATTCGGATCCCAGGTACAGACATGGTACCACTTGGCAAGCCATGCTGTGGTAGGCGTCCCACATAGAAAGCAGAGGAAGATAGGCACAGATGTTAGCTCAGGGCCAGTCTTCCTCAGTAAAAAGAGGAGGACTGGAAGTAGTTAGCTTAGGGCTAATCTTCCTCCAAAAAAAAAAAAACAAAAAAACACTACAGTGAGCATTTATATAAAATCCACTACATATTACCAACAGGACCTTATTACTAACCGAAAGCTATGCAACAAGGTTAATAGGAGACAGTTGAACACAATAAAATCTTTATAGCTAATGAGGTCACTAAAAATTCCATTTATTTTTTATTTAACCTTTGGCAATGAGTCTTCCCTTGTTTATTAAAAGAATCCTGCTAGTTTTCACAGCATCCTCTCTCTCTAGACCTGAAGGACCAATACTCTTGACATCACCAGAGGGTTCAATTTTATTCATATACACAAAGGCGCACTTCATCTCATTCCATGAAAGAGCCAGTGATGTGCTCTTGCATATGTGCACTGGGCAGGATGTGTGGGGTGAAAGAAAGATTTAAGGACACACTGCTCCTTTTCAAAGAATCAAGCCTGGAATGGCTGTCTGCCATGCAAGTCTGCAAGCAGCTGATTTGCCAAAAATAGCAGGACCAAGGGAACAACATATCAGAAGCTGAGAAATCACCAAGACATTCAGCAGTTATTTTCTTTAAGTATCCTGAAACTAGTAAACAGAGGTTATTGTACACATGTTGTTAGAGTGCCTTTATAAGAAATTGAGGCAAAATTACCACCTCACATCTACTATTTGGTGACTTCAACCTTGCAAGTTATGAAGTGATGTAGAATGATCAGATGAAGGCAGAAACTGTTGACCCTCTGTGTATAAGAATGACCAACTAAAAGTTACATTTGCTGATTGTGATGTATTGTTGCTAGGGAACAATTCTAGGGAAGTTGCTAGGTCCTAGTGCCATCAGATAGAAATGTCCTGACAAATGTGGAATACCACCAAAGCCATGAAAGCTGAAATCTTGAGACTTTTAAATAACATTTCAAAGAATCTAGTGATTAAAAGGAAATAGCAGAAATTACATAATAGGGACCTAGATCTTTTTTTTTTTTTTTGGAGGAAGATTAGCCCTGAGCTAACTGCTGCCAATCTCTCTCTTTTTGCTGAGGAAGACTGGCCCTGAGCTAACCACTGTGCCCATCTTCCTCTACTTTCTATGTGGGACGCCTACCACAGCATGGCTTGACAAGCGGCACCATGTCTGCGCCAGGGATCCGAACTGATGAACCCCGGGCCGCCAAAGAGGAACGTGGGCACTTAACCGCTGCACCACCGGGACGGCCCCTAGAACTATCTTTCATTTCAAAGATCAAGACAGCGTAAGTCAGTGGCTTTCGAAATAAATTTTAGCAGGAAAAAAACATTTTTCAAACAAAATCTTACAAGGAACTTCAATAAATGAAAGAGACAAACATATGCTGCTCAAGGTTTAAGTGGCGACAGGGGTTTTACTAAGGCTCCTCCTTGCTTCCCTCACAGCAGAAACCAGGGGCTGCAGAACATGCTGAAAACCACGGAGCCGAGGCAGAGCATGCAGTGCCTCCCATCTAGCTAAAAGGATAAACCCAAAATCAAAACGGAGCAAAAATTCTCGTCACTCAAATGGATCTCCAGGATGTGTGATGACGAGACTATTCAATACACAGACCGCCGGTAGTTGGTATGGACCTCTGGGTAGCATCTGAGCTAAAATGAAATACAAAAATGGAAAGGATTGCTATCCCAGTGAAATTTCTTAATATAAAGGGGAAAACTAGAAAAAGAAACTCTACGCAGAGTGACTTTCTCGGGGGTGGGGAAGGGAGGAAGGGCAGGAATAAAACACATTCTAAGGCCTCAGAACCATTCGCAGTGTCTCTATGCATTACTGCTCAGAGACGCCAAACGGGGTAAAAAGAGACCCCAGCTCAATCTCACCTCTTACCACTCTTAGTCTGAGACCTCAGTTAAAAAGACAAAAAACAGGGGCTGGCCCAGGGGCGTAGTGGTTAAGTCTGTGGCCCAGGGTTCACAGGTTCAGATCCCGGGCATGGACCTACACACTGCTCATCAAGCCACGCTGTGGCAGTATCCCACATACAAAGTAGAGGAAGACTGGCACAGATGTTAGCTCAGGGCCAATCTTCCTCACCAAAAAATAAATAAATAAAAAAGCCATCCACAGACATAAAGAAAAAGTGTTCTTCAAAGAGTTCATACAGGGGCTGGCTCCGTGGCCGAGTGGTTAAGTTCACACGCTCTGCTTCGGTGGTCCAGGGTTCCACTGGTTCAGATCCTGGGCACAGACACAGCACTGCTCATCAAGCCATGCTGAGGCAGCATGCCACATGCCACAACTAGAAGGACCCACAACTAAAAATACACAACTATGTACCAGGGGGCTTTGGGGAGAAAAAGGAAAAATAAAATCTTTAAAAAAAAAAAAAAGAGTTCATATGTAATAGACTCATCTCACTATTATCACAACTCCCCCTAAAGCAAAACAGTCACAAAGTTAAGACAGCAACAGAGTGTGGCTGCCCCAAGAGTGAAGGATGCTTACCTAAACATCAACCTCGTATTCTATAATCTTTCAGACTTCTGTTATCAGTGGACTAGGGATTACGCAAAGTTGAGAAGACTCGTAACTACATCATGATAGCCAACCACGGAAGTGGCTATAAAACCTTCAGGGAGAAACACGTTAAGTAGTCGCAAACTAACACCCGTAACTATGCCATCCACTTACCATTGATCACGATCAGGTTTCCCAAAGGCACACAGGTGAGGGCAGCAGAGCCACCCTCGCAGAGAGGATGCGTGTACTGCAGCTTATACACACCGCCTGACCTCCAGTTCTCTGGCATGGACACAGCCTTGGCTTCAGTCCCCTGGGCAACGAAATGAAAGGGAAACAGATAATAAAGGTGTTACTCCCAAAAAGATTAAAAATCCAAGAGGCCTCTAACTTATCGAGAAATAAGCATTCCATAAAGTTCCCTTAATAAAATTTATCAAATCATTAATATTGTATTAATAAAATTTTGATAGAAAAATGTTACAATATATTATCCTCCATCAAAATTTTTCTTCAAATAGATAAAATAACATCAGAGATAGGGACCGATTTCTTTCTTCAAAGATACTTCTGTGCCTAGCAAAGCCATATCATTATTCAAGACCCCAGCTCAAATATCACTTCCTTTGTGAAGCCTTTTTCCAAAAAAATCCTGTTTGTCATTCCCTCTCCTTTATCCCCTAACATTCTGTTCGTATTTCTAATGTTGCATACTTCTATTATGTTATTTACCATAACACATCATAATTTTCTTTTTGTTTCTCTCAACTTATGGACTCATCCTGATTCCTGGCTCAGCGCATGGCACGCTGCAGGTGTTCAATGGTCAATGAATTACTCTACACCTTTGTTACTCATAACATGACCCACAGACCAGCAGCATGACTACTGTGTGGAAGTATGCAGAATTGCAGGCTCCCCTCTAGGCTTATAACAGAGTCTGCATTTTAATAAGAGCGCCAGGTATTCTTGTGCACAATAAAGTCTGAGAAACTCTACTCTAAATGTTCTCTGTGAATCTCTGGCATCCTATATTTGTATATGTCTCTCCTAGGATTTAACCAATATAGCATAATGGTTTGTTTACTTTCTCTCTCCCACTCTTGGACCATCAGCAACCTGAGGGCACAGACAAAGCACTGCACGTGACATTGGTAGATAGTCATCAAATGGAGAATGAATGAATGAAGGTAAGCAACGACAGCATAAGAGCAATGTCCCTCTTCCAAACTGCATCTTATTAACTTTCTGGGATTCATAGAGCCATTAACATAAAAAATAACCTAGTGAGCCATCTATCTAGCCATGCCCAATCCACACTGCTGACCACATTTATCTCCATATCTTCATATATAATCTTCTGTCTTTATGAAGGAGAAAAAAAGAACAGAAAGAGAGAAGGAAACATTTACTGATTGCCTACTGTATGCCCACCACTGAGTTCAGCACATTCCATTTAATACCTAACCACATTTAATGAAGAAATCTAGAATAGCACAACGCCCGAGTGATGTTTATTGATATAGCCCCTTTCCCAATGGGAAACTTAAACCCCAACAAGATGTTTGTTCTGCTTGTAGTCTTACCTGAGGTATGTAACCCGACTCCAACATGAGCAGATGTAAGGATACTATCAAGGCATCATTGGGATCAGAGCAGTCCGCTGACTGGTAGAGGGTCTCTAATGAATGTGGCACCTGTCCTTCCGCTGATTCGCTGCAGAGCATTGGTTCTGAGGGATAGAAACCTGTGCCTTCTTCCGTGTCCACAACATCTTGAATTGACTCAGCTTCAAAATTTTGACTAGGCCCCAACTAAAAAGGATAACAAAACAATGAATTCATTAAGTAGACTTTTATTTTTACACAGTATATTTTGTATCCTAAAGTGAACTGAGATTGGTGCTCAAAGCCAAAGCCCATTATTGGGTTCAGAAATGGGAGACATTTTAAGCAAGTCCTCCTAAATAAGTAAGCCTGTAATCTACTCCTCCATCCAGAATTCCTTATCTCCATTAATCCTGGCTGATACGCCCAAAACCTGGAAATCATCCTACACTCCTCCCTCTACCTTACTAAACCCCACCCCCAATCTGATCAGTCTTCAAACTTGCACTGAATCTATCTCCTAAATCCATCTAAAATCCAGCCCTTCCCTTGGCTTAGGAAGGGGCTCCTTCAGACTCATTTATCTCCTGACTTCCAGCAACAGCCTCCCCAAGTATCCCCGACTCCACTTTCTTGTCTTCCAATATATTCCACCCACTGCTGCCAGTTTTTTAACAATTAAGAATCCAATTATGTCCTATGTCCAAGCTTAAAATTTGCCCCTATTTCCCCAATGCAGACAGCAGCATTTCCCTAAATCATGCTTTAGAATGTGACCCTAGATGTTCTCAGGAAAAACGTGGTCTACAATCAAATAAGTTTGGAAAATGCTACATGCTATAGCCACCTAACCTCACCCTCCATATTCACAAAATACATTTTGGCATATAAAGCTCTAAGAAATCCCATAATAATAATAAGTGTGCATAACGTTCAGCCAAGAAACACTATCCTCTTCCCTCAACGCTCAGTATCCCCTTAACACTTACTTATAATCTCACGAAACAAGTTTTTCCTAGAGGACACACTGAGAACTGCAGGCCTACAAAATAAAGTCCAAACTCCTAAACTGCTTAGCATACGAGGCCCTCCATGACCTGATCCCTAACTCTGCATCAAGTGCACTTTCTGCTAGTCGCTTCCTCTCCACTCTAGTATTCCCCACCCTTCCAGAGGTCACACAGACTACCACTCTGCCTTGCAAAGGCCTCGACTGTTGCGCTTGGTCACACTGTACTGCAGTTTTCCTACTCCACTTCTACAGCCCACCATCACCGCAAGCTTAGAAAGGAAGAGACTGTGTGTCACCATTTCTGTAACCCCAGTACTGTACCTGGCACATAGGAAGTACTGAATAACTGTTAGTTGAACAAATGCTTAAGGATAATATCTTACAACTTCATAATGTTTTTGTTTTTGAATCTTTTCTCATTTGCACCATACAAAAATTCTATAAAACAGGCACGACAGACGATGTTGCCTTTTTATACATGCTGTAGTTACGACTCAGATTGAACAGCATAATCAAGGTTACTAGCTACTAAAAGACTGAAATGAACCAAGGCCTCCAGACTCGCAGTCCAGGGCTTTTAGACATGACACACTGCTGCAATGCGTCTGAGTCGCCTGCGTTAATTTTGTTCACAAAGTCTGTTTCTTAGGCATGTGCTAGCTCAATTCTTAAGGCAAAGGACATGCTTCTTCTTTTTAAGTTCATATTTCCATTAAAGAAGGGGCAGAGGAAATTAAAATTGCACAGTATGAGAGAAAGGGGGGAAACTGCCAGGGAGCAGGAGGCTGTTCTTCCACAACCCCTGAGGACCTGAGCCTGCTGGCTTAGAGGAAAGATTCAAATTGATGTTAGAAACTAGAGGCCAACAACAATTCACACTGCCTAAAAGAGGCTCCATCACATTCCTTAGCAAACAGAAACTACTTACTAAAACCACACAGCAACTGACTAAATCACAAAGAATTCAGGCTCATTGCTTCTTACCTATCTATTATGCCTAACTTTTGGCCATTTACTACTTACTGACAGTTATGCGGGAGAGAATATACGTGGAAAAAACATAAAAAAGGGTTCGCCTAAACTGATAATGACATGAGGGGAAGATATCAGGATGCCCTGGTGAGCTTATCAAACCTTACTCCCACTCCACGAGAACCACTGACATTCTCTGAGCCATTCTGATATGATACAATTATTTATCATCTTCACACACGTTGAAACGAAAGGAAAGGTTTGGCACCACCTCTCTAAACAGATCATTGACCATATGTCATTTACAAATGCCTGGAACAAGCGAGTGAAATGCAGTTCAGAGCTAATACATGGGTCTGATATTATGTTATCCCTGTTTCTCACTAAAGACTCAACAGGTACTAGATGAATTCCCAAATATAATGAAACAAGAAAATTAACTTACATTTAATTAGAAGAGTAAAATTTTCCTATTGTTTCAAGTTTGCCAGACCCATTTTCCTTTTCTAATGCTCTCTTCTACATTTAATTAGCAGATCGTACTGTTTCAAGTACTTAAAGCATTATTTATGAGATTTCCAGCTCAGTTTCCACACTAAGATTTTACAGTCACCCTATACAAGTCTTAGAATACCAAACAACATGCTTTTGGAATGGAAATTACTAACTTGAGGCAATATTAATTTCTCAAAACTTTCCAAGAGGAAACTAGCAAAGTAACTATCACATATACTAAGAAAAGTTCCATCTTATTGGACAATTTTAACAGTACACAGAAATAAAGGGAATGGGCCCTTCTACCAGAATTTCTGAATGAGTCTATCAGCAAAAAAAAATTCAGAAACGTAATTTAAATATGTGGTCAAATATTCTTACTCATTCCCTAGATTACCTCTATGAGATAGAAACACAGACATACCTAATAATTTCTTTAAAAAGTCATAAAAATATTTTGAGTTTTGTAAAACTTTTTTTTAACTTGCTTAATCTCTCTGGGTACTATCACTAAAACTCTGGACATAGATAATTTTCATAATTTACCAATCTGCTCAAAAGTATTTTTAGTATCTGTCTACACTTAATGCCATAATTGGCACTAAGAATATTCATATTCATAAATGTATAAGGTCTGCAAGAAAAATCAAGTTGAAGTGATAAGTATACACACACAAAACAATTAACAAGAGGGCATATGTATTGGCATCAAAAAAGAAGTAATAAAAGTGACCATTTGTGCCATACAAGAAATCAAAAGGCAGGATAATAAATATGAGGTGTTTATAAGGCAATAAAGACAATTAACACAAAGAAATTAAGGAAAATTATTGGGCTGTGGTTGGCAGGGCCTTGGAAGGTGGGCAGAGATACAGACAGGAGAGGGAGGAAAGGCAGTGGACTCCAGGCTGGGTGAACGGCAAGGACATGAAGCAGCCACAAGGTTGTGTGCGCACACGCACGCGTGTGAACGTCCTGGCGGGTAGAGGGAGAACGACAGGGCGTCTGGTCTGACTAGAGATGATAGTGCACAGGAGGGCAGAACAGAAACTAGCCCTGGGAAGGCTGTAGGGCAAGTTCTCAGAAAGCCTTAAAAACTAGGTACAGGAGGAGAGACACCATTTTCCTCCTCTGTAACATGACAGGGTTGAATTAAAGATATTTGGTCTTTTTCAGTTCAAAAATTATGAGCGGAGGTGTATCTATGACAGAGTTACTAAAAAGCAAGGGAACAACACAATAAAAGACGTGTAGGAAGATGATGAAGCTAGAAAGCAGACTGAAGAACAGACACTGGAAGCCTGGAATGGAAAGGAAAAACTGACAGGGCTTGTTAAGGGGTTGGATGTAAGGAGTCAAAAATCACTCCAAGGTTTTAAGCTCAGGAAAAAAGCAGTGCCACTGACAAGAGAGGGCAGCTGGTTTGGGAAGAAGAGAACATCAGTGCATATATTTTCAAATTTATGTTGGCATTTTTAAATCCTGGTATACATATCCTGCAAATCATTTGCAAATAACTGGACTACACAGAGCCTTAATGAGTTGGGTAGATCAGAAAAGCAAAGCTGGGAATCATGAGGTTAGAGGCAACAACAGAAGCCAAAGGATAATTTTTTTGAAGGAGTGAGTGTCTGAACAAAATAAATAGGTAAAAACTGGGTTCTTCAATGTCAGCCCAATATTGGTCCAGGCATTTAGTAGTTTAAAAAAAATTCTATAAGAATATAATCTGCAATCTACTGATGACAATTATCCTGACTGGTACAGAATTCATCCAAGGTGTTCAGTATGATTTACCCACTACCCTATTTCTTGTCTAGATATTAATACTCACCATACTGTCATCACCCCAGACATCAGATTGGGCTGCCTGTCCTTGGAATGAATCACTCAGTTGTTCATCCTGTACGCTGGACTGACTGGAGCTGGCGGCCAAAGAGGGTTGGTCATTATTCTGGAGTGAGGAATGCTCTGAATCTGTGGATGAAGGTAAATTAGGTGCTGGAATGGCATCTTCAAGAATCAAACATATCAAGTCCCCAGAAACAATCCCATATGAAGCCAAGGTCTCTTCATCTCCAGTGAGGGCATCCTTGTTGTTCAATGTAATTGCAAACCGGGTATCAGAACTGCCAAGAAAGATGGATAAGGATGGTAAGAGCTACCTATTACCATTACCCTCAGTAATATATTCGGAACATAAATAAGGTACACAGTATGACCCTAGAAAAACTAAGTTATGAAAATAAAACAAAACAAAAATTAGAAGGTAGCCCAAGTTTTGGAAAGACTATCAAAATTATTCATTCTTATCACCGAATGCTACTAGGTTATAGATTTCTAATGGCTAAAATTCTAGCCTGGGGGATAGGATACAGTAATTCTGCATCATTAATCCATGTTTTCATCAAATCTAATCTAATTTTTTATATTTTAACATCTTTGAAACAGAGATGCTTCTTAAAATCAATGATATTATCATAGCTTAACTGACAGCATTTTTTCATTTATTGTTACATGAAACAGTGTGCATCTTAAGACTGACAGCAACTGAGAGTCAATGAAATATAGTCTTCTTAAAATATAAGTGGTATCACATCATTCCTCTGCTGAAAATTCTCCAACAGCTTCTCTCCGAACTTGGAACAGAATCCTTAGCACCGCCTTGAAAGCCCAACATCTGACCCCTACCCACTTCTCCTACCTTACCCACCTTGCGCCATCTATCCTCTCACTCGCTCTTCTCTATTCCTATGAGCTTTCCATCCGTTCTTAAGAACAGATGAACCTCATCGCAGCCTTTGGGCCTCTACATGTGATCTCCCAGATCTTCAAATGACTGACTCCTTCTCATCAATCAGGTCTCAACTCAAATGTCACCTCTTCAGAACTGCCTTCCATCCAGCCTCCAGCACTCTATTCTATTCTCATGTCTTATTTTATTATAATTCTACTATTTGAAAAATATCATACTTGTTTATCATCTCTCTCCCCCACCCCTACCATTAGAATTTAAGTTTCATAAGATCAGGTATCTTGTCTGTCTAGTTTTCAAAACTGTATCTCCAGCACTTGGCAAATAAAAGTATCTGTGGAATAAACGCAACCAACAAACATCAGTCGGCAAGATCAAGATGAGACTGAAATCAGGGCTACCTATTCGATCTCCTTACAGGCAGTTCACTTATGTTGGTTCCAAAATATGAGAGCCATGTCCTCAATGAATATTCATAATCACAAACAGCTAGATGAGTGTATACAGATGAATAGAAATTCATCCCTCCTACTGATAAGTTCAAGTTCACCCTTCTTAGTGACGATCAGTTATGATGTCTTTTCCATGGAAGACAACACAAATCTAAAAACCCACTGCTAACCAAGCTAAGAGCTCCAATTAGCCCGAAGCAATGAACTCCCATCCTTCTGCATCACAGATTATCTGACCTTGAAAAAATAACCATTAATTCATTACACAGTGGTGAGGATTAATTAACAAACCATTGTAGAACAATTTAAAGAATATTTACACTCAGCAATGCTGACTTCATTAACTTTTCGCAGCTAACAAAGGAAGAGTCTTTTGAAAATCATATTCTGCTTATTCTTTTTTACAATGGTGCATTTTCAAAAGTGCTCGAAATAATTCAACTGTTTTCCTCTCACATGTAAATACATTTTTCTTGCCAATTAAAGTGTCTTTGGTAAGGAAATTATTAAAGTTTTAGAAACTACTCCTGCTTATTAGAAAAGAAGTACCTATGCTTCTGTTTTCAAATACTTTGATAACAATGGTGATGGATGGTAATTAGTCTTTGCGTGGTAAACATGATGTAATCTACAGAGAAATCGAAATATACTGATGTACACCTGAAATTTATATAATATTATACACCAATGTTACCCAATAAAAAATTAATTAAATTAAATCTTTTAAAAAACGCTTTGATACAGGTTGAAAATCTGCCAGCTACCCAGAAAAAACACCATCCCAACTTCAGCAGAAAAAAAGAAAAAGCATCTCGAATGAACTGTGTGTTTATGGATCATTTGTCACAGCGAAAGGTCGTTTTTTTAACGGTATCAAGTACAATGTTCGCTCAAATATCTACTTTATAGAAGATGCAAAGAGAATCGTCTGCTTAATAAAAATGTTGGCCTTTCCTCCCCTTTAGAAAAAGGAAAGCGCTATTTCTAAAGCAATATATGGTTTTCCAAGAGAGAGGTTAAAAAATTGTTCTGTTTTCTGAAAAAGTGAAAAAACAATTAAGTTCATCAGGAAATGCCATCCTAGAAACTTCAGGACTTTTAAAAATATTTGACAGCAACCCCAGATCCACTTGCTCAGCAAAGACACTTTAAAAATAATAATGTCATACGGACACATTTTAAAACTGCCAATTTATTCTAAAATGAACATACTTTCAGAAGAATAAAATTTCCTTTCACAAGCTGAAGCTTACATTCCTTCCAGTTAACCAGCCTCAACTGTAAAAACAAACCTGAAAGAGAAACTAACTTGAGTTCTTGGATAAATAGAGTCATACTGGGTTTCACATCCTTTCAAGACTGTCCCACCTGATTAAAAAATAATACTAATAAAATATACACACATATATATGAAAATATTTTAAAAAGAGAAGTTATTTTGGAAAAATCTGTGGTGGGGTAAAGATGTCAGTATGCAGAACACTTATGTTTAATACCAAGAAATAACAATAGGCACGTCACTTAATATAATGTTTAAAAGGAGTTATGTCAATACCAAACGGGCTTACTTTTAACGCAACAATGCCTTAACCTCAAAAATGAAAGAATAAGAAGTTCATAACATAGCGTCATTTTACTTAATTCCCTAAAATTAATTTAGAAAAGGAGCCACTTAATTAACAGAAAGGTTTTCTATTGAAGAATTCACCTAAAAAAACCCCAGCGAACATTTTCAATTTTTGGCACATTCAAATTCCAAGTTCGACAGCTGAATATTTGAAGAGGACCACCCTTACTTTCGTCCCTCTAACTCCCAGATTATCGTCCCCAGAAGATGCCCTCGGTGGAACAAAGCAGCCTCATCTGCGGACCCATAAATTAATAACAGAACGTGATCCTTTATTTCTCAACGTCACTGCTCCCAAACTGCAAGCTCTTCAGGGTCAACACCTAAGGCCAACGTTGACCTTAGTTTTAGCAAAAGAGCATCATCTCGCCCAGGAAAATAAAAAGATCTGAAACACGCCAACACACGAAAACTTTGCAGCGGGTGGGTCAGGGTCCCCGCGGCGCCCTGCCCGTCACCACTCCACGACTCTTAAGACCGCAGCGGTACCAGTTACGGGGGGCCTCGAATAGAGGGCCGCTTTCTAACTCCTTCCAGCACTTTCCAAACTTTTCCCCGGAAATGCTCCAACTGCTGGAGATGGTAAACTTCAATCCCTAAGCCCAGCCAAGCCCGTCATTGCCCACTTGACGTTTAAAGGGCGCGAGGACGGCGCATCCCTGCCTACCCCTGGGTTCCCTTCCTGCAAACACGGAGGGGGCGGCTCACCCTGGACGGGAACCGAGTCTCCCGCGCGCCGGGCCATCTTCTCTGCGAGCCGGGCCCCCGGCGACCACAGCCCCGCGCCCGCTCCCCGCCGGCCTGCGCGTCACAGTCCCCGGGGCCCGGCCCGCCTCACGTGACGGCCCGGGGCGGGCCCGCGCCACCCGCCCTCCCCCCCCTGGGCCCCGAGGCGCACCCGCCGCGGTCGCCTACCTGTACCCCCAGGTGGGCAGCAGGGCCTGGCTCAGGTGCGCGCGCAGCTGCCCCAGCGTCGGCTCCGCTTCGGGCATCTCCAGCGGCCAGGTCCGCTTCTGAAGCCTGACGCGCAGCTTCATGGCGGCGGGAGGGCCCCGGGGCCTGGACCCGGCGGCGGCGGCTCCCGGAGCTGTGGGGGGTGCTGAGACGTCACCGGGAGAAGGCCCCGCTACGGCGGCCGTCCGGCTAGCGGGTCTCTGGAACCCGAGCGCTCCGCCGCGCTCCTGAGGGCGCCCCCTGGAGCCCACCCGCCGGCGGGAGAGGGGCGGCTGCGCCGAGCCGGGCACCTCCGGGACTCACGATCGATGACTCGGCGCGCAACGGCGCCGCCTGGGAGCGCGAGGGGCGCAGTGCGCAGGCGCCGAGGTGCCGCGGGACGGGTCTCCCGGCTCTTCAGCCGCCGTGGCAGTGCCGGCTCCCTCCAGGTGTGCCTGGAGCACGTAAGCGCCGGAAGGGATGCTGCAGACAGTAGGGCTCGCCGCTCCGCGAGGCGCAGATGTGCCTGACTCTTACCCCGTTTCCTCCGTGACTCTAGGTTGAGCCCGGGCTCTGGTGGTTTCCTTCTATTACAGTAGCAAAATGGTACAACAGCTTGTAGTCCGTGATTTCTGTCGGAGAGTGTATGTCACCTGTTGCTGCATAACAAGCACCTCATAGCATCACAGCTTAAAACAAACATTGTTTGTGGGGCCAGCCCCGTGGCCAAGTGGTTAAGCTCGCGCACTCCGCTTTGGTGGCCCAGGGTTCGGATCCTGGGCACGGACGTGGCACCACTCACTAGGCCCTGTTGAGGCGGCGTCCCACATGCCACAACTAGAAGGACCCACAACTAAAATATACAACTATGTACTGGGGGGATTTGGGGAGAAAAAAGTAGAGAGTAAAAAAAAGATCGGCAACAGTTGTTAACTCAGGTGCCAATCTTTAAAAAAATAAACATTGATTGTTCCACAGGTTCTACAGGTCAGGAATTTGGGCATGACTTGACTGAGTGGTTCTGTCTTGGTCTCTCACGAGACAATAGTCAAGACCTAGGCCAAGGCTGCCGTTATCTGAAGTCTTGACTCAGGCTGGAGCATCTGCTTCCTAGATGGCACGCTCACGTGACTGTTGGCTGAAGGCCTCAGTTTTTCACTGCATGACCTCCCCGTAGGATCCCTCGAGTGTCCCCATAATATGGCATCTGGCTTCCCTCAGAGCGAGTAATCTCAGAGAGACCAAGGCAGAAGCCACAATGTCTTTTATAATCTAGCCTCAGAAGTCACATAGCATCACTTCTGTCATATTCTATTGATCAAAAATCAACCCAAGTGCACCAATACCAATAGACAGAGATCATTGGAGGCCATCTGGGAGGCTGGCTACCATGGAGGGTCTGACAATAATGATGGTGATGACTTAGATGCGGAAGAGAGCATCATCAAGTTTCATCCTTGGATGCTAGCCATTGTCCAAATCGTTATAAAAAGGTTGAATAAAGTTTCTTCCAATAGGTGGCAGTACTTGTCCACATCCTGACTTTCATTCAGTACATAAACGTGCTGATCACCTACTTTGTGCCAGATAATATCCTAGGTGCTGAGAACCCAAAGACTGAAAAGATGTGTTCCTAACCCTGCAGAGCTTATAGTTGAGTGAATCAACTCTTGTCGTAGAACGTAAAATGTGTCTTGTTTGCGACAGAGATAAGAGCAGTCCTGGGGATTGGGTTAGCTACAGAAGAGTTGCTGTGCCAATAGAGTTCTTTCGTGGCAAGCAATATGGGATTGAAGAAGGGTGGCAGGACCAGGGTGGCTCATGGTGGCCAGAGCGAAGGATAGAGTGGACACATCTCAGATAAAGAAGAGCCTTGGTCTAAGCAAAGGATTGGGGACACATTCTAGGTAAGCTTCCAGGAATGAAGCTCGGAACTACACTGAAGAACTGGCCTGATGAGGAAACTACCATGACTGGGATTGCTGCTGCCACCCCACCTCACCCTGGAGAAAACTGCTGTCACCACTGCCAGAAACCACTGGGGAATGGCTGCCACCTTCAAATGCCACATGATTTTGCAGCCTCTTCCACCAAGAAAATGCCAAGCTTCCAAAAGAGCCTTTTTCCTCACCTTTCTCACTTCTAAATCAAAGGCTCATGGGGATGATCTGGTTGAGGGAGACCCATGCCTGAGTCCTGGCTGCAAATATGACTGGAATTTGGGGTCCAAACTCCTTCCTTAGGGAGGCAAGACTTATAATATTGGAATTTCCCCAAAAATAGGCAGCTGTACAAAAGATGATAGGAAGCCATGAGTCTGACAGGTGTATACCACAAGGGGCATGGGTCAGATCTGAAGTGTAAATCTCTCACTGGTAGAGTGTGGGGGATGTATTAGATCAGGGTTTCTCAACCTTGGCACTGTTGAATTTGGGGCCTCTTAAGTCTTTGTTGTGGAGGACTATCCTGTACCTTGTAGGATGTTTAGCAGCATCCCTGGTCTCTGTCCACAAAATGCCAGTGGGACTCCCCTCCCCCATTTATGAGAACCAAAGATGCCGCTAAGCTTTTCCAAATATCTCCTAGGATGCAAAATTGCTTTGAGAACTGATGGATTAGAGACCAGCTCAGGAGGCTCTTTTGGTAACTGAGAGAAGAAAGGAATTAGTGGAATGATAGTGAGAATGAAGACAATGGAATGGGCAGGGACAATGTTACAGAAGTAAAAATAATAGAACTTGGAGAATGATTGTGTTTCAAGGCTGCATTAGTTAGGATATAGCTTCCGCTGCTCTAAGAGAGATCTGAAGTAACAGTGACCTAAACAAGATATAAGTTTATTTCTCTCTGAAATGGTATTTGCAGAGGAAGCAGTGCAAGGCTGATATGGTGGCCGTCTTTGGATACCATCTACCACAGTCCACCTCTTAGCCTCTTAGTCCTATGTAAACCTGGATAAGTTACTATCTATAAAGATGAAAACAGTGACAAGAATATATCAGACAGGTATTTTGTAAAGATTCAGTGAGATAATACCTTTTGTTCTGTTTTTTGTTTTAAACCACTAAGTTTGTGGTAATTTGTTACAGCAACAATAAAAAACTAATCTACCTGGGATCCTTGTCTCAATTCTTTGCCCAATAGAGTGTAACCACTGGGATGGCAGAAGTAGTCCAACCACAGGAGTGCAGGAGGGTCCTGGAAGAGAACCAGAGCATTCTCAAGGACCGCCAAGAATTAAAGTGAGGATCCTCCAAAACTTCAAAGGTCTGTGAGAATATTACGTATCCCTTCTCTCAACTATCTCCCTCCTTGAGAATTTTTTTTCTTTTTTTCAGGATGTCACCTTAATGTCAGCAAGAAACAGGCACTGCAACTTTTCAAAAGTTTGGCAATTTAAATTGCTTTTCTCTTAATGGGCCATTTCATAGCATACAACAAAGGGATGGTGTCACTCTACTGTGCGACTCCATTCATTGGCTCTCTTGGGGCTTTTCTTAATAAGCTTTTCGTTTTAGAACAGTTTTAGATTTATGGAATTATTATGAAGAGAGATCCATATACCTCATTCCTGTTTTCCCTATTAGTAACAGATTAGTAAGGTACATTTCTCACACTTAATGAACCAATATTGATACATTTTTATTAAGTAAAGCCCGTACTTTATTCAGATTGCCTCAGTTTTTTCCTAATGTTCTTTTTCTTTTCCAGGATCCCATCCAGGACACCACGTTACACTCACGTCTCCTTAGGCTCCACTTGGTTGTGACAGTTCCTTAGACTTTCCTTGCTTCTTTACGACCTAGACAGTTTGAGGATTACTGGTCAGGTATTTTGTAGAATGTCCCTCCATTGGGATTTTCTCGTGATTAGACAGAAGTGATGTGCTCACGGGAGAAGGCCCACTGAGGTAAAGCCCTGTTCCCATCACATCACATCCTATCAGCAGTACCTACTATCAATATGACTTCTCGCTGTTGGCATGAACCTGATCACTCGGCTTCTCCACCGTGAAATTCTTCTCTTTTTTCTCCTTTTCACACTACGTACACTTTGGAAGAAAATCACTATGTGTAGCCCAGACTTAAGGAGTGGAAGTTACACTGCACCTCTTAAAGGTGGAGTATTTACATAAATTCTTTTAATATTTTCTGTTCAGGAGATTTGTCTATTTTCTATTTATTCAATCATTTGTATCAGTATGGATATATCTATTTTATACTTTGGCTTATAATCCAATACTACTTCATTTTGTTTAATTTGCTCCCGTTCTTCCAGCTGTGGCCGTTGGGAGATCTTTCAGTCGTCTCCTGTATCCATTTCACATCATTGTGGATTTTTGTCCCTTTGTTCCCTTTTGTTCTGTCTTTGAGCACTTTCTTACTTTATGGCCCTACAAGATGCTCCAGGATCACTTTGTCTATACCATGTCCCAACCCTGGAATCAGCCATTTTTCCAAGGAGCCTTGTTTCTTTTTAGTGGAGAATGGTTTTAGAAATCAAGATCTGGGGGCTAGGTATGCTCACTGCTACTGAGGTGGTGTTGCTTCCAGGCCTTCTCAGCTGACAGAGTGAGGAGATGTCTGTGTGCATATACTATTTCTATATGTAACCATCTGTATCTGTGTTAAGCTAAGCATGACTCCATTCTGATGTTTCCAGCTCTAATCCATTACCACATGGATCATTCTGGCCTCTTCCCTCACTTATCTGTAACCTTCCAATCCAACTGTGACAAACCTGGCTGCCACCATCCACCATCCATTTATTTACCTAGTTGTTTAATTCCGGTATACATGTATAGTGGTTTCAGAATTCTTAACACATAACCCTGCGGGAAACAACATTATCAACTAGAGTACAGCGCTTAAACAAGTTCCTGTTGCCTTTAGTCTTACAAATTCCAGTCATTTCCAAAGTTCTACAGGTCAGCACCTTATTCCCCCATCCCCTTCAGCAAGGTTGTTTCATATATTTGTAATACATTGAGATTATTTTGTCACATTCTGCATTCCATCCTGGATCCCCCAATCTCCTAAGTGATTTTTTTAAATTTACATACATCAAGGTTTGCTCTTTGAGCTGTAAAGTTCTGTGTTTTTTGACAAATGCTTAATGTCTTATTTCAACATTATAGCATCGTACAGAATAGTTTCACCAACCTGAAAAATCCCATGCGTCACCCTCCTCCACAACCAGTCCCCAACCCCTGGCGATCACTGATCTCTCTACCAGCTCTTTAGTTTTGCCTTTTCCAGAATGTCATATAATTGGAATCATACAGTGTGTAGCATTTTCTGGCTTCATGACTAGCTTGTTTCACTTAGCAATATCCATTTAAGATTAATCCCGGTCTTTTTGTGGCCTCATAGCTCATTTCTTTTTAATGCTGAATTGCATTCCACTGTAGGGCTGGACCACAGTTTATTCACCTCTTGAAGGTCATCTTGGTTGCTTCTAGTTTGGGGCAATTATGAATAAAGCTGCTATAATGTTTGTGCAGATTTTTATGTGGACCTAAGTTTTCAAATCAGTTCTATAAACACCTAGGAACTCTATTCCTGGGTCATATGGTAAGACTAGGTTTAGTTTTATAAGAAACTGCCAAACCGTTTCCCAAAGAGGCTGTACCATTCCATGTTCCCATCAATAATGGATGAGAGTTCCTCTTGCTCTGCATCCTCACCCTCAGTTTGTATTGTCAGGTTGTTTTTTTTTTTTAATTTTAGCCATTCTAATAGGTGTGTCGTTGTATCTCATTGTTTGAATTTGAATTCCTAATGACAGTGCTGCACATCTTTTCTTATGCTTATTTACCATATGTCTGTTCAGATCTTTTGCTCACTTTTTAATTGTGCTATTTTCTTATTGCTGAGTTTCCTTTAGTTTTCTGGGTAAAAATAAAATTTCTGTGCATGACAAAAACCCTTCATAATCTAGTGGGAAACCACTTTCTTCAGTCTGCCCAGTGACGCCTACAGACTACTCACACTGCACTATTCCAAAATCCTCTCCCCCTCCCCATTACATCCTTTCCCCCCAGCTGGTTTGTGTGCCTCTGTGCTTTTGCACATGCTGATCCTTCCACCTGAAATACCTTTCCTTCCCTTCTTCCAGGCAGAGTGTGTTGCTCCTTCCTTTTGCTCCAAGAGCACTTGGAACAACTTTTCAGTGTTATCCATCATCTCACAGTGCGATTATTTGTACACCAGGCTTTCTCCAGTCCTAGGTTATGAGTTTCTCAAGGGGAAAGGCAGGTCTTACCCATCTTCAACACCCCTCAACCCCCACTTCCAATGTGAAGGCTGGTTAAGCAAGATTTAAGATGATATGAATATATTCATGCTTGTCTCTGAGTTCTTAATATATCTGTTTGGAAAAGTAAGACCCTCGTTCTGTCTCTACCAGAGAAAGTCTCTGACAGAGGAAGTTGGGTTGACCTTTGTTGGGGTGTTTTCTTACAATTCCAATTCATTTTCCTGAATCTTGAACTTGAAACTACATACCAATAGTTCTCATATGTTAACGTGTCTCAGAATCACCTGGAGGGCTTTTTAAAACACAAATTGCTGAGTTCCGACTCCAGAGTTTCTAATTTAGCCGGTCTGGAGGGGGACTTGAGAATTTACACTTCTGATGATCTCCAGGTGACGCTGCTGTGAAACCACTCTTTGAGAACTTCTGGTCTATACCATGTGGTCTTGCTCTAGTTGTTTTGGGTATTTTTTTTTAACACCTTTTAAAAGACTTTGAGTGTCTGTGCTTGGTGAGAAATGGAAATGAGCCTTAAAAAATGCTATGAGTTGAAATTAAAACCATGCAAGTTAGAAAAAGAATCTTCAGCAGTTGTTGAAATGCTTAAAACCCTATCTGCGGACCAAATGAAAGTTTCTGGAACCCACTGAGAGAAATAAATAAAAATATTATTCTTGGAAAGCAAACTAGAAAGAGGCCTACGGGAGACAGGGATGTAGTGGGGGGGGGGATGGTAAGGATTTTCTCAGTTTGATGTGTAAACCGGTATTGTTTGAATCTTTTACCAAGAGAATGTATTCACATATTTATTGGGTAATTAAGAAAAATATTCCTAGGAATATTCGAATCTGCTCCTGAAGAAGAACGCCATTTTCTACTGTAAGGGCTGGATAGGATGCTTTACTATACCTACTTTATTTATGTGGTTCTCGACTGAGGCCTGCTAAGGGACATTTGGCATAGATTGGAGACGTTTTTGTCACAAGTGGGGCAGAAAAGAGTGGTGCTACTAATATCTAGTAGGTAGAGGCCAGGAATGCTGTTAAACATCCTACAATGCACAGGACAGCCCCCACATCAAAGAACTACGTAGCCCAAAATGTCAGGAGCACCAATGTGGAGAAATCCTTGTCTGTTTGAATTGGGCTCACACCAGTGATTCCCAGAAGTTCCAGAGTTGTGTCACATGATCTTGTTTGCTTGGTTCCACAATATGTCTCATGTCTTATAAAAAGTTATATGTATGTACATTTAAAATTTAGCGTGAATTTAAATTCATTTTTAACTTTAATTCCCTTTTAGATAACTCATAATATGTGGAGGTAAGTGGGTTTGTATATTTTTGAAAACCAAGAGGCAGTCATTGCCATAAACCATTCCCGCATTTGACTGGTGGATGCAGCCATGGTCTGAGTCAGTCACTACACAGAAACGTCATCACACAGAACTCAGGAGAGTGTGGCCTGGGACGGAGTGGGAGGGGCGGGGGAGCTGCTGCCAGGTGATAAGATGATTCTGCCAGACCTCTCCCAGCCCTTGCCGAGTAACTGTAGGGTCACTCATCTCTCTCAAGAGCCACACAAACTCCAGGCAGCTTCCTCTGGTGGGGAATAAACTAGGGATTTCAAACATACACATATATCTGTGTTACTTACACAGATTCAATTAGCAGCTTGGAAAACCAGATGGGTTGCCTAGCAACAGCATCCTTCTCTCTCCTCACCTTCTGCATCCCCTGGGCTGTGGGTTGCCCTTTAGTGACCTTCCTAAAAAGACAGCTTAGCATAGTGGTCAAGAGGATGGACTCCTGGAAGCAGAACACCTGGGTCCTGAATCCTGGCTCCATGACTTACTGGCTCTGACCCCTAAGCTTAGGCAATCACTTCCCCTCCTAGTTCCCTCATCTATAAAATGGAGATGGTATTAGTACCTCATACCGTCTTGGTGTGGATTTAATGAGTTAATATATGGATAGCACCCAAAGCATAACAAACATTTCAATATTTGTTAGCTCTTATTTCTCTCTACCTCTTATATCTGTCTCAGGGTTTCCTTTTCACCAGATTTCACAAACACAAAATGCTGGAGGGAGATAAGGAATCAGAGCTCAAAGTGTGTTTTGCCGTAAAACTGCCTTATCTGGCTCATCCCCCCATATACCCATGATCCCTGTCCCCTCCTGCTTTTGTTTCCCACAAAGAATAACATAATTTGTCTTCCAAGTTCCAAAAGAAGTCTGGATTCAGATAGCTTCTTTCTGTATGGGAATAGCCCAGACACTCTAGAAACTAAGAACTGGGGTCTCAGTTCCTTCCCACTGTATCTGGACATCTTTCTTTAATGAACAATTATTCTACCTAGTTAATTACAATTTTTCTTTTTGGAGTTTTAATTAAAGGTGCCCCTTGATCTGCAGAGACTAATACACTGTCAGTCATTAGTAAGTGAAACAATTAATCTTGCATTCTAGATTGCCATCGTGGGTAGGCTGGATTAGCAGGTGTTCCCAGCAAATCTTGAGTTAAATCTGGAAAACTAAAATAAATAGTGAAACTGGATATGGTGCTGCTGGCTTTTGTCATTGTTGTTGTTAATGACGAATTTGGCAAATTTGCCCTAAAATGTTTCCCTGAACAGAAAGGAAGCCCAATGAGCTGATTTCTAAGGCCCCTTCCAAATGAGATAAAACAGACTAGCCACACTCTCTTCTTAGATCTTTGTTTCCTAAACTCCAATTATTTGAGCCCCTTTTTCCAAAGTTTTTCCACGTCCCACATGAGCTGTACTATTATTTACTTTTTTTCCCGTAAATCAACCTACTTCTTAAAATGTTTATAAATTTATTTAAAAGGGGAAGCTATATTAAGAGAAAATTTTGTATTAATTTCCAAGTAGAAGGTAACTGTAAAAAAATAAATGCCATGAAAGCTAAATTTTGTATACTTCTTAAAAATAAACGTTATTTGAAATAGCTTGTAAATTATTAATTTGAAATAAAAACAAAGGAAATACAATAGCGCATCTAATTTTCGACGGTATGGAAAACTTAATATGTGCTAACTCATTTATTTTAATTTTCATAATGACTCATCAAAGTAAATGTGGTCTCTGCTTTTACAGATGATGGCTCTGAAACCTCGAGGAGGGAGTAAATTTCCCAAGGTCCCAGAGTTGGGGTGGGCAGAGCAGGGCCAGCGAGACCTGCTCAAGGACTGCTCCAGGAGGCAAGAGCCCTCCAGGACTGCAGGACAGGTCCCCACGTTTCACATTCTCTGTCCTCATCATTCATCCATGCCAGCCCCCCTGAGAACTCTGCCCAGACCCTGGGCCAACAGTCCTGGAATACGCAGCAATGGCTCTGGGGTTTTCAACAAGATATGATTAGACTTTCAGGTCTCTTGTGACAAAAAGAAAAATTAGTTGTTTGCATCAGGAAAGATACTGTTGTTTTACAGTTTCAGCTTCCTTCTAAATCTAGCAGGTCCTAAGCAGCTGGCTAATGGATGTGAGATGCAAATAAAAGACTGTGCAAGATCTGAATCTTTCTGACAAGAGAAAAGAATTGGGGCCAGGAATGAAGGTGGGGAGCAGGGGAGGAGGAAGAGCTGAGAAGCTGCTCTGGGAAGAAGAGATAAGAGGAAAGCTAGGACCTGACACAGACTGAGAGAGAGAGAGGGAGGAAACTGATGCTGCCGTCTAGGGAAAACCCTGAGGAAAAGACAGACATACTTAGAGGTACTTTGTAAATTTTTCCCGTGTCGTGTGTGATGTTATTCATCTTCTTCTGTGTCTAGTCCTGTATTTTATTCCTAATACTCTAAAAATAATCACAATGTGACTTCAAGTGTTTACCTGTGTAGCATCTGAAATTGTTCCGCATCCCTCCAGTAGCCCATGCACCATGGGAAACAGCCTCAGAGGATCTCATCCACTTCCGTGGCTTTAATTCCGCCTCTAGGATAACGATTTGGAAATTTGTATTTCCTAGCCAACCTCTCCCCAAACTCCACCACCCACCTGATATCACCATTTGGACGTCTAATACCATCATTTTTGCCAGCATTTGCTGGCAAATACAGTCATGTTGCATTTTTACAACATTCCAGACTCACTGGCCCACCTTTGCTGGCCCATTCCATCCAATGCTTTGCCTGCCTGGCCTCTAATGCTTTGATCTCTGTTCAGATATCACCTCCTCAGAGAAGCCTTCCTGGATCATCCTAACAAAGTAAGCACACCACCCTCAGTTACAATCACCCTACCGATTACAAGTCCACCCCACCAAATTCAGTCCCTTTTTTCCTTCACAGCACGTGTCATAGTCCTTACATTTTTGTTTCTTTTGTTGTCTGCTTGTTTATTTTATATCTCCAGCTGCTAGAACATAAGCTCCATGTGGACAGGGATTCTGTCTCTTTTGCTGAAGAGGACTTGCACATGGTAGGTACCTAATAAATATTTGTTGATTTAATGAATGGATTCCTCTATGATGACTGACAATAAATGATTCTATGAGGAGAGTGTCTGCAGGCTGATATCACCATTGATATGGCCAAATCCTAATGAATATGATTTCCCAGCACTTTACACGGTTATTTTGTTTTTTTGGGTTTTTTTGTTTTTTGGGGTTTTTTAGTGAGGAAGGTTGGCCTGAGCTAACATGTGTTGCCATGCTCCTCTTTTTGTTTGAGGAAGGTTGTCCCTGAGCTAACATCTGTGCCCCTCTTCCTCTATTTTGTATATGGGACACCGCCACAGCATGGCTTGATGAACAGTGTGTAGGTCCGTGTCTGGGATCTGAACCTGCAAACCCCAGGCCACTGAAACAGAGCATGCAAACCTAACCACTACACCACTGGGCCGGCCCCCACTTTACAGTTTTAAGAGCATATTCTTGTACATTATTGCTATGGCCTGATTGTTTGTGTCCCCTCACAATTCATATGCTGAAATCCTAACCCCTAAAGGTGATGGTATTAGTAGGTGGGACCTTTGGGAGATACTTAAGTCATGAGGGTGGAACCCTCATGAATGGGATTAGTGCCCTATAAAAGAAGCTCCAGAGAGATCCCTTGCTCTTTCCATCATGTAAGGACACAGCCGGAAGGCACTGGCTATAAACCAGGAAGAGGGTCCTAACCCAAATGTGACCATGCTGGCACCTTGATCTTGGACTTCCCAGCCTCCAGGACTGTGAGTGATACATTTCTGTTGTTTATAAGCTATGCGGCTTAGCTTATAAGCTTAGCTTAGCTGAGACTCACCTGTGATATTTTATTATAGCAGCACAAACAGACTAAGATAATTATCAACATTTTTCTTTCACCAGAACCTATCAGGGTAGAGACTATTTTTAGCCCCATTTTACCCCTAAGGAAACAAGTTAAACAGGTACATGTATCTCAAGCTACACTGGCTGAGAACACTGAGAAGCTATCAGAAGTGCGGACGATGCCAAGTGCACAAGCCTGGTTCTCTTACTAGGGCGACCAGTCTTCCTAGTTTTCCCAGGACTGCCTGGTGTTTAGTACTGAAAACCCTGCATCCTGGGAAAACCAGGACGGTTGTTCACCCTATCTTACCCAGAAAATTGTAAATAAGACATAAGACACCTCGTGCAATCAGATCCCTGGCCATCTAAAATGCAATGACTAAAACATGGGGCATGGGAGCGGGGATGGGGGTCAGAATCTAAAGATGTCAAGTTATGTAATAGTTGACGAACCCACCCAACTCACATCAAAGGAATGCCGGATCAGGAAGCGACTGATAACCTTCTGAAAATGAGCAAACGCTTAGAGATGCTATCTGTGGTCCTACCCTGAAAGAGAAAGATGGTAACTAGGTCAGCCTGCTTATCAAGCCTCGTGCTTTCAGACTGAATTGGATCCACCAAAAGTCCGAAAGGTATTCTGGGCAGTAGTAGAGCCATCCACTGCAGGCACCCTGACTAGTAGAAGCCAGCTGATTATCTCAGAAAGGAAAATTCTTCCTCTCCCAATTCAATGCAATTTGACACCTTTTTCAACACGTGGGAATTCTTGACTGAATCTTTCTGGTAAAGTAGCCATAACCATTTCACAAGTGTGTCAGTGTGTGTGTGTGTGTATCTATGTTGCAAGGAGGTAATTATTGCATAGGTGGCATTGTCTGCTCATCTAGGTACAGACTGTAGTGTTCATTCATGCCATTGGGTAATTGAAGTGAAGCAATTATGTCCCACCTTTTGAAAGAGGCATAAAAAAAATCCACCTCTAGATGATTCAGACTTAATTATCTTGTCCTTACAGCAGCTGAGTTCACAGCTCAAGTGGAGAACACATCGACTTCAAAGTCGGAGGGAATAGAAGGTGCTCCCCAGCTGTGGACGCTTCCTCTGCTTGAGGTAAGAATCATGAACAAATGTCAAGTCTCTGCCGGTGCTGGATCTCCCAAGGGGAATTACCGTCCCGCTGGACACCTTGAACATCAGCTGTCGCATATCCTGAGTTGTTATTATCTGGGTTTTGTTTGTTTGGTTGTTTTTTAAGTCATGCTCACTCAGGCTTTTTAGGCAAGAGGTTTAGTGAAGACTGTGAACAACTCTAAGAAAAACGAGAGAGTTAGTTTGGACTATATGTTGAGTTTTGCATCATTCAGCAATATTAAGAGGGTCACTCGATAGTCTGGACCTGTTTTTGCTTCCCCTTCTGTAGGGAACCCAGCACAGTGGCAGAAAATGCTCACTTGTCTCTCAACCAGGGTGGTTAGGACTAAGGAGCTGCTGTGGTCTCTATTCTTTGGAGCCCCATCCTAAACCGTTTCAGTGACCTAGATCCTGCCAGAGCAAATGACCCTCCCACTTGCCTGAACTGTTTAGGTTGTCTTTGTTAAGCGTGAAGTTTTGGGAGGAAAGACTTGGCGTGAATTTTCAAGGTCCTTGTCATTAGAGATCTTGCTATAAAATCAGATGTGTGAGCTGAATCCCTTGAAATATTCTTCTAATTCTGCCCATATATGCCTGTTGATTTTGACTCCACATACACTTGTCTTAACCATTATGTTGGCATATTCTTATACTCTAGGCTTCTCTTAGCCTGTTGAACTTAATTTTTCAACCTTTGCCTCTGTTTTGAAGGCTACATTTCATTCACTCCTCACCCCTTTAATCAATTCTTCCGGAGTCTGTCAATGTTCTCCTCCATGAGTAGTAATGATGAGTAGATCTGTGAATCTCAGGAATTAAATTGTGCTAGAGTTTTCCCGTTTCTGGTCGCCAGAATGACTCAGGCAAGGGCCATTTAATTTCGAAGTGTTATTCTGTCCATATATTGGTATAGAAATGTAATGACTTCTGAGGCTTTGAATCTTGGAAAGAAGCCATTCCTCAGATGTGACAAAATAGGTAACTTGCTGGCAGGGTTTTTAAATCTTCTTGGATCCCTTTTTTTAACAGGCAACTCACCCTGCCCTTACTTGTCAGCCAAATTACTTAACCTTTTAGGAGTCATCTTGCTTGACAAGATTTCTTTCCTCCTCTGCCCATAAATTATCATCCTAACCAAACAATTCAACTTAGAGTGACATACAATCCATCCCTTTATAGCCCAGTGATTTCATTCACTCATAAAATTTCTAGAGGAAAAATATGTTTTTCTATGTGCAATTTTGAGTTCCTGGACTTCCATCAAAGTAGAGAGCACTTCAGAAACTTCCTTTAACCAAGAAGGGAACACGGGTTTTTGCTGCTAGAAGGGAATTTGAAACTCCAGGGGCCGGCTCCATGGCCGAGTGGTTAAGTTCGCGCGCTCCGCTGCGGTGGCCCAAGGTTCGGATCCTGGGCGCGGACGTGGCGCCGCTCGTCAGGCCACGTTGAGGCGGCGTCCCACATCCCACAACTAGAAGGACCTGCAACTAAGATAAACAACTGTGTACGGGGTGGTGGGGGGGCGGGTGGAGGGGTTGGGGAGATAAAGCAGGAAAAAAAAAAAAAAGAAACTCCATTTGTGCCCAAGAAAATACAAAGGGATTTGCACCTTGATGCTTGAGAAATTCCAGATGCTTCATGAATTTCTCCACATAGAACATGACATGAAGCAACTGCTGTCTGAAATTCCCAGATGAAAATGAAAAATCTAGAACTTATCAAGTCATTAAAGGGAAAAAATTCATGAGCACTGGAATTAAGAGCCGGAAGGACAAGGTTTGATTCCCAGGTCCCTGACTTACAATGTGATCTTGGACAGGTCATTCACACGCTAAGCCTCTGTCCACATGTCTGAAACAGGGGTATGATAAGAGTAACATCTACCTCGAAGAATTCTTGTGAGTTTTGTAAATAGTAAATAAATACACATTCATTATTTTAGAATCTGGTAAGCCAGTCAGTTTGTCAGTTAGCAAGTACTTATTAAGGTCCTACTATGTGCCAGGCAGAGATATAATTTTTACCTTAATTTGCATACAGTCTAATGGGTCTAGACTTTTTGGTGGAACATTCTTTCACATTGCTTTCCACTGCTATGAAAATGTTTTCCTCTTTTTAAAAAATCCGTCTTATGGCTCTCTTGGTGTGACACATCCATTTACAATTCTTTGCCTACAGTGATATTCGTGTGACTAGACATCTAATTTGTTAAATTTAGTTAAATGTTAAAATACTTTTATTAAAATGTGGAAATACTTCTATACCATTGGTAAGTAGCCATTAACCTGAGCCCCAGGAGTGTTCCCCTCACTCCTGTGGTCCCATCCGTCCCTGCCTCTCTCCCTCTCCTGGACCCCTTGACAACTCCCAGGACAAGTAAAGGATCAAGAAAGTCCTAGAAGCGATGGCAACTGCACCTTGCTCCTGCTTCCATTCTAACCATGTATAAGATGTTGTTCATATCCCTCTGAGCATGAACGACGTCACATCTGCTTGTCCCTCTCCTCACATTTCCTGCCACCCTCAGATCACTCATTCCTTGGCCAGAGACCCTCTCCTACCTGAGTCCCTTCCCCTCAGCTCTCGCTCTCATCCCTCTGTTTCCCTTATTGTCGTCTGCACCCTGATCATCCTCAAGCCACCCCCCCCCCAGCCCTGCCCCCAGTACTGCCCCCAGGTTCTTTTGTAGATTGTCCTCTATAACCCAAACCCACTCCACAGGGGTGAAGCATCACAGTGGATGCATAAGGCCGTAGCAGGGTAAAAATGTTGAACTATCTCAGAATCTAATGGTAAATACTCACTACCCTGAGTCCCCTCCCTCCTACCCCGTGACCACTCCTCCAAGACTTCCCCTGTCTGCCCCACGATCCAGTACCTGATCTCCTGGACCCTGCTCCAGGACTGTGGTTAACATTTGTTCTGATGGCTGCATACACTCTGCTAGTCTATAAATGCTTTGTTAATCGTCTCTGCAAAGAACTATAATATAATCTCAAGTGAAGTAAGGGCTATTTCTTCATTTATTAATTCACCGATTCATTCTACCAACATTTATCAATCATGCACTGTATCTGAGACACTAAGCCAGGCTCAGGACCTCCAAACTAGATGAGGTCTCTGCCCTCACAGTGTGTACATTCTGGTAGGGGAGACAGACGATAAGCAAGAAAATAAACATACATGCATGAACAAATATATATTTTGACCAAGGGTTCAAAAGGAAATGAGATTAGCTTAGAAAAATCAGAAATGGCTTCAGAAAGAAGGCTATGTTTAAAATGGACCTTAAGGATGTGCAAGGTCTCTACAGGCCTAGGTGAAGGGAACAGCATAAGCAAAGGCATCAGCCAGGAAACACAGCATGTGTTTATGGACCAGGAATTCAGTTTGTCTGGACAGCGGGGTACAGAGGGGCTCCTGGGAAATCAGGTGAGAAACGTAAGTGGGTTGACCAAGCCAGCCTCTACTCAGACCTGAAGGTGGACTTATACACTACAGAACAGGCAGGTCAAGACCCCAATCCTCAACCTCACGGCCCTCCAGTAAAATACCCACCTGACCATTCAGTAATCTGAGCACAAGTCCACCGTACGAGTTGGGCAGTTTGCGTACTACCCAACGTGCCAGCCCAACCGGGGAGTGAGGCAGCCCCCTGTTCTGTCCACCAAGCTGGATATGCTGTTGTGGGGTTTTCCTAAAACACTTTCCACTGACCCCACTTTGTGCCAGAAGGCAGGTATATCTCCAGAGAGCAGCTTTTTCCATTTCACACAAAAGCCCAAAATAGAGGGGCAACAGACCTGCTTGGACACTCCCTTGCCTGGTCACACTGCTCTGTTCCTTTCAAGTAAATTCTCTGCAATACCCCTTTGTCTACATCATCCCATTCCCACCTCTATGGCTTCTCCCCTAAGCCCACATGACCCCCTTTATCAAACCTCTCACTTAATCAACCTCTCACTTATTTTGGCCAAGTACACACACACACACATACACACACACATTCACACTTCTTCTTACAATGACCTTTTTTTTCATCAGACTACTCCTGAATCCCAGCTCCTCTTTGAATCCTTCCCTGCCCCACCTGGCCTGGCCCCTTCCCCTGTCTAAATGCATGGCTGCCACAACTTCGTCTTCCTTGACCACCCCCACAAATGCTTCTCTGATTTGTTTCATGTTTTTGTTTTAACTCGGTGGGTACCTGTCCCCTCTGGGTCTTTGCCATGTGTGAAGGCAGCAATGACAGCTCACCCAGATTGTAAACTCTCATAACTAGAAACAAGGCCTGTGAATGTATTACTCACTGGGGTGTCATTAAAAGAAACCCACATCACTGTTGCTGTTGGTACCTGTGCTTCATTCAACAAGAAAATGGGATGGCATTAATTCACTGAGTCCATTAATTCAACAAATACACACTGAACATTTACCATAAGCCAAGTACTGGCAATAAAACAGTCAAGAAGATGTGATCTCTCTCCTTGGAGAAGATGTTTATTTAATTAAGATTTTTTGTGTGTATTTACTATGTGCCAGGCATTGTGCTAGACTCTGGCGTTATAGAAGTAAGACACAATCCCCGTGATGAAGGGACAGACAAGTGAAGAAGACAACCACAATACAGGGTGCTGCATACTAAGATCAAGGACTGCCCTGAGTGCTGTGGGAACTCAGAAGGCATACCTGGCCAACCTCACAGTCTCAAGGAAGAGACGTTCATTCAATCAGTCATTCAATATTTACCCATTGCCTACTATGTGCCAGATGCTGTTCAAGGTGCTGAAGTCCTTCCTCATGAAGTCTGAAAATTCCAGTAGGAGAGACAGACAATAAACGCATAAGTAACTATAGACTATGCTAGATGGTGATACGTGCTTTGGAGAAAAATAAAGTGGGGGGGGGGGGCATAGAGAATACCAGGGTCGTGGGTGAGGGTCCTTGTTATGTATAGAGTGGTTAGGAAACGCTTCACTGAGATAACACTTGAGATAGCTGAAGAAAGTGAAAGACTTAGCCATGTGGTTATCTGGAGGATGACTGCACTAGACAGAGGGAACAAGTGCAAAGAGCCTGGGATACTGGCTGCTTAGACTGTTCAGGAAAGATCAAGTGAGCCAGTAAGACTGGGGCCACGTGAGCCAGGCATTTGTGTTAAAGAAGGAAGTCAATGAGAAGGCAGAGGTGTGGAGCAAGGCCAAGCCTTATAGATGGTGAAAGGGCTCTGGCTTTCACATTGGTTAAGATGGGGAACCACTGTGGAGAGGTTGTGGAGAAAAAGGAACCCTAATACACTGCTGGTGGGAATGCAAACTGGTGCAGCCACTATGGAAAACAGTATGGAGATTCCTCAAAAAACTAAAAATAGAATTACCATACGATCCAGCCATCCCACTACTGGGTATTTATCCAAAGAGCTTGAAGTCAGCAATCCCAAAAGTCCTGTGCACCCCAATGTTTATTGCAGCACTGTTTACAATAGCCAAGACGTGGAAGCAACCTAAGTGCCCAGCAACAGACGAATGGATGAAGAAGATGTGGTACATATATACAATGGAATACTACTCAGCTGCAAAACAGAACAAAATCATTCCATTTGCAATAACATGGATGGACCTTGAGAGAATTATGTTAAGTGAAATAAGCCAGCAAGAGAAAGATAATCTGTGTATGACTCCACTCATATGAGGAATTTAAAACTATGGACCAAGAACAGTTTAGTGGATACCAGGGGAAAGGTGGGGTGGGGGGTGGGCACAAAGGGTGAAGTGGTGCACCTACAACATGACTGACAAACATTAATGTGCAATTGAAATTTCACAAGATTGTAACCTATCATTAACTCAATAAAAAAAATATATTTAAAAAAAAAAAAAGATGGGGAACCACTGGAGGGCTTTAATGGGGAAGGAGGCAGGAGTGACAAGATCTGAGTTTCATTTTTAAAAGCCCACTCTGGCTGTGGTGTGGGGAGCAGCCAGAAGGGGGCAAGGGTGGAAGCAGGGACCAGTCAGGAGGCTATGCAAACATCCACGTGAAATGATTCCAGCTTGGTGTGGTGGTGGAGGTGGTGGCGGAAGCGGTGAGCCTGCCTGCAATCAGACAACAGTGTGTGTCAAATGATGCTCAAATGGATGCCTATGTGTTGTACAAAGTGTAGTGGAAGCATAGAGGAGGGGGGATGCGCCCAGTGCAAAATGACATGGTGAGGGAGACTATCGCCCAGGGGACAGTGGAGCTGGCCCTGGGAAATGCATTCACCAGACAGAAAGTGGATATGTGACCCAGAGGCAGAGAGAGGGGAGGGTGGGGGAAGAAGGAAGAGAGAGATAGAGAATGTGTACATGCATGTGTGTTTACACTGGAAGGGCTAAACAAAAACCCCTCAATCATGAAAGAACTGGCAATTTGAAGAAGAGCAGATAGCTCAGCATGGCCAGCTCAGAACACTACCACCTGACAGGAGAGGAGGGACAGGAGCCGGGAAAAAGTTTGGAGCCCACTGTGAAAGGCCCCGATTGCCACGCTAAGAGCATCCTATGGGCAAAGGAGAGTCATCAAGGGTCTTTAAGCATATGGGTGTTTGCCTCACAGCCACTAAGGCTATCTTTCTAAACCACTGACTTGTTTATTCTAAAACTGTTGAGAATCCCCCACCCCCACTCTAGTATCCTTCCTGGGGCATATCCCAATCATTATGTTTACTCTAAGACTCTGGTATTGTATTGCATTGCATCGTACTGTAGTGTGTTATAATCATCTATGTGTGTGTGTTTGTGTATCTGACTCACCCTCTAGTCTGTGGGAAGCAGAAGTCAGGGGCCACACATAGATCATCTCTCCATCATCAGCACCCAGAACATGTTCTGGTGTGTTCAATCGGTGATTACTGGATGGATGGATGGGTGGACGGATGGTTGGATGGAGTAAGATCTGGAAGTGAGCAATAAAATGCTGAGTGGAATTGACCATTGAGAAAGTCAAGAATAATGAAGGAACCATAAATGTTGGTTAATTGCAGATGCATGAAAAGACTGTCCACGTCCTCTGGGGATACTTCCTCCTGTGGAATCTCCACATCGCGTCCTCTCAGACCGTTCACCCTGGAATCAAAGCAAGGGCTACTCAGCGGGCTCTGGACTATGGTGAGTCAGATGCTTTCAGAAGCCAGGCTGCAGGCCCCCTCGTTGGAGTCTGTACCTCAAACCCAGAAGTTCATATTGGGTTGTCTCGTGACTGAGACCAGCTTTACTGTGGAGTGATCCAGTTCTTTATGCAGAAGCTGCTAAGATGGCTGGGAAGAAAGTGTTGCCTAAAGAATAATCAACTTGATGCGAGGGATAGCCGAACACAGCCACAGGTTCTCACTCTCTCTCTGCCTCCCACAGGCATGCACAATGAGCATCTCAGGGTTCTAAAGAAGAATGTGTTACAGGATAGAGCAAAGGAGATTTGAGAGTAAAAGCAGCAACTTAGAGCTTCAGAAAAGGCTTGATTTCAAAAGGCACTTAGATTCCCCTGAAATTGTGGGCAAAATTTACTATGAGTGATGATTGTGCGTTTTTCTTGAGAGAGGCTCCACAACATTTCCTGGATGTGCAAAGGAGTCTGAGACACTGAAAGATTAACAACTCCTTTAGAGGTATTTACAAACACAAGGGAGAGAAAAATGTTGGCTTGAGACGGTCCTTGGGCTAAGTTGAGGTGGGGGCAGATTGTGTGGAGAAAAAGGACCGCAAAATCAAAGTGTATGGGCCTATTTTCCTCCTGTAAATGTTTTCCTACGATGAGCTGAATGTAGGTTGATAGATCTCTCCCATTCCTCCTTAACTAAAGCAGTCAACCCAAGCACTGCTGTCTAACCAAGAAATACCTAAGTGTAACCAAGAAATGCCTCTCCTGCTATACCAAAAAGGAAATAAAGGAAGGGAGGGAGGAAGGAAGGAAGGAACAAACGAATGAATGAAGAAATGAAGGCAGGAACAAGGAGAGAGGAGGGAACGAAGGAAGAGGGGAGAATAAAGGACGGGAGGAGGGAAGGCAAGGAGGAAAGATTGGTCTTTGGGAAACTCCTTGTCCATCCCCCAGTACCTTGTCTGGCACAGAGGATCTAAAATTGATCCCTTTTGCACGCTTGTTATGTGAACCGTGATGTATGTAGAAATACATACAGGAAATGTATTTGTGTGTTTATCTATGTATATATATCTGTATGTGTTTGTGTCTTGTTACTGTATTGATGTGCTGATGTGCACAGAAATGAATATCAGAAATAGATATCTTGTACCAGTATTAAAGTTGTGAGAACAGTTTATTCCACCCTCAAGATCAGAGCAGTTAAAAGAGCAGATCTGAAGTCAGTCCGCATGGATGTGAATCTCAGTTTTGCCCCTTTCCTCCTTGCACAGCCTTGGGCAAGTGGGTTTTCTCATCTGGACAGTGGGAATGATGATTAACAGGGTGCCTACCTCTAATGTGATGTGAGGGTCAGATGAGATCGTCTGTGGAAATAGAGCATGGCATGGTGGAGGACAGGCTTTGAGGTCAGAACATTTCTTGAGTGTCCACCATGGCCAGCCTCTTCAAAATGTGCTTAAAGGGCCCCAGGTTGGTTTAATGCCAACAATAACCCTACAACGAAGGTGTAGTCATTTTAGAGAGGAAGAATCTGAGTCTCAGACGGCCTGAACTAAATTTCCCAAGTCACACACTAGTAAGGGGCCGAGGCAAGATATGCACTCAGGTCTGCTCTGCTGGATCTCAAAACCTGTGCTCTGTCCTCTGCTTCCCATTCTTCCAAGCATTGGATAATGAAACTCACCAGCTGTGGGCTCTTGGGCAGGCTAGTGAGCCTCTCTGAGCTCAGCTGCCCCCTATGCAAAAAAAGGATAATGACACCTGTGTCCTTGGGTTGCTGTCAGGATCAAAGGAGAGAGTGTGCACAGTGTAGTCAGTCCTGGCATAGACAGGCATTTGATACAAACTAGCTATTATTATTTTCATCTCATCAATTATTTACGCCCCTGCATTTTTCCTTTCACACTGTCCTGGGATAACATTCTTTAGCCCTGGCCACATAATGAAAATCTCTCATACTGTTAGCTCTGGGGTCTTGGGCAATTCCATTAGCCTCCCAGAGGACCAGTGTTTTCATCTATAAAACAAGGACAATAATACTCACTTTGTAGGATTGCTGTTTTCTAAGTATCTAAGAGCATGTCTTACTGGATAAATTTCACTTGTATGTTTAATGATAGTACATCATTATCATCTTTGTCATTATCAATAAATACTTCTTTGGTTCCTTCACAGGTGTTCAAGCTGGGAGGGAGATAATTGAGCAAATGGTCAAAGAAAGAAAAATCCCAGATTTAAAGGGTAATGAGTCTCTTGAATTTCTGAAGATTGATTATGTGAACTACAATTTTTCAAAGTAAGTAAAAGAGAAGAGAATTGTCAGCAGTGAAATTAATCTTTAAAATCTCAGGGTTGTGAATATGCCACCATGTGTTCTGGTGTAACACCAGCACCTTCAGAGAAGAGGTTAACAACCTCTCGTGAAAGGCTTCTCAGACAAATGACTCAAGAAATAGAATCATGAAGTTGATAAAGAGTGGAGCATTTGGGTCAGAACACGTGGGTCCACATCATATCTCTGCTGCACACCAGTTGTGTGCACCTGGCAAATCTGCTCGGTGTCTCAATGTCCTGGTCTCTTTCCTAAAGTGAGAAGTCCAATTCAACACAGATGTCAGCTGAGGCCACCTTGCTCCTTGAATTCTAAATGAAATTCTTGTTCATTTCATTGCTGCACTCACCCCCATAAACCTAGATGCAGAATTCAACCACAGTCTCAAAAATAAATCTACTCTCGTCAAGTCTTGTCTTGTTTTAGTGAAGTTTAGTCAAGATTTCAGAGGTCATAAGAATGGGTCACAGGGCACATGGCCTTCTGCCTTCTTGCTGTCTAGACTTTCTCTCCTTCTCTGGAACAACGAGAGTTTCTTCCCCTGGTCTCATGCATAGCAGTTCCACCCACTCCTGGGTACCAAAGAATCTTCCTTTAAGCTCTAAATGCTTTTCAAAGTAATTGCCTGACCAACGAACTTCTCTTCCTAAGAAGAATTCTGGTGGTAGCCATAATCTTTTCTTCCATGTTACGGTAATAAAACCAAAAGTCAAAATCAGTAAACAGTAAAAATCGGATAGTGTAACAAATATGAAGATACTTTATAAAACTTAAACTGCTGTACAAGTATGAGTTGATAACCGTAATGATGGCATAAGGACATCATTGTCAGAACAATGGAATTGACACATTGATTCATATTCTTGTTTCACCCAGCCCGGAGTTTTGAGATTCCATGAATTAGGAATAAAGTTCAGCTGAATGTAGCAGAAAATTACAATGGCTTAGATGTAATAGGGGTTCATTTTTGTCTTACAAATAAGATTGTCTCACAAATAAGAAGCTCAAAGGAAACAGTGGAGGAATCCTATGGAAGCCGCACAGTTTCATCAGAATCTAGCCTTCTTATATTTTTCTGCTCCACCATCCTTAGCTCTGGCTTTTATCCTCAACGTTACCTCAAGGTCCAGTATGGCCACTGCAGCCCAGCCATCGAATCCAGATTTCAGGCTCTTGGAAGAAGGAAGAAGCAAGGATAAAGGGCTCTTATAAGCTGTGTTAGTTTCCTCTTCAATGAGGTTTTTTTCCTGAAGTTCCACTCTAATAATATTCTGCCTATACAATAATGGACAAGACTTAGTCTTATGGCCATATATATAAGCAAGGGAGACTGGGAAATTAGTTTTCCTACCTGACAACTTTGTCATCCCGAACAAATCCCAGAAAGTTTAGGAAAGAAGAAGGGGAAATGGATGTTCAGACAGCAACTGGCAACCTCTGCCTTTGTTGCCTTTAAGATCCCCAGAGGGAATGTAGCAAGAGGATGTCTTTGTCCATCTTGCACACAGTCTTAAAGGTTAGCAGACAGTCAAGCTTTCGTGAGGAATTCTCTGTGATTTGCAATTTGCCCCAATGCTTTATCAATCCAGTGATAATCCCCTGCTACTCCAATTATTTGGAGTACTAATTTCCCTACTGTTAAGGATAACATTCTATAAAACCAAGAGGTTTTTGTGGAGGAAGAGGCCCAGTGGTCTAGGGAAAGTTCCTGACAGGCTCTGGTCTGTAATAAAGTCAGCTATTCAACAAGTATTTATTGAGCACCTACTATGTACTAGGGCTTTGTTCTAGGCATAGGGGATTTTGTAATGAACAACACAGATATGTCCCCTGCCCTTAATGTCTCGTGAAAGAGATGGACGTTAAATATATATTTACAAAATTAATTATTTAATTACAATGATGATAATGCCACAGCAGAAGAATCCAGGACGAATCATATCATATCAAGTGTAGGTAAAGATGAGGAGAAACAGGTGTTCTCATCCATTGCTAGCGAGGTCAGATAAACTGATACAATAATTTTATGTTTTTATTTTTACTTTTTTTGTGAGGAAGATTGGCCCTGAACTAACATCTGTGCCAATCTTCCTCTGTTTTGTGTGGGATGCTGCCACAGTGTGGCTTGACAAGTGGTTCTAGGTCCATGCCCAGGATCTGAACCTGAGATTCTCAGGCCGCCAAACCAGAGTGCATGGAACTTAACCACTACGCCACAGGGCCGGCCCCCAATGGTACAATAATTTTAGACCCATGCTGTCCAAACAGTAGCCACTAGCCACGTGTGGCTATTGAGCACTTGAAATGTGACTTAATTTTTAATTTATTTAGTTTTAATTTAAAAACTGATACGTGATTCAGTTATTGAAAATCTTTTAAATGTGCTTGAAACAATTTGAGTAAGTTTACTTTTCTCTGTTGAAAACGTCAAATCTAAATATGGTCAAGTATTTCAGGTGCAAATGCAATGTCCAGACTGAGGTGTATCATGAATGTAAAATATGTACCATATTTTGAAGACTTTTTTTGGAAAAAGGAAAATAGAATATCTCATTAATAATTTTTATACTGATTACATGTTGAAATGATAATATTCTAGATATATTGAGTTAAAAAAAATTAATAAAAGTACTTTCACTTGTTTCTTTTCCTTTTTACTTATTTTTTTTTCCTGCTTTTTTTCCTCCCCAAATCCCCCCAGTATATAGTTGTATGTTTTTTAGTTGTGGGTCCTTCTAGTTGTGGCATGTGGGATGCCACCTCAGCGTGGCCTGACGAGTGGTGCCATGTCCGCGCCCAGGATCTGAACAGGCGAAATCCTGGGCCACTGAAGCGGAGCGTGCGAACTCAACCACTCAGCCACGGGGCCACCCCCACCTTTTTATTTTTTTTTTAAAGATTGGCCCTGAGCTGACATCTGTTGCCAATCTTTTTTTTCTTCTTCTTCTCCCTAAAGACCCCTAGTACATAGCTGTATATTCTAGTCATAGGTCCCTCCAGTTCTGCTATGTGGGATGCTGCCTCAGCATGGCCTGATGAGTGGTGCCATGTCTACGCCCAGGATCCAAACCAGCAAAACCCTGGGCCACCAAAGCAGAGCGCACGAACTTAACCACTCAGGCCAGCCCTCTTTTCCTTTTTTTTTTTTAATGTGGTTACTAGAAAATTTTAAATTACATATGTGGCTCACACAACATCATATGTCTAGTGGACAGTGCTATTTTATAGGTTGATTTACAACGACCTTTTGTTTCTGCATGCCCTTGAACCCAACAATTCCACTTCTCAGCATCCTCCCTAGAGAAACACGTACATAAACACATATGAGGATGTTCGTTGTAGCGTTGTTTATAATCCAGAAATGCTGGAAACAACCCAGATGTCCACCAACAAACGGATGATTTTTTTTAAAATGATACATTTACAGCTTGGAATATTCTACTGTAGTTACAAAGAATGGGTTAGACCTATATGTATCAAAATGAAACTATTTCCAAGATGTGTTAAAGGAATCTCTACCATCCTCTTCCCACAGTGGGACTCAGGATGTGTGACAAAGAATAGATATGAAAGGATGCAAAATAAAGGAAAGAGCAAATAATCGTTTCTTCTCAGCTATCTCATTTATGTTTTAAATTTTTTCTAATCTTATTTTATAAGAATGCCTCTCTTTTGTGCAATGACCATATACAGATGATCTCATTTGGTCTTCCCAAACTACCCATGAGTAACAGTTCCTCTGAGTGATTGACTGAAAGAGGTTAAGTGTCTTACCCAAGGTTACACAGCCAACACAACACTTGGCTCCAAGTCGAGTGCCCTTTGCACAATATATGACGTCGCATAGCCTACTGGTGAAGAACACAGTCTGAAGACAGGCTGAGGAGGCACCCAGGTCTGGTTCTACCACATGTATATGACTTCAGCCAATTTCCTTATCTTCTCACCTCTGAGTGCATATTGTAAAAACAGTAATGGCCTCATAGGATTATTGTGAGGGTTAAAAATGAGCTAATGCATGTGAAGTGCTTACCACAGTGCCTGGCAGGTAGTGATCGCTCATCTATGTTCATAATGATAACTTATCATAATGCATGTGGCCATCTACCTATGTAGATTACACGCAACCCACTGCCTCCTAGTTTAGTGTTTGACAGCTCAGAAAATCCTAGGGGAAGTTAGCGCTCTAAAATAAGTTTCTCCACTAGCGAAGATACATAGAGGGCATTTGGGAATAGGACGAAGACACCCTTTTGATTGTCCCAATGATTTGGGGGGGAGGAACACTACTGGCATTTAGTTGACACATATGCCAAATATCCTGCAATGTGTATTATGGTCTTCTACAAAAAATAGTTGTCCCATCCAAATACTAGTGTCCCCCCTACCATTTAGAAATGGTGGAATAGCTGAAGGAAAAAATAATGATGGCAACGTTGTACTTCTGTCTCTAAAGAAACTAAAGAAGTCCATTGATTATTTACAAATTTGTGTCTAAACTTTCTCATTTCTCCCTCAACTGGACAAGAGTCTCCCTGCCAAGGGTGTGAGGGGAATTAGAAGGCAGTGCCCAGAGGCAGCACGGCAGATCTGACGTTCCTTCCTTTATAGGAATTCACAATTGCCTGTCGAGAGTTCTGCACTGCATTTCTGGCTTTGCCTTACTTAGAGATGCGTCAGAAGAATTACACTAACACCTCTGTTTCTTGTTTTACAGCATAAAAATCAATGCCTTTTCATTTCCAAATACTTCATTAGCATTTGTGCCTGGGGTAGGAATCAAGGTACTGACCAACCATGGCACCACCAACATCAGCACAGACTGGGAAGTCAAGTCTCCCCTTTTGTGAGTATTCCACTGGAAAGTCTGCTGCTGTTCTGGGGGGAATTGAGCAAAAATGGAAAGTTTATAAATTTGCTGATGTTTTTGACGTTAGGCTTCTTTCCATCAACTGTTAACAATATTTCTCCAGAGCATTTTTCCCAGAAGAGATTTAAATCAGAATCTCTCTGCTGGGAGTAGGGAGCAGAGAAGGAGCTGAAAATCATCCTTCCCTTAAAGGCAGAGCAACCCATCAAAATGTCCTTTATGATTTCCTAAGAGCTAGAAGCCCCTGACGGTTGGAGGAGCAGACAGGTGCTCAACAATTTAGACCCCCACTGAGTCACCATATGATCTTAAGCGAATCATTCAATACACTTCCCCATCAGTAGGGGCAACTGACAGAAAAGGAGCCCTTTTACCTCACAAGGAGGTTGGAGGATGATAGTCATCTTGAACCCAGTTCAAGAGGCGTTTGCAGCCTCCTTCAGAAGGGACGGAGCAAATTCAATGTATGCATACAGACCACCTACTATGTGCAAGTCACTGTCCTGGGTGTAATGTTTAGGTCTAGCCTTGGTGTGTGCCCCAGGATAACACATTCCTTCATCCACTTGGCCATTCAACAAGCATTTATTGAGTGCCTACTGTGTACCATTTATCCCCATCTCATGAACTCCAAGAACTCTTGTAGACTGTAGAAAAAGGACATATTCTTCTATAAGTAACATAGATTCAAGTGTCCATTCATTTCTTCGCTGACTCATCAGCCATATATTGAATGCTTATTCTGTGTCAGGCCATGAGCTGAGTCCTGGGGACATGGAGATGAATAACACACAGTCCACTCCCTCAGGGAGTTCACAGTCTACATCTGAGTGTCGCTTCGCCATCTATGCTCTTCCTCAATAAGTTGTGGCCAACTTCACCCCCATGTTCTCTCTCCAAACAAGCGTTCTATATGAATGGTGCTCAATCACCCTGGGGGCAAGAGCATTCAGGATGAAATAACTGTAAGGTCACCAATGCTGTCTTCATTCGGATATCCGTTACTTCATTTGTTTAGTTAATATTCATTCAGCAGCTACTCTGCTCCTGCCTGTTGTAGGTGCCAGGAATCCAGAGGTGAGAAAGTTACTGACCTCCAGAAACTTAGAGTCTGTGGGTCATCAGAGAAACGATCCGTCACCACGCCTGCCTGGATAACCTTGCACTTTTTCTCTCAACAGCCAAGACACAGGAGGAGCTGATCTGTTTCTCTCTGGGGTCTACTTCACTGGTGTCCTTATCCTGGCCCGAAATGACTTTGGTCAGCCAACAGTGAAGCTCCAAGACTGCTACGCCCAAGTGAGCCACGCCCAAGTCTCATTTTCTGGAGAACTCAAGTGAGTGAGAGCACCATGGTGGGCCGTCGCTAGTCTGGGGCTGGATTCTTGGGCAGCACCTAGGGGAGGTTTATAACCAGCAGATATGATCCCTGAGTAAGCCCTGTTTTTGTCTTTTTTTCCTAGAGTCCTGTATAACTCCTTTGCTGAGCCCATGGAGAAGCCCATTTTAAGGAACTTAAATGAAATAGTAAGTCTTTAGAGGTTGCACAACCATGGTGAAATGCCATCAGCCGCAGTACTACCATGCTTTAATTAATCCTTGGGGTCAGTAAACCTTTACTGAGCACCTACTGTGTGCTAGGCACCACCCAAGGCACTTTCACACACATTATCCTTTGCAATTTAATAACAGTTTCCCAGGTGCCTACTGTGTGCCAAATATTGTGGTAGCTGCTGGGGATGCAGAGACAAATAAAACAGCGTTCCCTCGCTCCACTGCTCGCCGCAGCGTGGGGAAACATCAACGAGAGTTTATTTCTCATGTACCTACTGCGTGCCCAGCGCTAGGCTAGGGTCTGTTCAGGATAAGAAAAAGGAATAAACTTATCTTTTTAGGAAGACCAGACTTGGGCTTGTGAAACAATAACAGAAGAGGTACTTGAATTTAGTACATATTTACATGATCATTAGGTGGAACTGAAGGGGTTCAGAGAAATAGAAGAATTAAATAAACAGAGCCTGGAAGAATCCTAGGAGATATTTTTTAGCGGATGCAGGACTTGAACTGGGCCTGGAAGTATAGGTATGATTTGGATAGATAAGGAATGAGGAAGAAGAAAGGATATTTCCAGCCAATAGGAACAGTGTAAGTTAAGATGGCTTCCAAAGCTACAGGTATCTTGATTCCAGAAGTCAGTGTCTGAGGAAAGGGGAAGACCGAATTAGCTGTGTGCTCTCTCTCCAACTTGATCATACCTTCCCTGAGCTCTTTGCTTATATTTTGGGAGAGACAAGGAGAGGGATGAGGAGGACTGGAAAAGACGGAGACCCCTTTCTAGAACAGAGGGGCAAGGATGGTGTCTGGCCATCTCCATCCCCCTCGTGCCCAGCTCAGTGCTGGGCAGGGAGTAGGTGCTTAATGAATGTCGGTGAGGAAATCAACATGCAAAGACACCAAGCAGCTTGTCCAACGAGGTGGCCCAGCTGGCCAGGGGCCTCTGAAGCTTCACGGTCTTTTTCCATCCTCATCTGACAGAGGCTGAGTGCCAGCAAACGTGCGTATTAAAGAGTGACTGGGAATTAGATAGGGCTGTCACCTTCAAGACCCCACATGAGATCATTCCTTTGTTTGAAACGAGGTGTGGTTCTTTGAGCTCTGACAAGAAGCCGGTAGTTAAGTTTGCCTGGAGTTTATATATGACTCGGAGATCACAGACCTTTGCTTCCAGGATTCCTTCTGTGCTGCTGGAAAATGAAGAGCATGCTCAGACCACAGCTGTCGAGCCATGTCAGACCAGATTTCAAAACCTAGGGATGTAACCCCTGTCAACTCGCTTAACCTCTGTAAGCTTCTGTTTCCCATCTGTAGAGGGGACAGTAGTGCCTACCTCTCAGGGCTGCGGTGAGGATGAAATGGGGTTAAAACAACAACAGCTAACGTTTACTGAATGCTGACTACGAGCTGGGCAATTTTACGTGGATGACCTCGATTTCTACTCACAGTAACCTGATGAGGTAGATACAGTTATCATCCCCATGTTGCAGATGAGGAAACTGAGGACAGAGAGTACAAGCAACTTGCCAAGGGATTCAACCCCAGGCAGCCAGGCCCCCGGGCCTCTGCTAATAATCACATCCTGGGTGCTTTGCACACACCTGGCACGTGGCAGACCCATCCATGTTGGTACTCTTCCTCCTTCCCAAAGATGTGCTTGAGTCTGATTCAAGATTGATTTTCTAATTCCAAAGGGCCTAAGTAGATCTGAATAGATGTCTGACCTAATGGGCTCTCAACCCAGCCCAGTAGGAAAGTAAAGGCCACAGCTCTAGCCCCTCCCAGCAGGGCACAGCACTACTGACGCAGAGGTGGGAGGCGGGAGGCGGCCGCATGCCCTCTGCGGTCAGGAAAGGTACAGCCCTTCAGCAGCAGGTTCCTCAGGTGTGACAGCACCAGCATGGACTGGGGCACATGTCGTGTCATGCTACAGGGAGGAAAGCCAAGGGCTCATTCTTTTATGGGGCTAACTGGGTGTAGTCCCGGTTGCTATGAAGTTTAGCAATGACATACCGCCTGTACATAGGTAACTTGAGGCCTATAGGCATCAACTTATTTAAGGGAAAGTCTTGATGACCAAAAGCAGAATGTCTCCTAACCAGAGGGCTTTTGTTTATAGGGTCTAGGCCCATAAGTAGAGGTTTCCAGCACAATATGATAACCTGCATGTTTTTCTTTTCATTCCTTTTACGGCCAGCTCTGTCCCATTATCACAAGTGAGGTGGAAGCACTGAATGCCAATCTCAGCGTGCTGGAGGGTGAGTCCTGGAACTGTTGCTTCTGGATGGTTCTCTTCCACCTTCAAACTCTGGTGCTCTTCAGGTGTCCTTTTCAATGCAGTGTAGCTCCGGCTCTCCAGTCTGCTTTACGCTCTGCCGCCTAGAGCCGTGGGAAGGTGCATGGGAGCACACGGCCTGTGAATAGAGCCTGCTCTTTCCTGCTGCTGACCGACTTCACTGCAGGAAGGGGTGCCTTCCGGAGTCTAGGTGCGGGTCAGAGAATTAAATTCTCATGAGCCTTAATCCCAGCTCTGGCACTAAATCCATCCTCTTCAGAATGATTAATGCTAGTCTTGAGCAGGTTATCCCCTGGCTCTAATGCCCTCAGGGGCTCCTCGCTGTCTTCAGGATCAAGTCCAAACGCCTTAACATGAACTACAAGACCCGCCTGCCAGGCTCTGGCTCCCACTTGCCTCTCTCAGCTTCGTCTTTCACCTTTCTCTGCTCCAGCTATCAAACCGCTTCTACTGCCCTAACACCCCTTGCCTTCTCTCCTGCTGTCCTCTCTGCCTCGAAGTGCTTTCTCTCTCCTCCCTCCATTTATCTACTTGATAGATATTGAGTTCCTATTTCTTGGCCAGCACTGTGCTCAGCCCTGAAGGATAGAGTCCCTTCCGCTCCCCACCCCTCAATCATCCTTTGTCCTGTCCACTCATCTTTATTCTTTTAAGGTTCATCTCAGGCACAGTCTCTTCCAGGGACTCTTACCTGACAGCCTGCACCCCAAAGTTCTGCCTCCTGTGTGCTCACAGGACAATTTGCACGTATCTCTCTCTTTGCACTCCCTCCATTCATTCACCAGTTACTGAGCGCCCGTAATGGGCTGGGCCCTGCTCTTGGTGCTGGGGATGCAGCAGTAAGCCTAGGAGATAGATATCCCTGCCTTCCTTGGACTAGTGGGAGGAGACAGACAGCAAGCAAGATAATAAGTAAAGTTCATGGTATCATTGTAATAAGTGGTTAGAAGAAAAATAAAGCAGGGCAGGAGCTGGGGAGGGGTTTCTGTTTAAAACAGCACGGCCAGGAAAGGTACCACTGAGCAGGTCATGTGAGAGTAAGAACCTGAATGAAGTAGGGGGTGAGCTGGCCCCAGATCTGGACGAAGAACATTCCAGGTAGGTGAAACCACAAGTCCAAAGGCGCACGCGGGAGCATACCAAGTGTGTTGGAGGAACTGTAAGGAGGCCATACTGGGTGCAGAGGGAGCAAGGGAGAAAGCAGCAAGAGATGAGGTGAGAGAGGGGGAAGGGGATCGTTAGATCTTCAGGGCTCTGTAGGTGGGGTGGTTGTGAAGGCTGGCTGCTAGTCTGAGATGAGAAGTCTTTGGAGAGTTCTGAGCAAGCCTTGCATGATCTGACTTACATTTTAAGGAGATTACTCCAGTTTCTGTCTATTCATAAGAGACATGAAGGGGGCAAGGATGGAAGCAGGGAGACCACCTAAGAGGCAGTGACCCATATCAGCAATGATGGCAGTTGGCCTGGACAGATTGATGAAGATGCTGAGACACCATCAGGTTCTGGATGTACCTTGAAGGTAGAGACAGTGGTACGTGCTGACACATTGAATGTGGGCCATGAAGGGAGTCAGCCATGTCCCCAGGTTTTTACCCGGAGCAGCTAGAATTTTGGAAGAATGGAATTACCATTTACCAAGATGGGGAAGACCGTAAGAATAGGTTTGTAGTTGGACAGTCAGGAGCTCAGTTTCAGATCTGCTCTTACTATGTTGTATTAGAATTACCTGTTTCTATGTCTGTCTCTTCCTCCAGACTATGAGTTCCATGAGGGCAGGGACTTTGACTGATCTCTGTGTCCCCAGCACCAGGCACAGCACCTAACCCTCTCTAGGTTAATAAATATTGGATTGATGAAGGCATGAAAGGAGATGGGTGGCTGGACAAATGGATTCATGAGTAGATGCGGATGGATGAAAAAGAAAAGAATGGCTTGGGGACGTAGGGAAAGAAAAAGAAGATGATGTGAGCAAAGAACAAGTTGAGGATTCCCATGTCCTAGCTTGCTTTGGGCAAGTTTCTTTACCTCCGGGAGCCTTACTTCCCTCACCTGTATAATGGGCATGGTCCCGCTTCCCTCACAGTGTGGTGATGGGATCCGTTGAGATTGTGAATTTGAAAGCATCTTACAAAACTGTAGTGATACAGGGTAATACTGTTCTCTCACCTTGGCCAATCACTTCATCTCCTCTTGTTTCTCATCATGGTCTATGGAATAAACCAAACAGGGCATTCAAGAAGAGAAGATATGTACTCAGGTCCCTTCCTCCAGAACAGAGAGGAAGTCTTCATGTCACAGAGCACATGGCTGTGGTCAGGAAAGCAGCTCTCCCAGGCCGGGTTGGAAGCCCGAGCCCTACACCACTACACATAGCACCTGTCTCAGACTGAAACCCTTCTTTCCTATGAACCCCGCCTACTGTCCCCTGGCCCTCTGCCTTGATCTGCAAATGATAATACGAAAAATGAATTGAATTAGTAGTATGCAAGAATTTTCTTGGCCTCTCCAATTTAGGGAATTTTATTCCTGTATGTGTTTCTCTCTCTTTCTCAATATTTCGTTTTAAAAATTATTTCTAATTACAACAGTAATACATATACTCATTGTAAAAAATAAAGTTCTAACTACACGGAAGGCTATAACATAGAACTTGAAAGTCTCTCGTTATACCAACCTAGTATATTTGGCTTAATGTTGTTAAGTGATTTTTGCTTGTCTAATTTTCTTTTTTAAAAAGAAATATATATGCAGTGTGTGTGTGTGTGTGTGTGTGTGCGCGTGCACACACGTGTGCATAAAAGGGTATACCAAAATTTTACTGAGGTTTCTCTCGGGATAATGTGATGAAGAAGGGTTTTTACTTTCTTCTTTTGACTTATCTACTTTTCCTGGGTTTTGAAAAGTCAGCATGTATTACTTAGGAAATAGGATAATTGTTATTTTAAATGAAAGAGAATTTAAAATTCTATTGTTCTGGATAAACATTAATCATATGTTATACTATGCCTTTAACTCATGTAAATTTTTTTTCCTTGTTTTTTTTTCATTTAGTTTTAACCAAGATTGACAACTATACTCTGCTGGATTATTCCCTAATCAGTTCTCCAGAAATTACTGAGAATTACCTTGACCTGAATTTGAAGGTAACTTTATCATCATCAGAGCCCTCATCCTGGCTATCAACAGCCAGTTTTCAAGGAATAAATATTATGTGCAGAAGGAAGTATAACTACGTACTTTTCAAATAATTTAATTTGCTTTCAAGCAATTCCCTCATGTTTATGCTCTTTCAAAAGACTGTTGAACATTTTCTTGATTGGTAAATGATTGTTTGAATTGCACAACACATGTCTGCCTTCTTCAAGAAAAGTCTCATGATGGCTTTGTCTCTGGGAGAAGGTTTGAGGCTAAGAGGCAGCCAGTAGAGAGGTCTGCATTTATTAGAACTAACACATCAGTAGATTGCACATATTGATACTTGCATTCCTAACTCTCAGGTTAGTTAATTTAACGGAGGGCCGGCAACCTCTGTCAGGGCAATTATCATATGAAAATGGAGTTTGCTAATTCTAGAAAAGTGATTAATTGTCCTTCTGTTCAGTTTTGCCCCAAAGTTAATATCATTGTTATTTTAAATGCTTATATTTCAATCACTCAGAGTCATTCAAATCAGTTAAACGTTACACAGGACAGCATTTTGTAATAACACCCAATAGCTAATAAGGGCAGCATTAGGAATGCCACAAAAATGCTTTAAACCTATAGAGCCCTGGGGCCTTCTGAGTCTTTCTATGGCTCCCAATGCTCAGCAGTCACAGATTTTGAAGGTCAAGAGTTTGACATCACGACATGGCACCTCAGGAACTGTTAGAGCTGTCCCCTCCTGCTATATGCACCCACCTTCCTTTCTCTGAGAAAAGGACTGATGAGGAACTTCTCACTGTGTTCCACCCCAGGGTGGACAGACATGCCCAGATATGCTCAAGACGTCATCAGAGCTTTGAAACAGAGTCACTAGTCAAGGAGTCAGAAGGCCTTGTTGTTTTCTCATCCCTCCTGAGTTTCTAGTATTTTCCTTGTTGTGACTTGAGCAGGTCCGGCTTCTGTAGCCTTGCACGTTTGGGTCTTCATCTGATGCACTGGTCTTTCTCTTTGTTCCCCACAGGGTGTATTCTACCCGTTGGAAAACCTCACCGACCCCCCGTTCTCGCCGGTCCCTATTGTGCTCCCAGAACGCAGTGACTCTATGCTCTACATCGGACTCTCCAAGTATTTCTTTAAATCTGCGTCCTTTGCTTACTTTACAGCTGGGGCTTTCAATGTCACTCTCTCCACAAAAGAGGTGAGGAGAATTAACGGATGATGACAACCAGCACCAATGTTTAGTCTTATTATAAGTATCCCATTACGGGATTTTTTTAATGTCATAGTTTCTATTCCTGGGCCTGTTTAGACCATCACTCCTAGCAGGACAATGAATGAAGGAATCGTGAAATGAGTGTTGTTCTTAGCTGGGGAGTGGGGTTTCCAGTTCTGCTAATTTCAGTTTTTTATGATATTACCATTCTAGATTGATCTTAAATAATGCCAAGACCCCCTCCACTACTTATTACCTGTGACTTTGGGCAATTTCGATTTATTTAACTTTTCTGTGCCAAAGTTTCCTTATTTGGAAAAGGGGAATAAAAATTCCATACTCATAGGGTTGATTTGGGCATTAAAGAGGTTTAAATATATGTGAACATTCAGACCAATGCCTAGCCCAGAGTAAGTGCTCTGTAAGTGTTGCTTATTATCATTATTAGTATTATTCTGTGTTATGCCAACATCAAGATTTCTCCTGTTGGTAATTGCAACTGATGTATCTCCAGTGACCAGTGATATCACAGACAGTCATTGATTCTCTTTGCCATGCCCCTCACTTTTATAATGAGAACGCTTTCTCCAGCCAGTCAAGCAACAACTCTTATTGAGCATCCCCTATTAATCTTCATTCTATGGGTCTTAATTATACAAGTAGTTACAAATCTTGCATTCAAAATGCTAAGTGTGGCAGCACCAGCCACCATACAGTGCTGAGAATGAGATACTTCTGGCTTCAGACTTAAAAAATACTCATCTGTGAAGATAAATTCTTTGAGCATCCTATGTCTCAGTAATCTCTGAAAATGAAAGCAAGAACACAAGGCTTATTGTTAACCACTGTAGAATGTTTACACGTTGATCATACATATGTGGTATACACAATGTGCCCAAGGTTAAAAGGCACTTACTCAAAAACGAATGTAACTTCCTGTGTGACTCAGGACGAGTCACTTTACTTCTCTGGGCCTCAGATTTCCTATGGTTAGGCTATAAAGTGATCAGTCACCTTCAAGCACTAGACATTTTTTGGTGCAACAGCCTCATGATTCATAAAGGTTAAAGGGAACGCTAGGTTTTCCCTGAAAAGACAACCCAGGTAAAAACCTTACAGTGACGTCATGATCCTGATTTTCCAGATTTCCAGCCATTTGATTCCAAACTCTCAAGGCCTTGGCAGCATGCTGTCTCGGGTGAGTGCTCAGGGCTTGACCCCTTGGTTTGGATAGTATATTTGGTTTCATTGCAATTACTTCTGGTGGGTTCTTTATGTTCCTTTTTGTTCCAAACCTGAGTCCATCTTTCCATTCTGAAGAGCTTTTTTCTTTTCTTAAAATACCTGCGAATATTTACTGAACAAGTTACTATGTAAGGCATTGTACGTTTACAAAATAAATCAACTCTTCCTCCCACAAGGCTCCACTTCCCTTAAAATAATTAGCCCAAATGGGAAATGAAGGAATAGCGCCCATGTTTGTAACTCTGGCAAAGCAGCTGTGAGTATCACACCTTCCTAGCTCTGAGTGTCGGGCATGGCGTCCGGAAAGGCTCAGGTTCGCCCTTGAGAACAGAGAGAGGCTCCTGTGGCACCCTGGCTTTAGAGCCAGGATCGTGAGTCAGACAGACCTAGATTTGCATCCCAATTCTACAGCTTACTCACCTGGAGCCTTGAGAAAATTACTTCCCCTCTCTAAGACTCACTTTCTTCAGTTGTGAAACAGCGATTCTGACAGAACCTGCCTCACAGGGAGTTTGTGGAGATTAAATGAGATGATACAGAAAGCCCTGACGTGGTGCCTGGCACACAGGATGTGTTCAGTAAATGTCAGCTGTTATTATCATTTGTTTCTTGTGTGTTTTTGTTATTATGATCAAAGAGCTTCTTTTCTATCTAACTGCATGATGTAAGATTTAATCGCCATGGGCCACCCCAAGTTTGTGATCTCCCCTCGTCAACTCAACTCCCTGGTCTCCATTTCTTTCCCTGAACATGCGCAGTTGGCAGAGATCTACATCTTGTCACAGCCTCTCATGGTAAGGATCATGGCAACGGAGCCTCCTGTGATCAGTTTGCTGCCGGGTAACTTCACCCTGGACATCCCTGCCTCCATCATCATACTCACCCAGGCCGAGAACTCGACTGCGGAAACCATCGTTTCCATGGACTTTGTAAGTCTCTGGGGGCAGGCAGGCAGCCTGTGGATACCAATCCTGTTTCCGCAGCAGACCTCTGACCAGCAGTGGTCTGCTAAGTGTTTGGAGGGGTGGGATGTGATACGTCAATCAGAAGTGAGCAGAGGGTTGAGACTGGAGTGGGCGAGGGAGGGGAGGCCAGTGCTCATGCCCCATACCTTGTAAACTAGCTCCCCACCCTCCTCCACTGCCTGTGTGCCCTTCCCTCTGCTTCAGTTACGTTGAGAGCTCACTTTCTTCTGTCCTCAAAATCAGTCAAGGTGGAATTCAAGTTTATTCGAGCAGAGGAAGGCCAAACGCAACCCAATAGAAAGGGATTAATACAATGAACCTAAGTGAAATGTCTCACATACACGTACACGCACACACGGTACATAGAGAAGAGAGATTAGGAGAAAATAGAAAAATAATGTAAAGGAAATCCTTAAACCAAAAGTCTTTATAGTTAGTTTCCCCACCTGAAAGAACATTTTCAGAGCTATTTCTTTCCAATATCTCCAAGAATAAGAGAGAAAGTAGAGGAAATCATATTTGTGGCCAAAATGGACAGAGTCACTCCTCTGGGTAATGAATGTTTTTGTTGTCTGCAGGTTGCTAGTACCAGTGTTGGCCTGGTTATTTTGGGACAAAGACTCATCTGCTCATTGTCTCTGAACAGGTAAGGTTAAATAATTTGACTGTTGGAAACCTCAGTAATAAGTGAATCAACAGGCCATAGAGACAAAGTGAACATTAACAGAACGGGTGACGTTTCCACCAGATGGAGCATGAATCCCCTAAGCGCTTCTCCTCTAACATTCCAGATAATTTCAAGGTATGGACTTACCTACAAAATGCATTGCGAAGTTTTTCTTTTCTTCTTCCCATTGGATAATATTAAGATAAAATGGGCAGCAAAATAATTGTAAATATAATTCCGTAACATAAATGTACATTCTAATGGTACAGCAATGTAAATTAAAGTTCCTCCTCGACAAATTCAGAAAGCGTGCTAAGGGGGAAAGGCATGAAACTGTGAGGTCAAGGGATGAAGTTTCAAATCCCTGCTTGCTGCTTCTGTAACCATGATCGAGCATATCAACCTCTTTGAGCCTCAGTTTCCTTATCTGTGAAAGAGAGAAGTGAGACTGGATCATCTCTGAGCTACCTTCAGTCTCTGACACTGATCCCATCACTAGAATGTAGAGTTTAAGAAGACTGCGCCCCATGGCTTAGCTGGCTCACAAATGCAAGCCACGCAACGTGAAAGGGCTAGAGCAGGTCATGTACATAGATCAATGGACCAGTCCTGCCATTCAGGACAACCGTCTGCAAAGCCCATTTTCCTCAGCCCTATAAAGCCAATAGTTGAAGCCATGAACCAAACGACCTGGGAGGGATAAACAGAAAGATCAGATGGCCCAGACTAAATCCACGAGAGGAAGAAGAAGCTGTAAAACAGACAAAGAAAGCAGAGTCCAAACAGAATAGGAAACCAACAGAGGGGAGAATCCATTCAATCACCTGAAGTCAACTAGATGGTTATGAAGACTATTGTAGAATCATGGAAGACGTTTTCCATAAAATAATATTAAATGGAACAAGCAGAACACAGAACTCCATAAACACAGCAGCCAGCTGTGTGAAATAGTTTTCCATTTGGACAAGGAAGTGAATCACAAGTGGATTAGACTATGAGATTTTGAGACTGGTTTTTTCCTTAAAGTTTTCTTTGTAATTGTATTGTTTTCCCAATAAAAGAATAATAGCAACAACAAAAAAAAGGTAGGATGGTTTCCCAGAGATAAAAGATTTCAAGAAGGCTTGACCAGGCTTTACCCAGCCTTCCAAGGCAGGCCTGATTTCTCCATTAGGCTTAAAAGACCGTGTGCCTAGCGCCTGCAATAGTCTAGGGCGCCATGAAAATGTTTTAATAAATTTTAAAATAAGAATTAATAAAAGAGGGGCCAGCCCGGTGGCGCAGTGGTTAAGTGCACATGTTCTGCTTCTTGCCAGCCTGGGTTTCGCCGGTTCGGATCCCGGGTGCAGACATGGCACGGCTTGGCAAAAGCCATGCTGTGGTAGGCGTCCCATGAATAAAGTGGAGGAAGATGGGCATGGATGTTAGCTCAGGGCCAGTCTTCCTCAGCAAAAAGAGGAGGATTGGCAGTAGTTAGCTCAGGGCTAATCTTCCTTGAAAAAAAAGAAGTAATAAAACAATACAATACAATCCAGACCAGATTATATTATAGCTTGTCTTTATACTTATCTTTACAACAACACAGTCTTCAAATATAATTTTTAATATTTTTTTATGGAGGAAAGGCTCCCAAAGGCAAAAACGCCTCAGGCCCCCAGAAGCCATAATGTAGCCCTATTTCCAGAAGATCAAGGCTGATGAAACTCTGAACCTCCATGGGGGATCTTTAGGATGGCTGTTTTAATAGTTGAGAGGATGGAAGCCAGAGAGCAAGAGATGAGGAGGGAGAGGACAAAAGGTGAGGAGTTGGCAGTCTCTGAGCCAGGCCACCAGAGAGAGGAGAGAATTTGGAGTGCATTTTGCCTGAGCAGCAGGACTGAGTACAGGTGAGACCTCCATCTGTTTGAAGACTGAGAAGAAAGGGCTCTGGGAAGGGGGAGGCTGGAAATCTGGAGTGACGGGGGAAGCGGGGCAGGACTGCTAATTGAGGCAGCAAGCTCTTGAGAAGATAGAAACATTTGCCCTTGAGCGGGGGGCTGGTTAACTGGCCAGATCCGAAGAAAGGATTTAATAAGAATGGGACTTCGGGCTCGTGGCAGGCAGGGAGGGAAGACCTCGAGGAGCAGAGGCCAGGTTTGCTTCTCTGCTTAAATTGGGCGGAGCCTCATCTCCGATGCTCCTGCTAGTAGGAAACTGCACATTCAGTGGGCGTTATGTTTGTTTATGGGAGTCTTTGGAAAAACTGGTTGTAATCTGTTACATTCACATCATCCAAAGACATGTGTGACTCCATTCTCCGGCTTCCTACGGTCCACAAGCATGCTATGACCTTGTGGACACTAACCTGAAGGTAGGACTCCTGTCTTCCTGGAGTGTCCGCTGACCTCCCCAGAAATCTCCTTTAGATTCACTTGCTGGGGAGGCTTCCTGCGCCCTGAGGCTTGAGCAGGGTCTGAGCAGGACCAGGTACATAATTTGCAAGGCCCCGTGCAAAATGAAAATACAGACCTCTTGTTCAAAAATTGTGATAAATTTCAGGATGGAGACAGCATGGTATTAAACCAAGCACAGGGCCCTTCTGAGCACTGCCCGGGTTGCAGGCACGGAGTCTGAGGGTAGCTCCTGCAGGGAGGGCTGTAGCAAACCTCAGGCATTGAGCAGCAGACTGTGGGCAAGGCGGGTGGGCCCCAGCATCACTCAGGCAAACCAAGCATCACTCACATCAAACCAAGAGGCAAGACTTTGCCAGGGAGCAGAGGCTGTGCTGGGAGAGCAGCAGTAGCCTTTGGCAGCAAGAGCAGTCGCCCTGCCTCCCACCCAGGCCACCCAGCCAGCCCGCCACTCCCGGGCTTGCAAGTCCTGCTTTTCAGGATGAGCTGGTTTGGGCTTAGGTGATGTCAGAGACACACAGCAGGAAAAGGTGGGCAGTGGGTGGGGATCAGTGAAACATCCCTGAGAAGAACCGGGGAACACAGGGTCTCCAAATACGGCTCCCCAGAACACCACGGCCTTTCCAACCCTCCCCTGCCTCAATGTGTCTCTTTCTGGAGCTGCGCAGGGCTGGCCACATAGACATGAGATGTAGAAAGCAGAGGCAGGTCCAGCGTGGTGAGTTTAGAGAGGTGGTGAGATCATGGGTTTTGGAGTCAGACTAGCTGGTTCAGATCCCAGCCCAGCTTCATTAGCTGTGAGGTCTCAGGAAAGTTACTTAACCTCTCTGGACCTCCTTTTTCTCCTCTATAAAATGAGGATAGAATAGAGCCTACTTCAGGGGGTTATTATGAGGAATACATGAATTAATACACGCAAAGCGCATGTTAAGCATTCAAGAAATGTTGACTATGGCGATTACTTAAAATTTGGGTATAATTAGGGGCACAGGCCCTGGAGTCAGGCAGATGTGAGTTTGAATTCTGCCTCAGTCATTTGCTAGCTGTGTGACCATGAGTAAGTTAATTAACCTCTCTACGTACTAGTTTCCTCATGAGCAAATAGAGCACCTCTCCACAGAGTGGTTGTATGGGTCGATGAGATATTGTGTGAAAATCACGGTGTCCAGCACAAAATCGGTGCTCAAGAAATGTTTGTTATTACTAGTAGCAGTATTGCATTCTCTTTCCCCGTTCTAAGATCAAAGTTTGACCAAAGAAAAGGGAGAAATTAGTCCCAAGAGACATGACAAGTCACGATGCTCTCAAAAGCTGTGGAGTTGGCCCTCAAAGTCATAAACCAGATTCTTCCTGCTCTATCTGCAATTGAGGCTCGTGTTCCAAGCACAGTTCTATTTGGAGGCAACCCCGATACAGGTTGGTCCACATAGTAGACTTTTTGAGATTATTTCAGAGGCCAGGTTAAACCTTACTTTCCCCTTTTTTGGTCCTCGTCCAGAAGACTCAATTCCAACTTTTTTTTCTTAATCATATACAAAGCTCAAAGCAATCAAATGTATGTTATTGTTGAACCATTTAGAACATTGGAACCTTTTTTTTGACATTGCCACGATTGAGGCTTTGGATGCTCCGAAACTGCACCTTCTACTGCCATCAACACACACACACACACACACACACGCACACCTACACACACGCCCTGCAACCCCTCCCACACAATACCATCAGAGAATGCAAATATATCTGATTCCCAGCAGATCAAATCACCAGCGAGCTCCACTCCTCCCAGCTTGGGCAGATACACATTTCCCAGCATGAGCCGTCTGAAGAGAAACCCAGAAAGGAACACAGGTCCGGGAATGGGTTCAGCTTCTGTTGGAATGATGCTTGGACAGGTCAGCAGAGCTCGGGTGTGGCACCGGGCTGACCTCCATCTCCACCCTCCCTCTGAGCTGCTGGGGAGCCAGGGCAGAGGAATGCCCCTGCAGGGTGGTCCCCATCAGAGGAGGAAACCTCAAGTGACTTCTTCCCCTTCTCCCTGACTTGTTGGGGGAATTTCCAGACTGCAGGAGGCAATGCAGTTAAAACACTGGGGACCTCTTTCACATCAAGAGGGTCCTTTAGTACTGGAACAGGTTCAACACATTCTCCCCCTTAAAACCTTTCGTTAAATCCACAGCCAGGGGTTGTCAAGCTCTTCAACTACTGGTCCTACCTGTCAGGCCGGCCAACCTCACTTCCCATAGCTCCCTAAAATGAACATTCTGCTTTAGACCAGCTCACCCTCAAAGTGACCCCGATTCCAATAAACGCTCCCCCACCCATCTCCTTTATCTGCTCATTTATCCGTACGTCCATACAATGAGAGTTTATTGAGCACCCATTAACAGTGCTCTGCACTCTTCTTGATACAAAGAGTAGCAAGTTGGACTGGCCTGGTGGCGCAGCAGTTAAGTTCACACGCTGCACTTCGGCGGCCTCGGGTTCGCCAGTTCGGATCCCGGGTGCAGTCAGGGCACCACTTGGCAAGCCATGCTGTGGTAGGCATCCCACATATAAAGTAGAGGAAGATGGGCATGGATGTTAGCT